TTTATTTATGAAGAGTATTGATTTATAGAGTATAAAGTTGGTACACTGCACAAGACAATGACAGAACAACAATCAGCCCAATGATTGTCTGGGGTATAGTCCGCCTCCTCAAGTATAATAGATGGAACGTGGGTCAAACCATTAAAAGATACTAACATCAGAGCCATAAAACTTTCCCCAACCACGAGTGTCTGCTTCAAACCAGTACAGTGTCTTTATGAACAAATGGTCAATGGTAGAGATACACAAAGTAGCTTCAAAGTAATCTGCATGCTTGTGTGGCAGTATGGCTGATCTCAAGGACAACAGCACAGTCTTAAGTGTGCGTGGCATAGAATGCATAGAAAAACATGTCTAAATGTATGTGTAAGATGACTGCATATCCTAAAATCATATTCAAAAAATCAGAAACTACTCTTAAGGAAAACAACATGGATGTACAAAACATTTCACCTGAGAAATAAAGCATTTAAAGGAAAGATTTGGGATGACATATTGCAAGATCTGAAGATCCAGGCAGCAGCGACATGGACAGTGACCTCTTAACATTGGGAGCAGACTCCAGACACTGAGCTACACTGGCTGAATATTATAGAGATAATACTGTTAGGAGAGATACATGATCAATAATCTGGAATGACATGATTATCTCTGATGTCTGAGTCTCTTTCCTTTTTAGCATAATAAATGTAGCACATCGTCTGCTCCACTGTCAGAATACTTCATGCCTGGTATAAATAAGTGTTTCATTTTGTTTTATTGGCACCACCGATGGCAGTTTGTTGTTTGATGAAAATGTCTGATCACAGATTTGCTAAGGGGTAGAAATGAGCAATCAAGAAAAGTGATAAAATACTGTTGCTGTTGAATTTGAGACCAACTTTTTACAGAGGAGAATGGAGTGACTCATCCAGAGGCCATTTCATTTCATCTATCGTCTTATCCTTAGTAAAAAAAAAATCGAACAAGTAAACACGTGGCCTCAGCAGAGAGCTTTACCTCTTGTGCTCACATGATGTTGCATTTGAGATAAATTGGATTAATTCAGCGGCATGTTTTTCTGACGATGGAGGGCCACTCCAACAAACCCATAGCACCTACAGCATCATTCAACAGAGGTTCAACTTCTGTGGATCCATCAGATCAGCGCTTCAAGTTTTCAGAGGATTCCTCTTCAAAATCAGGAACAGCCTTTCTGCTGCTAACCCCAGTGAATACAGCAGAATTTTAGTCCCACTAAGGAGAAACATATTTGACCCTGACCTTCCCATGGTCCCCAATTCTGCAGCGATTTCCTCCCACTCCACAGTCATCCAAGCCAACTTGGGAATCTGAAATGTGTAGTATTCTAAAACACCCTCGTCTGATTGATAGATTCACTCATGAACATGAAGGTTCTCTCCATAGGCGGCTGACGATGCAAGCCATGTTTGATTAAAGTGCTGGCATCCAAGGAGTTACAAAGATACCTAAACACAGAGCAGAATATGTCGAAAGCACTTAGGAAGGAAAAAGAAGATGGCTACATGCCTAAGGTAAGTGTTTTTTCTTTCTTCCTTTTGGAATCTATGAGAGAAAGGCCACTTTCTTTTAAGCATGGAGAAAGCACAAAACAGAGTCCTTGTAGGACAAAGCAAAGAAGCTGCATTCATATTGTATTTGTCTTTGCTTTTCAGAGGGAACATCATGACAAACTTCAGGACTGAATGTATGATTTGCACTCAATCAAAACAAATAAAAAATGCAAGACTGAAGCATCTCAAATTCTGTTTGATGTGGATTCATGCATTTACGCATTCAGTCTGTCTGAAACATTTCTTTATGCCCAAACACTACTGCTGTATATCCATACAGATTTAATGATCACTACTTGTTTAAAGATAACAAATGTAAGAAATAAAACAGAGTAAATGTGTGCTTTTCTTTACTTTAAGATAAGAATAACATTTGCATTGAGAACTACAATACATTTCCCATTAACCCATTTTGACTTTCACTTTTACCAGAGATCCATAGTCAGAAACGGTGAAATGCTACCAAATTGAACTTTTTTTAAAGGCAAATTTACAGATCTGAGTTCACTGGCCTCAGCTGTGAATAAAAAACACGTGCCAGCATGTGTTGACATAAGTATGGGTAAAGGATGAAGGGTGATGTCTTTTTATAAGCACAGAGCACCACAACTATGACCTGGACCATAAAACCATTCAGAAGAATAGTTTAAACTCTGTAAATATAATAGTTCCTGTTGAAAATTAAATATTTATTATAGTAAATACTTTTCTAGTCTCTGGCCCCTCAAAGCTTGTTTACACAAATCACATTCAACCATTTATTCACAGCATGTACGCTAATGGCAGAGGATGCTGTGTTAAGTGCTCATCAGGATTAACTAACCTAATCTGTGTGCATTGTCACACACCGGCCGTGCCCTCAGTAGCACTTTGGGTTTCGGTGTCCTGCTCAAGGACCCTTAAGCACGTGCACTGCAGAGGCATGAATCAATTCACCAACCCTCCAAATGAGAGACAAGTTCTGTCACTGAGCTGCATCACTGAGCTGATAAAGATTTCATTAAATCTAAAAGTAAATATCCAGTGAGCAATCTTAGTTTGTATCAAATTTGGTGTGTTGAAAAAAGGGTGGTTTTCCTATCACCTTAAAGGTCACTCTTACGTCTAATTTACCAAACACAATAAAGAAGGTACTGACTGATATAAATCTCTGACTCCAATTCCTTAATTACCTCTCACCCTTTACCCGTGTGGATGTTGATAAGGAGAAGAGAAGATGAGGATTCAGAAGAGTTCTCAGTTGAAGCTCTATTTCATTGATTACACATGAGTTTTATCCTTATTCCTGTTATCCATCATTACATGACTGCAATGAGCACAATTGTTGATTCTTTATGCAGCTTCATCAAATCATCTCCAAATTTACAATATGTCCTAACAGGTGCTACCTGTGTACAAAGTGGTTCATCTCATGTTTCAGCTGATTTTGTCCCTAAAGATAAAAAACAAAATTCTGTTGTCAATAGCAATGGTTTCAGGAAACAAAAATATATCTGTATAGTTTTAATAAATTCTATCATTGATGGTCACTGTCAGTTACTTCAAAGTTCCACTTTAAAATTTATCTGAATTTACTTTTGGAGTTTTTATTTTTTGAACATGGTAAAGCTTTTTGGTTTAAAATAGAAAAAGAAAGAAAGAAAGAAAGAAAGAAAGAAAGAAAGAAAGAAAGAAAGAAAGAAAGTGTAACGTGAAGGTTCGATGTAAGGTGGATGGATAATTCTAATGCTGAGAAACAGCAGGATGGAGATGGATAACTTTCTTGGCAGCACTTTTACTCTTCAGCCAACTTGTCATCTCTACAACATAACCCCCAAAAAATGACATCCTGGACACCCCTGATCACATGTCACAGCACTTAGCAATCAGAAGCTAGGACCTCAAAGTAAATGTAAATGAACCTCAGAAACACATTCTGCATAATCTGCTAACCCTAACAAACGGCTGCAGAGAAAAGCATTTAAACTTGTAAATATGAACCTGTCAACACTTTGTGAATAGCTTTCTGTATGAATTCTGAAAACACAATTTTTAGCTTAACTTAGAGATGGTTAACTGTAATAGTTGACAGACATATATGTATTGACTCTATTGTTAAAGCTTACAAAAGAAAGAAAGAAAGAAAGAAAGAAAGAAAGAAAGAAAGAAAGAAAGAAGAAAAAATGCCAGGATCTCAACAGAAAGGTGGCAACCATTCTAGTTATCACAGGAAAAGAGAGTTAAAAATAAAAGGATGCTTGTAAGCCTAGTTTGTTCATTAAAATAATCAATCAATCAATCAATCAATCTTTATATTTAAAGCACTTTTCATACATATAATGTAGCACAAACACCAACATACCTGCACTAACTTCACGTTGCTATGATTAAAGGTCCTTACACACTGGGACCGGCACAAATATGTGTCGTGAAATTCCGAAATATTCGAAGGCGAATTTTGATGCACCTGACTATACACATCAAGCACGAAGCGATTTTGCGACTTTCCGGGTGGAAAAAAGATGCGTCCCGGATGGAAGCGAGAAGACTGACAAAACACCAGACTGAGTGTTTTTCAGTTCTGATTAGACACTAGTGCTGAGATGACTGTCTGTCATGATAGCATGTACTGAGTCGGGGCCAGTACCTGATAAGCACATTAAACTATAATCCATAAACGTAAGGTAACAACCGAGACCTAATGGTGCTGTGACAGCGACGCGATTGAGTTTGAGACAGTGAAAATACATATAGTATGTTGTATCTGAGCAGGTTAGCTTACGAGCTAAAGTTATTTAGCACAGATGAAAGTTAAAACAAAGACGTTTAGCAAACTGTTAAAGCACACAAACCATCATCATATGAGAAATCTGACACTATGACTCTCCACAAGTTGTCCTTCAGGTCGTTATTTTTGTAATGTTTGTGTTTTTTATCAAAAAGCACTCTGTTCTCCGACACGTAAACAATCAGCCATGTTGGGTATACCGGTGAATCAGATGTCGCAACAGCACAAAATCTGATTGGTCAGAAGTGGACAGACGGTATGCGTAAACTTTTGAAAAATAGACCGTGATGCGAAAAAATAAATGCCGCAATATCGCAGGACGGGAAAACGTCGCTGATGTGGACGCTTGTATTGACAGGATACGGATTTGAAAAAAAGTATTGCGCTATGAGATGCTGTCTGTCAGCTGTGCTTGTTTATATCTGGGTTGTAGAGCAATACAGCAGTATGACAGTAACTATTGACTGGAGCTGCTATTGTGTTACAGCAGCAGCTGCTGTAACACAGAGACAGAGATATGAATGTCTTTAGGACCGGGAGCAGTTATGACTGGTGACTGAGAGAGAGAGAGAGAGAGAGAGAGAGAGAGAGAGAGAGAGAGAGAGAGATTAAAGGGGGGAGTGAGAGAGAGAGTGAGAGGGGGGTGAGGTTGTCGTCACTGGGTGCTGCAGCAGCATCAGCATCACTGGAATGAGTAACAGTGCGCAACTTGGAGAAACAACTACGAGGAGGAGCGCGTGCTGGTGTGGAGTGACCTGGAGGCTTCACGAGCCGGTTTGTAAAGATCCACGAGACGCATTTATGACGACGTAAAGGTGCCAACAAAAAATAAATAAAATAAAATCAACAAACAAAAAAACCTACAAGAACTCTGTGTGGATGTGCCGAAAAGTAAGCCATGGATTATAAGAAACACCACGGTTCTCAACTCTCTATCGTCATTCTGATGAGTAAGTACACAACTCCTCTTTTACCTCTATGAGTGTAGAGCAAAAACAACACAAAATGTTGTAACTGCACTCAAACTTTTCCGCTCTAGTCCTCTGTCCTCCTCTTATTTTCACTTCAGAGAAAATTAAATTGATTAGTTTGGATTAGAGAGTTTTTTTTAAGAAATCTTTTTTTTTCTTTTGGGTGAAATTTGCGAAAGGAACCGTATATTTCTCGTGTATTAAATTGTCGTTGTACTGCACGTAAGGAGATGGTTTATGAATTTAAACAGTAGGTGGCGCTGATTCTCCAGTTAAGCTTCAATAGGCTAATGCAGAAGAAGAGGCCGTAACGACGAAAGCGGTAGAAACTATCCAAAAACAGGTAAAAACACTCAATGTGTCCTTTTTTATTCCACCAGACTTGTTTAAATGGACCCACTCTTTTGTATGTCACATAGTATTTTGCCCAAGCCTGCTTCAGTATCTTAGCATATGCAGCAACTCACTTGCCCACTCATTTCCTCGCACAGATCCAAAGGTGTTTCCTCACCGTCTACTTTGAAAAACGACTTTGGAGGGGGTTTCATATTCCCTAGAGCCACACTATAGATAGAGACATTGATTTATATTCATTACAACTGCAGCATGGCCAAGCTTGGCCAAGACATTGGCTCTGTAGCTGCAGCTGGAGAATTGGCAATTACAGACTATTGGATTCTTTGATTTAAACCCATCAAATGTAGAGGAAAACCCATTGTTTCATAGTTGTTTAAAAACATTTATTTGCACAATGAAAAAGTAGAAGCGGTTCAGAGCTTCCGTTTATCAGGAGCTTCCCATTAATCATTGTTTTCCTCTTTTTTTGTAGACTCTAAAACAGGCCTAGTTTCAAACATGAATTGACTGAGTGTTGAAGTCCAGCAGAGGCATGTCATGTGGGGAGGGAAACTATGATGAGCTGACTTAGATTCAGTAGAGTTGAATTATTAGCATTGCTGTGACTTCATCTGGTTTAAAATGTTCCCACGGTGCACATTAGTTCACGTTTTAGATGTCGAGACTGCATTTTTACTCTAAAAGCCCACTAAGTCTTCATGCCAGTGCTTGTTTTTTTTTACGAGACCGTTAGTGTGGTTCAAATATGTGTTCTCGTCTCTGATGTGGGGCCACATGCTTTAGTGTCTGTTGAATATTTGCCTTTGCATATGCTCATGAAAAGTTTATTTGAGCCATCTTCAGGCACACTGTCATCTCTCTATTGAACAGACTGAGGGGGGAGGAGCTGGTTTCTTGGCTTGTCAAATTTTTAATTGGCTTTAGTAGCCACAAAGGCTGGACCAGTTTAAGTGGCTCTGTCTTGCTGCAGTCAATCTCAGTGACAGGAGAAAACCCAGATACTGTGAGCTGTGCCAAAACTCACAGTATTATGTCAAACCCCTCCCCCTCTGGTCCTGAATTGTGTCCAGCATGCAGTGTTGGTTGAGCTGCAAGTCAGGGACATTTCTCTGGTGTGATTTTGCATTTGTGTCATCTCAAAATGATCTATATCATCATGTAATTTGCACCAGAACATATACTTTTAAGAAATTTCTACATTAGATGCCCAACATGTTCACACTGAAGTAATATGCATGAATTTTATTCATTTTAGCCCTCTATTGCTGGTACTAATAGAGGCATTATTCAACATATCTGTGGTTATTATTGGGCACTAACAGCTTTCAGTTAATGTTTGGGAAAGATGTGGCTTTTGAAAAATATTGAATAAGTTGTTTTTGACTTGAAGCACAAGACTCACCATGTTCACTAAATTAATATCAATCTAAAACCAGAATGTCCTAACTTCGCATCTCCTGCTGATATGTTGGCAGTATGAGTACAGACACGTATTGTTTTCGCTGTTTTATGATGAAATTATGAAACGTTGGGCTTGCTCTGTGGTTCACTTAAGCTTTTTTGGCTCAAGGAAACAGGACTGATGGGAATCTGGAGTAATCGGGAGGCACTCTGTGTTTCTAGTTCTTTTCCATGCTGTAGGTCTCTTCAAGGGGAGAAAATGCAGCAAGCTGAGTTATCTGTTTTTACAAACACCATCTCAACTAATGTACCTGAATAAGCTGTATTGGCAATATAATCTCGCACTCTGTTTTTCTCTTTTTTCCTTCCAGTTTAGAAACAGTTTTAACCATATACAGCCAATCTAAGATGCATTCGCTATGAGAGAGCTGCTTTTTGGACTGACTCATGCTGTCATTTCTCTTCATAACTACAAAGACTCTGCTAAATTCCTTCAAAACAGAGACTGGAAATACTGCTGTTCAGTTTTCAGCCCCAATTCATATCTTCTGTAACAAAAAACATTTATATCCTCGATTTGAGTGTAGGCCCTGGTTTTAATTTTATTCTATGGGAAATATAATATGTTTAATGTTTACAATCAGTATGAAACCCTTTTAGGCGAATTCTTTTCATACTAAATTTGATTTATGACTGTAGTGTTCTTTCATTTCCTTCTGAAAGAACTTAAAATTTTTACTGTTTTCAGACGTTTTCTCTTTACACTTGTTAGTTTATTGGAAACAAAACTTCAGATTGAATGAAATTAGTCGCCTCAAAAAGCTGATACATAAAGCTGCAAAAAACAAACTGTTATTGTTGTTATGTGTATTAAATTTCTTGTGACCATGACAAATTAGTAACTCAAACACACACTCATACACACACCTGCCTCTTCTTTCTGCTCCTCTCCCTGCTCTCCTCTCTCCGCTGTAGTTCGCTGTCGCACATGTTGAAAACATGGCAGTCCACAGCTATCGTCAGCGGTTGCTGAACTTTGCTGCACATCAATCTGAGCTAATAAGAAGAGAAAGTGAGGGCTGTCAGAGGTGAAGGGCAGAGCACATGCTCTTCACGGTTGTACAGTACAGTAATTGCTCAGTCTTGATTATTATTGGATTTCACTTCGGGGATCAATAAAGTTCCTCTAATCACATTTTTATGGTCACGGGGAGCCATTGTCATTATTGAAACTCAATCGACCTCTCAGCTCAACAATTAGCTCACCTTTTTGGTTGTTGTCTATCATAAGAATAATTCTGTTTTGATTGTATTTTTGGAAAGTAAGGACTTTCATTTTTGATATTCATCTTGTGTTTGTGTCTTACCTTGTAAGAAAGTCGGTCATTTTATAGTTATGTCAAACTACTCTTGTGATAATTTAGCTCACTGTAAATATGGACAAAAAGATTAGCATCAACAGCATGAAGTTATTAGAGTTTGAATCTCAGTAGAGTGGGTCATTCAAGATCTGGACTCACAGGTTTGCTCATCCTTCAAGTGATTTTACTTTCTTGTTTGGAGTCAAGACTTGGAACGTTTATTGACCAATGCACTTTTAATTTTTGTTTCATATGAATTGATTCATTCAGATTGATCCCTTGCTTGTGTAAAAGTTTAAAACTCTACTCAACAGTAAGAGGTTTAAATGCTTATGCACAGTTTGGAGTTCTTTCAGGAGATCAAATGAAACATTAAGAGACGGACTTGACCCCAAGACGAGCTGGGTTAAAGTGTAAACTGATTAGTCTGAGTCTCTAATGTGTTTGGGAATTGGATGCTAGTTCACTAAATACCTCAGGAGTCAGATAACTGGCTTTTCTGTTTGATGAATCAGATCACTGGGTGAAGCCCTTCCTGAGGGTGCAAAATAAATCCCCTTTTGCATCTGAATATTTTTCTTCTCCATGCAAAATACCTCATTTCCTCCCACTGACTCCTTTCATATTTTCTCTGGCAGGGTTCACAGATTGACTTCTTTTTTCATAGTTTTTCTTTGAACCCCTGTGTTTTATCATTTTCTTCCCTTCTTAACCACAAACACAGAGAGACAGTGCTGTGTGCAGTGTTCTTATAGCTCTGTTACTGAATGAGAGTCACCTGTTGCTCAGATGAGGAAAGACTTTTAGCATTAGCAGCAATCAAAAAGATAGATAGGGAGAGACAGCACATCAAAGCAGTGCCTCTGTAGCACCACAATGCTGGCTTGGTGACAGACAGATGCACAGCTGCTTCTATATGGGGGTGACCACGGGTCAAAGCAAAGCAAACTGGAAGATGTTTTGAGTTTCTGTCCTTGAATTTTGTCATCAAAAACAGAAGGGAATGAAAAAGAGGTGGATAGATATAGTCACAGTAACTTTGAGAGAAAACATGAAAGCAAAGACAAACATCATTAACCCCAGAGTGAGAGATGTACTATTCCCGTCAAATAAAGCCAAAACAGAGAGTAGGAATGGATTATCTGACTTTTGTGTGTGTGAAAACACTTGATCTTGTGTATTTTATAGGTGTGATATAGAGGAACACAAGCTCCAAAAACAAAGAAAGATTATACAGGCAGCTCTGGACATGTGTGTTTATTCTTATACTCACACTCCCAAAACAACCATGAGCTTGTTTACTTTCTCAAGATCTGCAAAGTCTGAAGAAATGGATGAAACTCAAAAACAGAATCTGGCCATAGTACTGCAGGAACTTTAAAAGGCATGTCAAAGTGAAGACTGCGCCAGTCTGTCAAATCAGCAAAACAGTTTCTCTTTGGTGAAAAGAAACTATTCTGGGCAGCTTTCTCCTTGATGAAAGAACTGATGGAAAAGCTATATTTTTTTCATCTGATTGAATTGACAACTAACCTCGATGAGAATTTATGTGTCTTGGACAGTTATTTTATCTATTTTAAAAGCATCCAGAAATCACATTTCCCATCCACAGGTGGTCTTTGATATTTAATACAATCAGTATTTTCCATAATTATTGAACCACATGATAACAATATATCACCATAACCATTCAATGTGTTCTCCAACAATAACATTTTGATAAAAAGCCTGTTGGAAATCATAATACCCCCTCTTTAAAAACAACACTTGCAGTTACTTTCAAAGTTTAAAATCATCCTATTTAGGCATATGTCAAAATTATTTTTACTGCCTTTTGCTTTTTATTACTTCACTTGAACCCCCTTTGTACATTTATAGAGCGGTTGCTTTCATGGTTTTAGACACTAAAATTTGATTTTTCTGTTAGGGCTCATCATGACAAACTGTCCAAATGTCAGTAAATAATAATTAATGGTTAACAGTTGTGCTTAACACAGACAGGCAAGCTGTTTAGTACAAGAAGAAGTCAAATATTTTTTCACATTTCTGTTGTGTTAGTTTCCCAACATCTGTGCGACTGTCCTTTGCAGTTTCCCGCCCCCACACACTTTTTTACGATGTGAGACAGAGTTGAATTATGTTGTGCTCTAGCCATAAAGATGCTTCACAGTGTCAGTGTCCCAGATCTTCATGTGGCGAGAAATAACTTGGGAATGACTTGATTTTGTTGAATGAAAACAGGCTGCTGTCAGAGGAAGCACGGGTAGAAAACAGAACAACAAAGTCTTGGGGTCACATGTTTTGTATGTGTGTGTTTTTGAGAAGCTTTAATGTTTCATCACATCCTGATGAAATCAATGGCTCTTCTACTGTCACACAGCATTCTGACTCCCGGTGAACGCAATGAGGGTTTTAAATTTCAAATTTTACAGTAACATTAATGTGTCATGACCGATTTCTCAGCCTGTTGTAAAGATTAACAGACTGAAGCACAAACAGTGACAGGCCCAGACGTCTTATTGTTTGTCTATAAAATCACAGACAGGGCAGCTTTCAGGCGATTGTGGTGCTCCTAGTAAATGTCTGCTCAAGCTGAAAAGCATTTGTTTGTCAGAAAGCCTTCGCTGTAACTGCCCTTTTTTTTTTTTTCAAAGAAATTTGGGAAAGAAAATTCTCTTGCAAAATGTCTGGGCAGCACATACTGATTCAAAATCTGCAAAACACGACAGTGAGTCATAAAGAAGACTGCTCTGGTTGTGGCGGTTTATACGTCAAAGAGTTAACTTGTGAGTGGAGTGTGCCTCAGTTTTTTATTGAGCTGCTGTTTGATCTCTGTGAGGGAAGGTCAGCTCAGCAGCCGTGCAGACTGAGTGGGAGTTAGACTTTGTGGTTGGAGATGAGAAGGACTGTTTCAGTCTCCTCATTACCCCAACTCATCAGATGTCAGGCGCAGCTTGTAGACAAAATTTACTGCCTGCATGCCCTGTAGTGATTTGTACATTATTAATGCTTTGTGTTATTCATTCATAGATGCAGTTTCAATTTATTTGTGTTCCTGCGTGTCATGTTCACTCAATGCCAAGTAAAAATATGGATTTCATTAAAGGTTAATAAGTGATTTGTTACCACTGTTCTACAAATCTATGGTTTTTGGACTATGGTGAACAATTTGTCCAAGCTGTGCAGCAGAACTGTGATCAGCAGAGATTTTCTCATCTGTAACACGTTAATTTTAGCACATTGTGATCAGTTTACTGTTGATAAGTTGTAAGCAGCAGGTCCTTAATTATCCAGAGTGATACTCATTCTATCAAACGAAGGAACCAGAAGGACTAAAACCAAGGAAAATAAGAGGAGGATATGCTTTTTTACACCCAAGGGAACCTTTTTTACTAGTATTGAATACAGGAGCCCTTGAACATGCACTCTTTGCTCAAGGGCAGGGGTGGGCAATCATGTGCCATGGAGGGCCGAGAGGCTGCAGGTTTTCTTTCCAACCCAAAACTCCACCAGGTGATTTCACTGATTACCTCACCTCCAAGCAGAGAGCAGGGACTAATCCGTGAAATCACCTGGTGGAGTTTTGGGTTGGAAAGAAAACCTGCAGCCTCTCGGCCCTCCATGGCACATGATTGCCCACCCCTGCTCAAGGGGAACAATGACTCTAGCTTGCACCTCTCCAGCAACCAGTCCAACACCCATCCTTGGGTCTGTGCCTGATCTTGAGCAAGCCACTCTCCAGTTCTCAAGTAAAGTCTCTACTGAGTTACTGTAGTGCCTCTCTTTTAGCTTAAGGAGGAATATCTTGTTTTTTTTTCCTTTTCTGGCAGCTTAATGCCTGACTGCATGTCTCTATATTTACCTGTCTGCTGTTTGGTGCTTGGTGAGTAATGCACCATGGGTCTTTTTGTTGAAAAGGGTGGCAAAAAAATGAGACAAGAGAAAGAATTATTCAGCCGTTGAAACGCAAGTTTTTGTAGATTGAAGCTTGTTTATAAAAAGTGGGAAACAGTCTGCAGTATTCTCTTCAGATACGAGTTAGCCAATGAGCCAAACATGTTTCAGCCAGACAACAATGATTTTTTTGTCTTTGCTCCTCTAAAAGGGGATCCTGTAGGGATGACAAATGACTGGCATTATTGTCTTTGAAAAGTGCACATGACCTGGTAAAAAGTGTATAATTGAGTTATGTTTTTACCACTTCTTCAAGCAAACCACTGTGTTGCCACTTTATCTGCTTATTTGATTAGAACCAAAAACTTTGTAGTGATTTGGAATTTGTTGCTTTCTGTGATTTTTTTCTTTTAGATGACTCAACAAAATATGTGGATGTTTTTAAATGTGCATAACAGGTTGCACCTCCATTCCCTGGTGTTTAAGGTAGACCCTTATACTTGGAGTAAGTTTGCCATCCCTTCCTCTTAGTCTTGACCTTTTTGTAGTTCCCACACACCAACATGGAGAAGGAAAGAGGAAAAAACTGAAAGAAAAGTACAGTATGTGGTGAGATGTTAGAAAGAGAACAAACCCACGCTGGGTATGACCGCACATTTTCCTTCCCCCATCTCCACCAGAGCGAGGAGAGGAGGGAGGAAACAGAGAGGCAAGAAGCCTGTTTGAGCAAGAGCTCACCCCTGCAGGGTTTGTCTGTACTTTACAAAATTGTACTTTTTACGGTGAACCAGGTGTGACATTGCAAAAATGCACCCTTTAAACTTTGCTTAATGCATTTAAAATCCTGGATATCACTTTGATGTTATATCAAGATCCCAGTTTGAATTTGGTCATTTCATCTGATATCACAGGTAGGATACAGCAAAAGGCAAAAGTTTACATGGAAAAGGGGGTGACCGTTTGAGAGGTCAAGACTTGACCCTTCAGAGCTTGGTATTTACAAACATGAATTGTGTCAGGGCATTAATGTAGACAAAAAAAAAAGAGAAATTTCCCCGGCAAAAACACATCACATCACATTAATATACTGAGAGCTTTTTACCATTACCACCAGGCTTTATGTGCATGCATCACTTCTGAACAAATCACATGTTCCCCTTTCATGGCAGATAACTTGTCACCACTCACCTTGGATTATACTCTTATTAACCTACGCGTGTCCTGTCTTTTATCTTCATATTCATATCTGGTTTTCAGATAAAACGGACCTTCTGTGTCAAAGTGTTTTTGCCCCTCTTAGAAGAAACCGCATACCCCCACAATAAGCCGGCAAATTGAAGCCAAGCTGCAACCAATTTAATCACAAATTAAGTTAGGAGACTTCTATTTATTTGGGACAAGTGAAAGCCTGATTTTCTACACATGAGTAGGTCATTCATTAGTGTGCCTTGGAGCAGATAAATACTATTGGGCTCAAGCTGAGATGCATTTACTTTGACATGCATCAAGTTCCCTTTAGGTGTCTGGGGAAATCTTCAGAGCTACATCTTTGGAAGGGAGTGAACCTCTTGAAGAACTTTTTAAAGACCATTATTCACTCCTTCATGTAGACTACAAAAGAACTCCTAGTCCTCTTTGTAGCTCAGATTGATATACTTTAGCAAACAGAGCAGCTCAATGTGAATTCATGGATGCGTGTCTACTATCATCCATTTGAAGATTCTTCAATGCTGCCTGTCTACTGATAATTACAATACCTGTAATGCTGGAACACACTATTGATTGGTTAAACAAAGTGATGTTTTTTGGGGTTTTCAGTAACACTTCAGTACTTTTTCATTTTCTATGCCCTGTCAAAGAAAGCAGTACAGTTCTCTTTCTCATCTGAGAGTCTAATTTTATTGTCTGGGAACAAGGGTATGATTAGAGAACTGAAATGTCCAAAGACGACATGTTTTATTTTCAGGGCTGTGAATAACTGAATCAAACTTATACTGTCCTCCTCAAGGGGCTGATCCACGTATTACAAGTGGTTTTCTGAAACATATTTTTTGCAGATGAATTAAATGAAATGAGTGGATTTTCTTTCCCCACGTCTTATTCGCAAGTTCAGACATGGATAACAAGAGCTTCAACCTTAAAGTTGAGGCCTTTGTCTGTATTGAGTGCCCAAAAGGACTCCTTATAAAATGTGTGAGTCATGAGCTTTGTCCTAACATGCTTTTATTATATTACTGAAAAGAACTTGTATAATTCTTGTGCTTTCTGCTAGAACTAATTCATTTTTGTGTTCACATTTCCTCGGCTGGGTCAGAGATTTGCCCATTTCTTTGGCAGAGATTTGCTGAGGTAGTGAAGAAACTCCTTGGCCACTTTTTTGGGCTTCAGGGAGGTGGTGACAGGAGACTGCGGCCAATTGTTGAAGCTTGTATACAGGAGGGCCAATGACTGTGGAAAAAAACGATACAGCTCTTTATCTTTGGGGTACCAGGACAATGTTGAAAGAGGCCACCTACCTTGCTCTTACAGGGGGGGTACTGAGAATGGGTCACTGCTACAAAAAAATAGCAAATTATTAGCGGAGGAGTTGTGCCAGTATTCCTTGTATAAAGTCAAATCTGTCTGTGGTAGGTGATTACCTTCAACGGGGTTGTGTTTCATTGCTGATTTGGGCAGCGATGCTTTCCAGAGAGTTGATAAATGAAGCTCATGAGAGATGATTCAAATCAGCAAGATGAAAAATGAAAAGTTATACCACTTTTTTAAAGAACAGAAGGTGCTATCTGCCTTTAACCTCTCTCTAAAACCATACTGTATGGCTCTGTGTAGCTGAACAGAGACATACAGACATGGTGCACATGGTGCTCCCTGCACTTAATATCTGGGCAGCGTTTCCTCTCCTGAATGGTCCTCTAAGTGAAGACTGGAGCACAGTTGTATTGTTTTTAAATTTCTTTTTCCATTTATCTGACCTACCAGACAAAAAAACCCACATTGGTGTCCTTGTCTATGTGTTGATGTTCCAGCTGATTGAAAATGGTTTACAATAAATTTTAGATGTCCCTGTTTTCAAATTAATTTCCACTTTAAAATGAAAGAAAGATTACAAGTAGTGTCTTTGTTTCTCTGCTACCCTCCATTAGAGAGAGAAGTAACAGAAAGAAAGACTTACACACAAGGTCAGAGCTTATGCCTCTTCAGTGGGTGCTCATGCTCAAAAAGAACCCCAAACAAAACCCTGAAACCTTCTTTTCATTTCCTGCCATAACACAACAAATTAGCAGAAGCACCTGAGCTGTCCTTTCAAAATAAAATCAGATTCCTCATCCGGGATAATTCCAGGATCATAAAATAATAATGAAAAAATAAAAACCCACATATAACAACCCTGTGTTTGTAATTTTGTGGACTGAGGCAGGGTATGTCTACTGCCTTTTGCAGGTGATTTAGTCGTCTTACCTTTTTATAAGGAGAAATGGCCTAGTGTCATGGGGCTAGCAGTCAGTCACTTCCCAAAGGACTTGAAGTTTTATGAGATTTTGTCCACAGATGAGGGTAATGATGGGGGGTCAGGTCCACAGACGAAGAGGTGCGTTGTGAGTATTGGGTGTGCAATTAAACCACTGGTGAATACAGGGCTGAAGACAAAGCTCTCAGTTGGATGGACTTTCCTTTCAAGCATCATCTCTGGGTGTTTACTGAAAGAAGAAAGCACCAAAATGAGGTTCTTCCGAGGCTTGGTCTTGTTGCACTGAAATGAGCCAGCTGAGGAGGCTCAGGCATCTTATGAGGAAGCCTCTTGGGTGCCTTTTTTGGAGGTTTTTGGAGATCCTGGTTTAGAGCAAGAATATGCAGGACAAATCACTTATCTCATCTCTCCCCATAGTGGGTTTACTAGGGGTAGTTTTTGCAATAAAAACCTAATCTATCACAAGTTGTGTTGTTAACTATGTGCAAGTGAAAGGAAAGAAATTACATTGTTACTCATAAAATGATCGCATAGACTTTTTTCTGCCATGTACTCTTTGATCGGAGAAGTCATGGGTCTTATAAGCTTCAAATAAATCTGTGTTTTGGATGTTAAGTCCAAGCAGAAACACACAGTTTCAATCAAACTCAAATAACACCCATCAGCAAGGAAAAATTGATTTTAAATTTGCTGTAGTAATGAGATCTGTCAGTAATTATTCCCACATTACCTAAATGGTAATTCGTGTGTTTACCTTGGCAACAGGCATCTCTTAGGGGCTGAAGCTAATTTAGAGGCCTTGGGAGGGTTTAGGGTTTGGTTTAATGAGTGTTATAGCTCTGCTTTCTGGTGGCATTGCACAAAACTGACATGAAATTCAACTCCAAAGTAGTTTTATGGTTCAGTGTTGTGCTGGTATGTTCAAGTGGTTTCTGTGTGTTTGCGTCTGAAGCTTAATAGATGAGGTTTCTTGGAGTTGATAGCAGTGTTTGCTTCTTTTGGACGGGCCTCTGAGAGCAGACAGGAGCACAAATGTGTATTGTATATCTGACAGGTTGATGACAGTAGAATGAGAAATAAACAAACAGTGTGTTTAAAGTTCAAGTTTAAGTTGTGGATTAGTTTGAAATGGCTATACGTATCGCATTTGAGAAATGAAGCCTTATCTGAAATGTTTTTGCAGCATGAGTCATCTCTGAATGACAGTAGAGTAAAGACACACTGTTCCCTGCTGGAGGAAAGACAGACATTCAATGAGCTTCACATTTTGCAGCTAATCTTTGTGAAAAATCTCAATAGGTCTGAAAAACCCTCTGTACTTGTTTGGATTGGTTCTGTCTGTTTTTAACCAGAAGATAGAGTAACACGCTGCACACTGTTTTGGAGCAAATTAATAATATCTACATTCATATTTTCAAACATTAGTCAGTATTGTGACTGGAATAAAATCCTGTTTAAGTATCCACACATCATAAGTAAAGAAGAAATTTATCACTTTCTTTCAACCATGATACAATTCTTTGCAACACAATGCACAAGTATGATGATGACAGCATTATATTAACTATCTTTATGGTCACCATGACACCAACAATTCTTGTTTTTGTAGTTTCTGCCCCAAAAAACAAAATAAAATTGATAAGTCTGGTGAAACAAACAGGACATGACAAATGTGCTTTCTTCAGTGTCGTTTCTTCAAAGTTTCGCCCTTTTCTCTTTTTTTTATTCTAACATCTGGTTCTGAACCCAATAAAAATGTAGTTTGCTTATTACAAATAACTTGCAGTATTCATGTGCAAAAATTGAATTAGAGCATTTTGAACTTTACTGAGCCCAGAGAGGAAATTAGATTTAGACTAAATTATCGCATGGACATAAAAGACATACAGTATGCTTGCGGTCAAAACAGCTGCAGAGACATACAGAGACAGTTTAAGTTGTGAATATAAAAAATGTGTTGCTGAGAGTCATTTAACCATAAAAAACTGACTGATTTTATTTGATTTGCAGTAAAGCATGAATATTGAATCTGTACAGCGCAGTCAAACCTGGAATCAGATGTGGCAGCTGAAAAAGTGAATTTTACTGCCCATTTCACTCATTTGGCTTGCCTTTGCTGTTTATTACTTGTCATAACATTGGCACTGAAGAATGTGCATTCAGTCATTCAGCCTTTTGTTTGTGGGAGGGAACAAGATAACTTTGAGATGCAGAGCTGAGAGTCAGAAACACTTCACACACGTAACAGGATACATTTTTGTGTAGCATTGGAGGTTCTATCTTAAAGATAATTGTACAAATCCTGGTTTGAAACCACAAATGAATCAACCTAAAAAAGCCTAAACCCAAAATATTTCAGATTCTCTCCAAATCAGTGTCCCTTTTTGGGTTATTTGTGTCAGGCAATATTATTTCTTTTTGTTTTGATTACTGATCAGACAAAAAAGTGACACAATGACATTTTGGAAACCAAGAAAACAGCTTGCATGAATTTAGTTTATTAATGCTAAAGTTGAACTGACACGGAGACGTAAATTTTAAGTTGTTTTTTTAATGATGGTTCAATAAAAACTCTCTCTCCAAACTGTGTTTCCAAACTGAGTTTATCCAGGCTTTGTCACTTAGAGAGCTTTCCTTGTAGTGAGAAAAGTTCAGCGATTTATTGTTTGTTGCATATTCTGTTTTCTGCCAAGGAGTTCTGTTAAAAATCAAATTATTTTATCTTCAATATACTACTTTTCCTCTGCTTTGTTACACTGCAAACTGCACGCCCGAGTCAGAGTAATTTGAGGTCACTTTGGGTTTTTTTTGGTACCCAGAACACGATCTTGTCCTTCACCCCTAACAAAAATAATTGTGACAGCTCATACTTAATCTTGGCCCGAGGGTTTTCCCATCAGAGGGATAATAAAACTTTTTAAATAAAGATTTGAAGGAGTCTTGTGAACCATATTCACAAAAAGACATTATCTTAAAGAAATCAGATCAGGCACTTATTTTTGTTGTTGATTTGGAGGTGTGCTACATTTCACTGTACTATCTGAGGGTCATAACGAGAAATCTAGTCAATCCTTACTTGAATACCACCAAATTGTACCCAACGTTATATTTGGATACTTTTCAAAAAGAGCAGGCCTGTCTCTTTTCAACAGGTCACAGAAACCCAACACAGGTTCACCCTGAGCTAGCCTTTGGTGACAGAGGCCAAGAAAAACCCGTCTTTTAACAGGCAGAAACCTGAGGCAGAACCAGACTCAGGGTGAAAAAACCATCTGGCATGACTGAACGGGGTGAGAAGAGATGTAGTGGTTGTTGGATTTTAAAGCACAGACTCAATGATAAAATCAATCCTCTCATGAACCTCTTGAAACTGTTAAAAGACAGCTATGTGCCCGAAGTATAACATTTGCTCTTTAGACTCCTTTATGAATATTACTTTCTTGTGCAACAATTTCCTCCACTAGATAAAGCCGGCAGAAACACTCATGTTATGTACAACATGCGTCATGAACCTTGTGTCACCTCTCATCTCTTTGATAATGCATATCCAGGGTCGGCTCACCTCTCTCTTCCTGTTTTATTTACAGTCTGCATCACTGAAAAGAAGTTGTGAATGGAAATACATAAAAGTTCAATATTATCAAATATATGTCCTATATTGGAATAGCAATAGTGGCTCCTGTGACACTGATGCTGTAAAATCTCATATTCACATTACCTCAGTCTCACTGCTGCAACATGCCTCTCACCCACAAGCTCTTCCCATCGTTTGTAACCACTTGTTGTTCAGTCCGAAACTCCCTCCTGTCTATTTTCAGCCGTCTCATTGACTTAATGTCTCTGACAGCTTTGGGAACTGGTTCTGGCTGGATTTTGATGTTCAAAGGAGAGGACAAGATGGCTAAAACTGGTCATTCACAGTCCTCTGTGTGTCCTCAGGTTTTTAGGTTTATATTTTCCGCAAAGATGTAATTTCAAACGGTGATTGTCAGTTTGTGACAGCCTTGTTTGATTTAAGCCTTGCTGCCCCCTTGTTTTCTGTCACACACCCTCATAATAAAGTAAAGTTCAGACACACATTTGGATGCAGTTAAAGTGACAGACGTGCAGTTACAAAGGCCAAACACACTGAATGGATCATTTTGAAAATGCCAAATGGGAAGTATTTACAACACTTCAGCTCCTGAGCACTCTTACTGTCAGCCAAATATGGAACATCTTTCTTTGAACTCTCTCCCAGGAGTGTTTTTGTCTGATTCTCCGTCTCCTCTTTACTTGTGCTAACACTTAACCGGGGGAAGTTGTCTCTGGATGTCTCAGATCATGGTTCGCACTGTGTGGAAATAAGGGATAAGACCTACAGTGATGGGGGATTTTGGGGGCTCGGAGCTTTGATGTGCAGAAATGGGAAACCTTTGAGACTTATTGTGATGTGTTGGTGCGTGTGGTGAGTTTTAATGCAGCTGCAAAGGAACCAGGCTCAATTCATGGAGCGCTAATGATAAAGTTATCTTTTGGTAAATCCATCAAATAGTGGCATAGATATTCTGTGCAATGTCACTGAATATTTGTGCTTCAGTTCGAAAATTGTTCATAAGATTATTAAATCCCTAAGACTTTTGGTAAGTATTTGCCTGTGCTACTGAGCAGATGACATTTGTGGTTTGGAGTCAAATTTCTCTAAAGCCATAAAATTTAGTTTAATTTAGTTTCCTACAGGGTGAAATGTAAGATCTCAAGGCATAAGGTCCATGCAATGAAAGTATAAAAAAGTCAGAAAGAACTAAATTTTATTATCAAGTTATTGATCTAAAGCATCTGTCAGGTACTTGACCTGACAGGTTGGTAATCACACAATACATTTTTTCCTCTCTCTTTTTTTTCAATAAACTTTGTTAACAAGCCAGACGTCACATATTTCAAAGTGGTGTTAATAAGAAAAAAAAGAAAATTACACTGTGGGTTGCTATGGGAGGAGAAGGGGAGGGTGACTCAGACTTAGGTCCATGAGTGGCAGGGCTGCTGCATCTGTTTTTGTAACAGGCAACATTGCAGAGGATTACTTCAGTGGATGCTCAAGAGTCACAACAGCCTGAACAATGCATTCAAAGTTGTGTTTTATTCAGAGATTTATCAAATTGATAAGATGCTCTGCTAGCTTAGGATATAGCAAATAGACACCGCCTTTTCATTTCATTTTAGAGGACACCATTATGCTTTTCTCTGTTTTTTGCTTCATTTTTTTTAGTTAAAATGTGGCACTGCCAAAAGAACAAGAGAGGCAATGACAGGAATCCTGGGGATTCCCCCCAAACAGTTTTCTAATTCATTTTTACGATAATGTGTTAATATTTTTTCTTGGGATGAATCCCCCTATTTATGGATTGTTCAATCTTTCCGGTTTCCATATTCAGGAATCTATCCAAAGCTACTTCTGTTCTATAATTACTAATGAAAAGCTGCTTGTCATTGCCGTCACCCTGCATCGTTATCAGAAACAACTGCTTTTAATAAACTGCCCTTTAAATAAATCAATTTGTCCTGCTTGACCTCTTGGACCTTGCCTTACAGGCTCCAGAAAACAGTCACGGTACTGTCCAGAGGCAGTTTCAGGGGTTAAGTAGCAATGACCCTCTGCTGTATGATCATCCCCCCTCACTGTCTACTGGTCATGCTGGTTAGTATGTTGAATGTCATGTCACGTGTAAAGTGTACTGCCTCTGAAACAACATGGCTCTATTTCTGGAGCAGCTTTGTAGAGTAAGTGTCTATAATGGGAGCAGGAGCCACTGCATGCTGAGGTCTGAGGTATGCTGCTCATTAGACAGGGGACCAGTCTGTCTCTGGTCTAATGGATGAAGACAGACAAATAAGAGTGGCGCTTTCATCTACTTCATTTAAAAAAAGGTATGATACAGTACAATACAAGAATACAACACAAGAACTTTATTTATCCCCAAGGGGAAATTCATTTATTTGGACTCTTGGATGAACTGCAGATAAACCAAGTTATGATCAGACCTACCCAGGGGTGATAAGGCAGTGGCTCTGTAGGCTTCTTTGATGTTGGCATACAGCAGATCCAGAGTTTTGTGTTCTCTGGTTAGGACAGTTAACAATCTGTATGAATCCAGTCAGGTGAGAGGAGAGGGGGACATGGTTGAAGTCTCCTGATATTGATGGTGAGTCTATATCCTAGCAACAGCATCACGGAGAACATCATACAGAACTTCAGTCATTGCCTTGGGTGGGATGTATACAAATATTGTTATGATATGACTGAGCTTTCTTGGAACATCATATGGCCGAAGGGCAACAGCCAACAGTTCAATATCTGGACAACACAACTTCTCCTTAAAAGTTGTGTGTGAAGGGTTATACCTTCTCTGGTTAACAAAAAAAGCCAGCGCTCCTCCTTTCTTCTTGCCACTAGCTTTAGAATCTTTGTCTGACCTTATGGGAGTGAAACCAGGTAGACCCACACTGGAGTCCCAGTTGTTTTGATTCAACCAGGTGTCAGTAAAACACAGGAGACTGCACTCAAGTTGTGCTTTCTCAGTCTTCACCAATACCTCCAGCTCATCGCTTTTGTTGGGCAGGGAGTTAACGTTTCCTTTGATGACCGATAAGGAGTGGGCTTATATCTCCATTTCCAAGTCTTCAACTTGGCCTTCACCTTTGCACCAGCATGGCAACCACGAAAACACCTCCAGATGTCTGATGGAATTGGATGTTGTTGCATTCCTGAAAATGTCTTGCTCCACATCTGTCAAGATCTAGATGAGACTCAGAAGGCAGGACATATCTTCTGTTTTTATTCATTATTTGCCTTCTCTGTTATCATTTCCTGTAAGCCTCCATTGTACTTATGGGTTAAAAAAGGAGGAGGAAAAAAAAGCTTAGGTACTTGCATCTTCCCTGAAAGTAAATCACTTATCTTTATAAAAATAAAAAAAAAACACTACTAGCAGGTAGAAGTTTTTCCCAAAGAGTGAATTGGACTTAATCATGGCTTAGAAAGATGACAAGTAATTAGCTCTGAATGTTCTGAAATGTCTCTCTTTGGCATTTTGCACCATCACATGATGTTACTGGTATGACAGCCCCCTTACTTGATATTAAATTTCCAGAATATTACATGCCGTACTCTTGAGTAATGTCAACAGTAAGCTGGCAGGAAATGTTCATTATAAAGTCAGGGTAGAGTTGTTGTCTACTCTGGTTCACACATGCTGCTGAGCTAGGAAATGAAGTTTTTAGTAGTTTTGTGCATGTGTTAAAACAGCTTTAGGGTTCATTTCCTAACATCTTTTATCAACATTTAGTCTTATTTTATGAGGGGGGGTTTGCAGGTTGATGTTAGGATGTAAAACAGATGTACAAACCATTCACCACTTTAAGAAATACAGCATGAACTGACTTTGAATGCAAGTTTGAGGGTGTGATTTATAACACAAACTCAAAGTAAAATCTTGAGCAGTAAGCACTCCAGCTGCATGAAAGGTCAGCGACTGTCCATATGCCAAGTGATATTTTCCTGTTTAATGTGTCATCATAATTTAGTTTTTTTTTCAGGCTGTCAGATTTCACAGGCACTGTCGCTGTGATTGTTAACATTTCCTCACTAAATCCTCAAAGGAAAAAGTCACAGATAAATACTTGTCAGGTCAAGGTCTTTTATTGAATTTTGTCTCCATGGGCATGAATTTCAAAAGAGCTGCACCACAAAGTTGAAGTTTGCAACTGCACCGATGTTTAACAGAGTATGCTGATACCTTAGGTGACTGCAACCTGAGAGGTGACACTACATGTGGTTCCACTCATAAAATGTGTTGCCGTCAGCACCTCCAAGGATATGAGAGTATTAGGGTTTCTTTTTAATTTACAGCCTCACTCATCAGGATTATGTCAGCAGAATGACTGAGTGTTGATAGGGAAAATGGGTAAGAAGGGGTTTTTGAAAAGTGAGGAAATTTCACACTTTCACACCCTATTCTGACTAACTATCCACAGACATGTCCCGCATCAACAATCGTCCACACTCACTATCACATCTCCTGCATTGTCTTTCCACATACCTGTTTGTGTCTTGACCTGTGTTTTCATTTTGCTGGAGTCAAGTTGTCAAACTCTTCATCAGCGGCAGACTGTAGCTATTTAAGTAACTTCCTCTCGATATCAATGTTATTCTCCAGCACGCATTTTCAAATGATTCTGGCTCAATGTAGGGTGATTGGGTCAATGAAGGATAGAAAATACTTTTTTTTTGCAGCTTGAAGTACAGTACGTACACGCCTCAAAGGAAAACAATGTCTGTATCCACTCTTCCTGTCTTTGTTCCTCTCTGCAGTTAGCAGCACCTGCCAGGCTCTGCTGGACCGCTTTCTAGAGGAGAGCCTCTCAGATCAGCTGTTCCCTCATCATCTGGGTTTGGAGGATGACAGCCAAAGTAAGAGTTATGAACATGTCTGCACACAGTCAAAAGGAAAACAAGTATTTCCATGATTATTTGTGGTTGTGGGCCTCATGCTGGATTGTATGATGAGAGAAGCTGAGACATTTTTTCAGGAATGCTGTTCAGTCGTTTGTCCCCCCTTTTGCTGCATCTGTTGTCAGGGTTGAACAAAAATTTTTAGGTTATCTCTTGTGTGCTTGTCCTCAACCAGAATATATCAAGCATTACAAAAGATACAGGATTATATAAAAATGAATTACTACCCACTGAGCAATAGACGGCTATTAGATGTCTAGATTCTAGATATTTTTAGAGGGGAATTTAGACGTTGCACTTTAACCCATTATTCAATAACTGTTTATTTCAAAAAGCAGCTGTGAGTTGCATAACTGATCTTTAATCACTTTTCCAAAATAATGATGTCCATTGAGCAATATACAGTTAGACCTCTGTTAGCCAGCTAATCTAAAATTGGTCTAAATATAGATGTCTAAAAAAATGTTTAGACCTGTGGTAGCCTGGTTTTAGACCAGTTGTATAGGCTACATTTAGATGTCTATTAGACCTCTTTTAGACCAAAAAATGCTCAATAGGTCAACTTCAGCTTTTTTATTGCAAATGAAGTTGCAGGATGGTCTTCCAGCATTCATTCCTTGGTATGTTTCTCTAATATTGTAACGGGTATATTGTATGAACCCAAATGCAGTACAAACAAGGCACAGAATCGATGTTCAGTCAATAGATTTATTATCAGGAATCTGGCACACAGACATTTCAGTGGCTGGGCAGGTGGCTTGGTCAGGGCAGGCAGAAGTTCAGAAACCAGGAGGCAAGCAGACCAGGCAGACAATCCAAAGAGGGGCAGGCAGAACTCGTAGTCAGGAACAAAAGGCTGAGGTAATTTAACAGGAGGCAGACGAAGCAGGCAGGTCGTAGACAGGCGGGGTCGGCACCGGGAAGACGGACAGAAGAACACTGGAAAGTCTCACATGGCAAAGAACAATATGGCACTATGTGAGTGTGAGGCTGGAGAATATATACTGAGCAGAAGGCAGGGGAGCTGATAAGTGAGTGAGGGCAGGTGTGTGATCAGTGACTGAGAGTGGGTGTGGTAATCAGGGAGTGGGTGTGGTGTGAGCAGGGCAGTGGAAAATTACTGAGTCCATGGGGAAAGGCTGGAGCAGACTGTGACAAATATAAGTAGACAAACACATTAAAAGAAAGAAATTTTAAAAAGAGGACAGCAAAAAATGGGTAATTTGCATATCTAGAGTTACTTAATTTTAGTTTACAGCAAAAGAACAAAGAAGTACATTAAATAGAAAAGAACTTATACATGTTGGAGGAAAATCCCCCTGACAAAAAGGAAGTAAAGCCAAACTGAAGTTTCTCACTAAGAGTCTGCTGCTTGCAGGATTTAGCCCGACAACAACATACTAATGCAATGGTAATGATTACCCTGGTAAATTTGAGTAGTCGGTGGTCTGACGTCAAAAATTGCTTCGTTGGAAGTTACATTTAAGAGATGAGACTTTGATCTGTGAAAATTTGTCCTTAAAGGTCAGGAATGATTACTCTGCCATTTATCACCCACAAGTATGATGATTAAAAGGCAAACTAATTGGTTTGAAGTTCAAGTAGGGCTTTGAGTAAAAGTAGTAAAAACACAGCTGTTAAAGAGCTGAAATGACAGAAATAAACAAGACAAGGAAATAAACAAGCTTTTGATAAGGAAAACCAGCCAACCAGAATATTTGGTCAAAGTGCGAGTATGTTATTTCAGAAAGTTATTAAAGTGTGTCTCCATGACATAATGATTTTATTTCTCCTTCATCTCCAGTGGGTGTCTTGTGGCTGTTTGCTAAATTAGCAGAAGTATCAGTTTCCTCTCCAGCCATCATGTGATGTCTGAAGTGCCTCCGCATTTCTTCCCTTAGCCCATCACAGACAGACACATAGACACTCTGCTTTGACAAAAGCTCCATTTGTTAGGCTGTCTAGCACATTTTGGTTTCTAATTAGATTAAAAGGAAATTTCGGCCATAAACCAAGGATATTATTTGACTGTGGCAGGTTTGACCCGGGGAATTTCAAAAACATATTTTTGTTATCACAAAATATTAGTATGAATGTTGCTCTTTTAAAAAACTTCAGTGATTATTGGATAAAAGACAGAGTGTTTTACAAACTACTTGTAAGCTATAAAAAGTTGAGCTCCTAGTTGAATTAAGCTTCACTTCACTTTATTAGCGGCTGCATCAGTGTTATTTTCATTTATTATGCTCTTAGTACCACATTTGTGTTTAATTGGATGATCTGTTTCAAATTGTGAGCTTTATCTACAAACGTGGATAAACATGAGTTAGAGGCTTGTAACTTGTAACTACAGAAACTAAACTTTAATGGCTCAGGATGGTTTAGTTGGATAAATGGTTTGATTGATCTGGATAAAAATGGTATGATAAAATGTAAGTTGGCACGTTGAATTGTTTCTTTGATATCTGAAACATTTTATCTATTTATTTTTTTCTTAAAAAATACAAGTTACATCATCTTCTATAAAAAAAAGCATTTAGCTAGGTATTAAAAAACACAAACAGCTATAAAAATGTGAACTACAAATATCCTGTAAAGACTTGACTGTATCTTTTAAATGAATTTGTAAAAGTTAGGTGGGCAAGGTCTTACAACATGATCAATAGATGCTGTGACAAACTGATGTCCAGTATTGGCCATTTCATTGACAATTTAGTGGAGCTACCCAAAAAAATATTTATTATTATTATTATTATTATTATTATTATTATTATTATTATTATTAATAATAATAATAATAATAATAATAATAATAATAATAATAACTCAAAACTCAGGACCATGCTCTCAAAACCTTCCTCAAAATAACTCTGATCTACGTTTATGTAAAAGGCTGAGAAATAAGGTGGTTCAACAGTTTTGCATCTCAAAAGCTCATCATAACATTTAAGTTATATCATTTGGAGCACATAAATGGTCTTATGAAACGGGCAACTGATGTTACAAATAAATATCAAATTAAATTAAAAGAAAAAAAATCTAATTCTGTCCAAGTTGCTACAAAAACAACAGAATTCTTTATTCAATCTGTCAGAGATCTTCCCTCAAACTTATCTCATATAGTTTCTGATGTTGATCATGATGATGCCAAGTCATTTCAGATCAAGGAAGTTAACCAATGGATTACGGATCAAGCTTTGGACAAAATAAACAACACTTTTGCAAAAGACATACACATGAATACAGCATTTTTACAAAACCATAGTACCATCCTGGTTCAGCCCCTTGTTCATCTTCTTATCGTCTCCATAAACAAACAAAGTTATTCCAAATGCTCTGGTAATGCCTACTTTAAAATATCTAGTTGCTCAGCTCCAGCTTTGCAAGCAGACCAATTCTTATTTTAGTCTTCTGTTGAGTGCTGGAGAAGGTTGTCTCTGAACAGCAGCTACGTAACTAGGAGAAAAATCCTTTGGTGTGGTCTTGACAACACTGTCTCATAGAGTGAGCCACCTGTTTGTTGTTAGGAAACATAAAACAGCCTCCAGATAGAGGGAATGTTTTAGGTGCAGTGTTGTTGGACATAAAAAAGCCCTTTGATGCTGTAAGTTGTGAAATTTGAATTCTTAAACTTTCTATGTTTGATTCCCCAAAATTGTTTCTGTCATTTTTCTCTGTCAATTCTTATTTAATGGATGTAACCAGTGTGTTGTGACCAATAACATCAGGTCTGCTTCTTCTCAGTTGTATACAGACATTTGGCAACATACATTCGTAGTTATAGATCTTAAGATATATGCTGAGGACACGCTTACCCATGCGTTAACTAAAAACTTAGAGTATCAGTTTGGCATGGTGCTCTTTGTTTGTCACCCATCATTACTGAAACTAAGCCAATCTAGTCCTCCATAGAAAAGTGATCTAAAACAGACCTGCTGTAGACCAGATTTAAAGATGAAATTACTGAGCAGGTAACAGAGGAAGTATCCAGAGATAACTTTATATAAAAGTTACATTTTAAAAGTAATGTAAAAAAGATAAGGCTAATTTTTGTAGTTATTGGATGATAAGAAACTACAAACCGTTCCTTTAAATTCTATAATAAAATCAAACTTTTCTTTTTTTTTTTCATACCCTGGTCCCAGGCAAACCAGTCAGTAATCAAGCCCTGAGAGCACTTTTGTGTTTTGTGTTAAAATGTTTGAACAGACTTGCTTCTCGGACGGTGATCGTAAAGTTTCACTCTTAAAAACATCTTTCTCTATGACAGCTTTTTCTGCTAGAGAAGAATAATACTGGAACTTTCTACTTGATTATCTGGTACTTATTGCAAATGTCACCACTTTTAAGAGAGTGATGACTAACTAACAACGAAAAAGGGCCTTTGTGAACACAGCAGCTACACTTGATCAACAAAACAGCTAGAAGACAGAAAAGCTTTTTGATACCAATAAACATCATGCCAACGAGACATTAAACTTTGACTGTCATTACTGCACAACAGTAATTTGATGTTTTTCTGTGTCTACATTTGTGCTCTTTGGGATCCTGGAAATCTAAAATGAGCAGCCTCATGTAGTTACTTTTTAAGATTTCATAATCTCAGGAAAAACAGTTGTTTCATTGAAAACATGAAATAAATTTCTTGTGATCCCAAAATCACAAAGTAATGGAATCCTCACTCTAACTTGTATAACAAAACTGTTTTGAACTCATATTTTGGAGAAAAACAAATTCTGTTCGTCCCATTATAATTAATGTTCACTAGTTTTGAATGATCTGTATTCATCTTGTCTCCTCCTCCTGTTTTTGTCTTTTTTCTGCTCACTATCTGCATCTTCAAGTATTTACCTTTTCCATCTTTCAGTTTTCTTCTGTGACTTCGAGTCACCGTGCCTCTGGACTTCATCAAATCACACCGATCAAAGTGACTGGTCCGTGGTGTCGCCACAGCAACCAGGAGGGCTTCAGGCTGGGATGATACCTGCAGCTGACCACTCATTGGGCAGCTCTGATGGTAAGAATGTGTAGAGACTCTCTGAGGAGAAACTAAATGAAATTATTTGGAGGTTAGAAAATACAGTAATGGTTTCTAGGTGTGACTCAGACCTCCTGTGAGTCAGTGCATATTGCTTTAAATTTTATTTTGTGTTTGCTATCCTGTAATGTACAGACTCAGACCTTTGTGATGTTACAGCATTTATCAAAAGGTTGACTGTATCATAAAGCGACCGTAAAGATGTCCAGCCTGAATTTTCTATTCTGTTTGGTTACCCCAGGGCACTTCCTTCACCTAACATCCTCTCCTGCTGCAGAGGCCTCCGGGCAATGCAAGTACCACTTAACCAGCCCAGTCCTTCCTAGAAGCGGCAGGTTCTGTTCGCTGCAGGTTGCTCTGTATGAGGCTGGCTCTGTATGGGGGAACCTCACAGTCCTCATCAAGCCAGTCCAGTCAGATTCAACCATTCAGCCAGTGGTTCTTCTCCCCAGGAGACATGAGGAGCACAGGTTGGAGACTTCTTGATGCTGTTTGAGCTGAATATTTATCTGGTGTACTCATTAGTTATGCTGTTCATGTTCATCTAATTAGTGTCAGACAGCAAAAGCCTGCATCTTTACTGATTGAAATGCTTGTCCAATAAAGCTCTAACTTATTAAATAACTAAAGAGGTCTTATATTCACTGCAATGAAAGCTGACAGAGGCTTTCAGTCCAAGCAAGGGCACAAAGACTAATACCTTTAACTCCTGTGGTACCAAAGTTAAACACAGAAACCATCTCTTATCTTTCATGTGGGACGATCTCCACAAATGTGAGGGGTCAGCTGCCCTCTGTGTATTGTTGGTCAAAGGGGACCGGTATTTATTATTGATCTAATGCTGAAGCACAGCCGCCCACAGAGCAGCTAAAAGCATTCATGTCTTGAGATGCAGGCTCCGCGAATGATTTCATATATAATTGGTCGTGACAGGAGAGGGATGGATGGGCATGTGGAATAACTTTGTACATTGGCTTTGTTTGTGTTGCTGCAGTAATGGACTGAGCAATTCCATTACACACACACACACACACACACACACACACATACAGCACTTACATTTATCCAGCTGACAACTCATATCCTAGTTACCTGCAGACTCTCTGTATAGATGCGACCAATTTAGAGCACATCAGTCCTGTAACGTGGTCTTTGTCATAGAGCTGTATGATGCGTAGTGTAACCCTTTGAGTGTACCCATAGCTCTTAGAAGGCCAACTAATTGAACACTTTAGCTGCAAAAGCAAGGTTTAATGCCTCTTAAGTGCCTGACTATCTGGACCATCTTTGCATTACTCTATGTCCTACAGAGAACCAGTATTCACCGTCTTTATTTGAGTGTAAACAGACCTGAGGCCTGTACTACGAAGCTGGATTTGGTCTTAGCGAGACAAGTTCTGGATAACTCGTATTTAAGCAGGATAATATCCTGTTCCTCAGCTGTGAAATATGATGCTCTCGCTGTTTTGTCCATTGTGGAAAATGGACCAGTGCCGCTAACCCCGCCCCTTTTACGTGTGCGCACACAGATCTGAAGTGGCCACACCTGGATTCAGTTATCGAGTTGATAACCGGCTTCGTAGTACAGCTGATCGGGATCGCGGAGATCCGGTGAAGTTGAGCGAGTTTTCGCAGAGTTATCCTGGATGTGTTAATCCAGCTTCGTAGTACAGGCCCCTGGCATTAAAGCTAAGTGAACGTGCCTTTATAAAGGGTATTCAAGTTGACATACTGAGGGAAAAACATTTGTTCAAAGTCTTACCTTAAGTAAAACATCGCTCTTTGTTGCTTTGATGGGTTATTTCTTTTTTTCTGACACTCATGTCTTCATAGCTGACTATATCTGGGGAGTGGTTGCTGTATTGAGCTGTAAAGGTAGAAAAGTGACAATAAATGAGTAAAGATAAAAGCTGCAAACTGACAAAAACAATAAAGGTTTCAAAGCCATGAGCAAACCAAAAAGCTATTGCAAATGTTTTCTGAAGAAGGGGGTGTAATTAAGATGTTTGTAAGGCCCCTCTTCTGCATTTTGATGTAATGAAGGATAAATTGAAGCTTTTGTCCGTAAGAAAATACCAAGAGCCAACCGCAATGCCAAAGCAGCTGCAGTACAAGCTTTTATGTTAACTTGTAAAAATCAGTATTAAGCACAAGCAGATTATTTAAGCCTCTCTGCTCTCCTGTTTTACAGTGTTATATCTTGAAATTGAGCCATCTAAGCACGAAAAGACTGTTGTGACTGCATGAACATGACTCCAAACGGCTTTTTTCTATGATTGGTTGATGCAGAGGTAAATGGGAGGTCCTTGAGACTTTCATTGGTCAGATGGAGGAGCCCTTTCAGGTGACCCTGGTCTACACTTCCTGTCTGGGTGATGAAAAGGTGGCAGTGGCTCTGGACTCTTTGGAGCTCATAGACTGTGATTCAGGTGAGTTCAGTGTGATCTGTAGAGCTGTGATTTACTGATTCTTGCTGATGGGGGATGGTGGGACACCCAGGAGGCTAAAGGCCTACCTTAACTTTGCCTCTGAGTAAAATAGCAGCCACCACCGTTTTTGCTGCTATTCTCTGCCATTGGGTGAAGATTTATTGACTTTGTCCATGTTTTTTAGTCGATGTATTTACTGCTTGACAAAAACAAGAATCTTAAAAAAATCTTGAACTCCTTTCAATACACAAACCTCCAGCTTCAAGGTTTGATTGTCCTTAAAAAATATTTTTGCTGTGGATTAGTCTTTTCTCTTCGTGGATGTGTGTTTACATTTTCATTCATCTTCTCTGTGGTTTCTCGAACGCAGATCAGATCACAGAGCTGGACGCAGCATGTGGGGAAAATTTCCACTGTGAAAACTCAGGTGGCTGCATCGACCAGAGCCAAGTGTGCAACTTCCACACTGACTGTCCTTTAGGAGAGGATGAGGGCTTCATCTGTGGTGAGTATCCCAGCATGCAGAAGAGGGTGTTGTTTTGAGGCATATGGTGGCCTTCGATTTGTGTCAGTCATGCTTAAGAAGGGACTTTCGCAGTTAGCTGTAGAGGTTTTCCCTTGTGTGACGATGAATCATATTTGATTGATTTGCTCTGCACCACCAAACTGGGTCTGTGTGTGGGAGTGTGAAAACATCATGGACAGTGTGTCTGCTTCATTTTGTGTGGTTGCAGGTAGAGAGTTAAGTGAGGGAGTCCTTAAACAGAATATGGGGATAATGGCAGGCTGTAATTCATTTGCATTAGGTGTATTTAAGTTCAAAGCATAAAAAAATTGGACTGGAGGTATGAGATTATGTCATGCCAAGAGTCTCTCCACAATATTTAAAGAGCAGGAAGTCACTTTTCTATGGGCATTTAAAGTGTGAAGCCTGACTGTGCTTCTGTCCTCAGATGATTCAAAATATTCTCATCAGCTGCTGTCCTTGTTTTTCTTCACCAGAAATCTTTCATTTCAAGTCTGTGCCTTCAGAAATACCAAAACACACAACATTGGGTAATTAATAATAACACAGTACAGTCCTTGTGGATTGATTTGTCTTTTGAAACCTCAGATTTTAAAAAAATATGCCACAGAAAAATGTGTTTTTAGTGAGTTAATATGATTCATTTCCTCCAAATTAAAAAAAAAAAGCTTCTGTCTTCTTTCAAAAATATCAATCATTTAGTTCAGAAGAAAAAAAAACACTTCACCACATGAAGAACCAACAGGCCTTGCTTCAGTCATGGATGAAATCAATGAATCAGGGTTATTTACAACCCTGAGTTATGGATCCCTGGGGAAAAGGAACAAGCCACAGTGGCTGACTTGTTTTTTAATTGGCAGCGAAATCTATCCTGTTTGGGTGCTTACGGGATACTCTCACAGACAGCATTAAGTCCGACATTCATTCCTATTTGTTGTGTTTACTTATCAAGATCCGATGAATAAAAGTTTGGAGACTTTTTCACCCTTTTGCCTTGTTATGCGAGAGAGCTGACGAAAACAACACTGATGCTGTCTCTGTTTCTTTTCAGCACAGAGCTGTCGTTGTGTAAGCTGCCTTAACAAACAAACAGTTAGTAGAGGAAAAATAAAGAGGCATCCAAACTTAAGAAGTCTTTCCACCATCTTCTGTGCAGAAGGGGTTGACATGTTGTTGTTTATCTCCGTTGATTAAAGACTTTTTACCCTAAAACGAAGTCATATTTTCCACTGCTTGTATACAGATGCTTTTCTATAATGTGGTTTTGTGGAGATCATGAGTTACCATCCTCCTCTTCCTCAGGAGCTCTTCTGTTTGGCTCACATTGTTCCTTTGAACTGGACGCATGTGGCTGGTCTGTGTCCAACCATCACTCAGGCTGGAGATGGGTTGCTGGAGACGAGCTGCTGGAGGAGGAAGACATGCAGGGTGTTGCGCTGCAGCATACACCAGGTTGGCAGTCTCTTTTTGTGCACACTATTACTCTATGTTGATAAATCATGGTGGTGTTAAGAGACAAGACAAAACTTGAACATTTTCCTTGTTTCCTGCAAACATGATGATTCTAGAGACCCTATTGTTAACCCGGTGCAAAGCACTTTGGGATGCACTGCAAGTGTTATTGTTGTTTTTACGATACTACTTGCTGTGGAGCTTATCCAGGGTGCCAGGAGACAAAACACTATCACCTCTATCTCCACATAACCGTATCCCTGTGGACCAAAAACTAAAACCCAAGACATCACAAAGCTCCAATGTGCACGACATGCTGTAACAGACTCACACATAACTAAGGGATAGTTTTCTGTGCGGCAAGATTGTTTCAGTAGATTTCACATCACTCCATGCATTATTATAACTCGCACAGTGACCTGTGTGTCGTTTTTCTTTTAAAAAGAATGAAAGCAGACACACTGATTGGTTTGATTCCTATTATGCTCAAAACATACCATGAATAATCTAGGGACCTAATACAATCCCTTCACACCCAGCATCTCACCTAGCGCCCAGCTTGTGCAATGCTTAAGTAGGAAAATCTGGCTGTACAAGTTCAGATTCACTCTGCATCAGTGGCTTCTCTCGCCTTCCCTCTCCCTTGTTCTCTTTCTCTCACCCTGCCCTCTTTTCGACTCCTCTCTCTCTCCCTCCCTATCTCTCTGTATTCCTCCCCAACCCAGCAGCGGCTTGGTGGCTGTCTAACATAAGTCTGGTCCTGCTCAAGGTTTCTGCCTGTTAAAGGAAGTTCTTCCTTGCCACTGTTACTCATGTTAGATGAGATGGGTCAAATCTGTCCCATCTTACTCTGCAAAAACAGCCCTACAAGAAAAAAAGCAAAATATTCTTGTATTCAATCAAATAATCTTGTATCAAGCAAAAAAATCTGCCAATGGGCTAAGCTTTTTTGCTTGACAAGAATTCTCAAAATAAGAACTCATTTCTTGGCCCTGACAGACTCAAATGAAACTTAAAACTAGACAGAAAATCTTTGATTTAAAGAGATGAAGTTACTCAAAGTTAGAATTTTAGTCTCTTGAATAAATAAACTTTAAGAAAATACACCTTAATCTAGGATTATTAATGAGCATGACAGTAGTTCAAATAAGACATGATTTCTTAAAACAGCATTGCAAATATAAGTGATGTTGTCTTAAATCAAGATACCAAAACATTCTCATTAAATATATATTTTTTCTTCCACAAGAAAGCATGTGGAAAGAAAGCATGTTCTTTGTTGTTCTTTATTTTGCAGTTTTGATCTGGTCATTGTATTATGTTTTGTGTTGTACAGACTAGCCCACTGACATCTTTATATGTCAGATAATGTATGAGGCAGCAGATTCTGTCAGGTTCAGATGACCTGCAATGGAAATCTTAATTAAAAAAATTCTAATCTTCTTGTTTCATGGCATTCTTAAACTAAGAAGTTGTACGTATGTCTTACTCTTAAAATGAGACGAATGATCTTGTTGCTCCACTGGATTTTATTATAAAACATTTTTCTACTCTATTTCTGGTTCATTCTTTATCCAAATTAGCTGGAACATCTTATCAAGAAAAAGTTAGCCATTTTCTATTAAAATTAGATAATTTTTCTAATGCCAAACATGCTTGACAAGATTAAATTTCTTTTTGTACAAAAAATAAGATTAATTTCCTTAATACAAGGTGATTTCCTTTCTTGAAATTGGAAAGCATCTTGGGATGACGAAAGTTGTGAATTGGTGCTACATAAATAAATTTGATTTGATTTGATTTGATTTTGACTTCAGACCATGCTTAAGTTTAGACCATTTAGATGGGCCCTGTATGTCATCAAACAAGATTTGTAATTTTACTTCTTTTGCTTCACCAACTTGCATAAATATTAGTTTACAGTACATTAGCTCCTTGTTAAGTTTTTTTTTCACATAAACAAGTTCAATGGATTATTAATATTTCCTGCTTCTTTGTGTCTCTTCATCAATCAGGTTCGAATTGCAGCTTTAAGGAATTTTTAACTGTTATGGTATCCCTTATTTTCACCATTTTGATGAAAGCTTATTTCCCGACCTGGTTTTCTCGTCATTGTTGGTTCAGTCCATTTCGTAACATTTCATTTTGTGTCCCCAGGGCACTTTCTGTTCCTGCAGGTGAGGGAAAATAATTCCCTTCGAGAGGCATCCATTCAGAGCTCTTCTTTTCCTGCCCCACTGTCTTCAGCTGCCTGTCAGGTCAGTCATTTCGATGGATACAGTAATGTATTGAATTTGTTTCCTTTTTCCCCCTCCTTGATAAGCTGCTTTTTTGCAGCAAAGGATGATTTTAATAAGCGGATTTTCTTCAAAGTTGTCTGCTCTTATGTCCAGATGCGTTTCTCTCTGTACCTATATGGTGACTTTAATGGTTCATTACTGGTGGCAATAGAGGAGAATGGGACCACCACTGCACCACTGGTCTGGGAGAGAAATGGACAGCGGACAGATGATTGGGAAGACATTGCCCTGCAGCTCACTGGACTTCATTATGGGTAAATTCATAAGAATAAAAGTTGCTGTCATTCTGAAAATGTGAATTCTTTTTCCACATGATTGAGTTTAATTCCTGTTGCTTTAAAAAGAAAATACATGTACAGTATATGGTGTCCTCTAGGTTCCATGTTAAGGTGACGGCTGTTTGGGGGGAAGGCTCTAATGCTGACATCGCTCTTGATGACATTGCCATCGGAGCAGCCTGCTTCAACAAAGGTACACTGCTGCTAATATTTGTAGCATTGCAAAATGATATGGACGGTAAATGAAGAGCACATGAAACCAATAAGCATGCATATAAACAGCACTCATGTTAAAATATTCAAAAACTGGCTCTGCAGATGTTTAATAAGGTCTATTCAACTTGCGTTAATCTCAAAGATACACACAATTTGTTTTGGTCAGAGACTCATAATGTAAACATAACTTCCACAAGAAAACTCCTGCAGGGCACTTGTGGCTTGAGACCACTTCTCAGTAAATGTCATACAGGCTCTGTTTGTTCAACTAGAAATGTAATGCTGCCCATGGTTACAACAAATCTGCATTCAAAGCAGACCCAGTTTCTCTCTTGATTTCTGTAAAGATGATCCTTTTACTCTGAAATCAGGCTGTTGTAGAATGTCAATGAAGAGCCGAGGAGTGCAGGGACTTGAATGATGCTGAGACTGACTAATGACTGCTGCCTATAGATGCTCAATCATTTCTTTGATGCACCGTTTCAATGAGTGGTAGTGACAGGGGATAACCAACATTGAATACTCACTTTTGAACACTGTGCTGTGCCTCCAAACATCTGCCAAAGTTTGTCCAGGCTTTACTCATTTATTTAAGAGAGAGAGTCGTGTTTTTAAAGTCTGCTTCGTTGAAATGGTTTCTGATCAACTGTATTACTAGCATGATACCTGAACTTATATCCAAATGTGAGATTTGATTTTCAGGCAGTGGATGAACTGAATATGTCTGTTTTGGAATGTATGAAATTCGAGTAAAATTTGTTGGAAGAGAAACTTGTGTATGCTTCAGCTCCAGCTGAGAAACTGTGGAACAATTGATGATACCATGGTCAATTCAGGCCCCTCTAGAACATGTAGTGAACTATAACTCAGGTTTATGGTTCCCACTGTTGCATCTGTGACTGCTCTGTGCCAGGGTTTATTCACGTTGGAGAGTCTTGGAAGCAGAGTCTTTGCTTATGCATTTGATTTTGGTGTGTGCAAATAATTCTCTCCTTTGAAACCTGAAACAAGGCGTGAAATCATGAAAACAGAGAACATACTCTATGTTTGTGCTGCATAACAAATGAAAAGGACAAAGGGATCAAGATATCCAGGATGTTTTGCTCCTCAGAGAGAAGTCTGAGGAAATGTCACGGTGTTCAGCTATAACACCCTTCCCTGGATCCTTTCTTTCCCATGTGGCTTTCTGTCTGGGTAGAGTTAATGCTTCAGATGGATGCCGGTGACTCAGTTTTTCTTTCTCCTCCTTCCTTTCTCGAACTTGGCCTTCTGCCACTCCTCAGATCTCAACTCTCTGCTGACCATGGCGGACTTGGAGGATTTCTTAAGCCCCCTTCCAGAGCCCTCAGCCTCAGGTAGCGTATAATTTCAGATGTTTCCTTGGATACCTTGTGAATTTCCAAACTGTCCCTCGATACTTTTGCACAGAATTTGCATAAAAGGTGGTGGTGTGCACTCTCAGAAATTGCTCTCAGTACTTAGCCTTTTGTGTACCATGTCAGCTGGCAGAATCCTTCACCTCTCTTACACATATTAAGACTTCATACACCAAGCAGTGTATGCAGTTTACTCTAAAGAAACTAGATGCATTGCAGTTAGTGGTTTGTCCCATTTATTAAAAACCGCCCTCACGCATATTTAAAAAATGTTGCTCTACTTTTCGTATCTTTGATTTGTCTAGAGGTCTCTCTGATGACGTGGTGGTTTAATTCATGCGGTGCCAGCGGTCCCCACGGTCCGACCCAGGCCCAGTGTGACAGCACCTACAGGAACAAAAACGTTAGTGTCACTGTGGGGAAGGAGGGCTCCTTGAAAGGCGTCCAGATGTGGAGGGTACCGGCAACTAACAGATACCTGTAAGTGATAAAGCAGATCTGCAGCGTGGAAGTCAGCTGGTCGCATGTATATACATGTCAAGTAAATGTTTATGAGATGAAAGAAGAATATGAAGTATGTGTGCCAGAGGATCATGGTGGAATATGTCTTATACAGCTCTTTACAAACTCTGCACTGATCATGTTCCTTCATCACCGTGGACCTCAGCATGGTAGTTAATCTGACTCAGTCCAAATAAACTTTACTGATGGAGCAAATTCTTATCAACAAACAAATCCACAGCTGGAAATAATCATCAGAAAATGCTGTGTTTAAATCCTGGTTGAATGAAACTACACTGCTGAACTGATACTTGTTTTTTTAAATCTGTCTCCTGTAATCAACTCATCTGGCTGTACGACAGACTAAAATTAGTACTGATGTTTCTTCATGACCTACTAAATTACACTGGACCAGAAACAAGATTTTTTTTTTCTGCATAGTTATTTTCAAAACACAAGTTCCTCAAAAAGGTTGTACAGGATTAGTATTTTTGGGGCCAAAAACCAATCAGTGAGTGATGTTAAACTGATAACCGATCACAATCCAATCGTGTGAGGAAGCAATGTGTCTCTTTGTATCACTGAGGTCATTTGCTGTAGCCATTTTAGTGTGTCTTTTTCCTTTCCCTTTTAACTGAACATGCTCCTTCTTGCGTTCTTTGTCAAAGTGCCTGATTGAATCTGTTGTGTTAAACCTCTTTGTGGATGTTTTGCCCCGTGGCAGTAATGAAGTGTTGCAGAGGTTGCATATACCTTGTGTTTTATCTCTCTGGATCACGTTAAGGAAATTCCGTGAAGAATGTTTGTTTCCGACGTATTCAAGATTAAAAAACTTTATTGTCCTTCAAAACGTGACAAAGCTCAAAACACAATTGCCACAAAGACATAAAAAAAACACATTTAAACTAATAACACGTCACTTTTGCTTTTTTTGTTTGAAGCAAAACCAACCTCTTCTCATTGGTTTAAATGTGTCTTTTACGTCTTTGTGGTGTTTATGTTTTGAGCCTGTCACTATGTGACGGACAACAAAGTTTTTTGGAAAATTGAATTATTACCTAGCAACATCGTCACTTGCAAACAAACATGTCAGCAGTGAAACTTCTCCAGAGTAAGTGAGACAGTTGAAACACAAGCCATCCGTAAACTATGCAACGGGAGCATCTGCAAAAAGTTTCAAAATGACAATGATGTCATTGATTGAATCGGTGAATTAAGACATTAGGTCTGACCATACAAATTGCGTAAAATACAAAATATCGGCCGATCAGATCGGTGGAAAGCCTATCCTCAGAAAACCTCTGAAATCATACCCAGAAGGATCTAATTAGCTTCAGGTCGTTAGCCACTGCCTGCAGAGAACTCAGATATGATTGAAAAATTGACCTCAGAGTTGTGAGTTTGAGGAATGAAATTGGGGCAGTTAACAAGAACGAAAATATTGAGTTAGCCAGTTACGTCCCATTAGATACATCAGCTTGACTTGACTGTGTTTCACTTTGTGATGTACATTGTCTGAATGCTTTTCACAGGGGCTTACTAGGTATATAATATTTCTCCTTGTGTATTTGTAATGTTCAGTTTACAGCCATTATTGTGTGGAGAGAACTAAGGAGCATGAGTGCATGCTCTGGGGCAGTATTATTCTGGCCATGCCGAGCGTGACTGATTGTTATCGTGCCAGATCAAGATTGTAGCAATTTGATTGTCTTACCACAGCCAATCATGGGACTTCATTATCACACCCACGATGAAATTAAAAAGGGCCACAGAAACGTGTCAATGGATTTACAGAGTGCTGAGCTAAATTGCACACAGCTGTACTTCATGCCAACACCATCCCAAAATGCCTGTTTTTCCCAAAGGGTCTCCATGGAGAACCACAGGTGTTTGTGCCTGCTTATTTGACTGACATATAGCAGTTAGATTCTGTGTTTTGCAGCCTACTTATTTTTTATGATATACGCTGTGAAGCCTGAGATAGCAGTCAAATTCTTTCAGTCACAGATCTCAATTCCCCTGTGGTGCAATGATTTCCCATCAGAATCTCTGCCTATGGGGCTGCAGGAGGCAAAGGAGCCAAAAACCACAACAAACGCAACCATGGAGTCTTCATATCTGCCATTTTTCCTTTGGAGAAAGGGGACATACTTTATATCCTAGTGGGCCACCAGGGAGAAGACGCGTGCCCAGGGGTGAGTGGGGTGAGCGCAAGGACAGGTTCAAGGGATTTGTGGGTAATATCTTTTTTTCAGGGAAACAAAAATGTGGCTAAGATTAAAGTAATCTTGCCTCCAGAGTTAAAATTATTTTCTTCTCCCTTTCTTGTTACAGAGAAATCCCCTCACCCAGAAAATCTGCCTGGGAGAGTCATCTGTGATTGAAGACAATCTGAGGACAGAAGCTGGTGCAGAGTGGGCTGGGGGAGGAGGAGGAGGAGGGGGCGCAACCTACATCTTTAAGGTGACAGAAAATACATCACGGTTTCTCAGCATTGTATGTCTCTTTGTCTGTTTGTTTGAAACTTTGTGAGGATGAAGTGTACATATTGACAGAAACAAAAGGCATAGCCCACCCATCAGCAGGGTGATCAGCTGATGCAAACATATAATTGCAAAAAATAAAAATAAAAAAAACACTTTTATTTCCGTTCCAGTCTGCTATATGGAATAATCTCTCAAATAAGTGGGATTACCAGAGATGTTGTCCTTTCAGATGGCGGGTGGAGAGATAATTCCCCTGTTGATAGCAGCTGGCGGAGGAGGAAATTCCTACATGGAGGACCCAGAGTCCAGTCTGGACCAGATTCCACTGGAGCAGTACGAAAACAGCACCACAGCTCCCAGTGCCAACGGTCAAACTGGGGCAGCAGGTATAGTTTGTACTTTTTATGTAACCTGCACAATTCAGATGAGAGGGAATTTCAAAAAACAAAATCAAAGTTCGGTAACACTTTACTTGACGCATATTTCTAAAACGCATTATAAATATATGTATAATGCATTATAATTGCATTAAAGCACTGTATAACTATAGTAATAAACACTCATAAATGATCATAATGCTTTATAGCAATAATCATAACACATTTTAAAACATTTTATCATGACTTAAAAGATCAGGTATTATAATGTGTTATAACTGTTAACAACTTACTAACTTAAATGCATTATACATATATTTATGATGTGTTATAATTTGCTTATAAACTTGTATAACTATCATTATAAACACTCATTAATTATCATAAGGCTTTATAACAATAAGCATAACACATTATAATACCTGAACTTGTAAGTCATGATAAAATCCTTTCAATAAATTGAATTATTGAAAGAAGAGAAGTATTTTAACAGATTTCTATTTATTATTTTTTGTTCTAAACTCTATCAGCAAGGTAAGTAAACAGGAACATGTATTGTTTGGATTGGGTCATTTAGAGAGTAGTTTTTTTATTTTATTTTTGTAATGTGCCTTATAGTGGGAAAGAGCCAGAATCAGTTTAATTGTCAAGTTCATAATCACAGTAAACTTGTATTGGTGTTTTGCTGAAAAAATTCTGAACACAGAAATAGGATAAAAAAGTTAAAAAACAGGATGGCTTCAAGGAAATCAGAAAGTTCAATGCAAACTATTTGTTTATAAAAGTTTATAAAAGACTAATGGCCCCCCAAAAATGATTGGGACTTGGCTATTAAGAGCACTGCCTTTGGATGAGACATGGAGAGGAGTGAAAAAACAAAATAGTTACATAATGAAACACAGAAAATCACACTTGACTTGTGCTAATTTACAATAGCTGCTCAGAGTGACACAAAGGCTACAGGTGTTAATTACATTCATAGGTATTCCAAGTGTCCTTGTTTTAATAGAAGCTGTTTTCACTGCTCGGTTTCTGAAGTGCACTGAGATGCAAACGACAACAAGCTTTATGTAGATCAAGAGTGTGTTTCTCATCTTTCCAAAAGGCTGTTTTGCTCAAAGAGACCTGCTTGCTGAAAGCCACTAGATGATTTGTTTGCTGTGTATCCAAGTGCTTGAAGCAGCATAGGCTGACATGCATACTTAGTCTCACACAGCAGGATGGATTTGACCTGTGGATAATGGGATCTTTCTGGATCATGGTTTTAGTTTTCCCGACAGTCCATAACCTTTACAGAAAGACAGACTGTACATGGCTGAGCAGTTTCTCTCTGCTTTTTGAAAAAAACCTGCTTGAACCAGTAAACCCCCTCTGACCAACACAGATCATTTATCAGCTCATCGTATTGGAACCTGTGTGGAACAGTTTAGATAAAGATCTGAGTGTTCGGAGAAAAATGTGGCTGTGAGTGCAGAGGTATGTGCGTGCATGTTTGTGTGGATTTGTGTCTTTAAGCTGGATGTTGAACTTCTGAAACTGATCATTCTGCCGTCACATGAGACTTAACTTGATAAAACTGTATTTCACAACATCTGAGCACTTATAAACTCCTGCTGGATATGACTAATACATTTTAAGATTGTCTTTATATCTAATTTTAGGTCATAATTTTTTTCATTTATTGATACTTTTCTGTACGTTATGCTTGAAAACAGTACAATCTTTATCACTGTCTCATTTGGTAGGACTGGAAAGTACTGACACTGAAGGAAAAAATAAGATCATCAGATGTTTTCTGACCCAAAGTGGCCACATGCAAAAGAGATAGGTAGAGACAAAGTGTGAGCAATGAAGGGACCCTACTTTAAGCAATCTTAAGTGTGTAGTCTGAAGTGTGGCACAGACTGAATCAGGACACTTTTCTTCCAATAAACAGATGGATGAAAATTGACACATTTAAAATGTCGACAGTATCAGACAGGATACAAAAATACATGCACACTTGTGTGTTTATGTGCATGTTAGCTGTCACTTCCCAACACTGTTACTGTCTTTCAGAGGCATAACAACTGTGCACCACCATTATGCCTCCGTCTGTTACATATTGCAGAGGAGTAACAGGAGCCTAAATCACAGGAGACCTTGAAATGATAGACTGTCAGATCCAACAGAGTCAAAGTGGGAAGAACGCGTAACACTTGGGAAATCAAAACAGTGGATCATAAATATAAAATGGTGTTTTGTGATGGTATCACAGCGCTGCGAAAATGTGTACGTAGAAGATGAAGAAAGAATAAGAACTTTATTGATTCCCCCAGGGAAAGGAGCTGTATTTTGTTTTGCTGTTGAAGGCTGACCCTCTCAAGTTTTCCTACCAGCTGCCTGTGTGCACAGTCTTCACATGGAGACTAAATTAGCTTTTATTTGTTGAGTGTATCGCTTCCTCTTTCAAACAAACCCTCCTACCTAGTTTATTCCTAATTACACAGAGCTATTTCCTTCAAATGCTCTGCTTTCTTATGCTTTTTGGTGGATCCCGGTGCACCAAGTTGAGTCTTATTTTCTGCCTGAACAACTAGACCTTTCTGTCTCTGCAGCTAATTCAAAGTGCTCTCTGTCAGATAAACAGCCTCCAGTAAGAGCGGAGTAGCTGCAGCCCAAAATCAAGCAGAAATAACAGCCACAGCTGCTCCAACAACCTCTATACTCAAAACAGTAAACACATCTAATCAGACTGCCACAAGTATCATTAAAATTTTCCAGGAGACTTTTCAGACTTAACCCTTTAAGATCAGATTTTGGGACATGGGATGACCCGGTATAATGTCCATGTACGACTGAAAATCTTGTGCGGACATTTTGATGTGTTCGCTCCATCTTCATCCTTGATCGGTAATGAAAGGTAAACTGGGCTTTAGAAAAACAGCTGCATCACAAAGCAAAATGAAAAATGTCCTGAAAAATAGCTTCTTCTTCAGGACACCTCCTCCTCCCTTCAGTGAAATCCTCTCTGTCACAGTCTGACTTCTCGACATTTTCTCCTCGACTGAAGTCTTTTTTTCTCTGCGTAGTTTCTGCGTTAGTGCAATAGGATCATTTTTAACTTATTCTGATTTTGTTTCTATTTCCCTAAAGGTGGAGGAGGAGGCTGGAGAGACAGTCCCAATACTAACCCAATGGCAGGAAAGTCTCTATTGGAAGGTGCTGTGGGAGGGTCCTCATGTCCCCTGGCCTTGTCCAAGCTTGGCTGGTCTACCTATGGAGGCTTTGGAGGTGGTGGTGGGGCCTGTACAGCTGGAGGCGGAGGAGGAGGTTACAGAGGTATGAATATCTGTCACTTAAACTAACTTTACCATCTTTAACTTCACTTTCATGTCTCCTGTCTTGCTTGTTTTTGTCACTTCCTATCAGACTCTAATCTCTAAAGAAGGACTGGTCATCATTTGTGTGACAAACGTCTCCCTCTCAGTATTGGATGTGATTTGTGTCTCAGTATTAAAAGCATCCTTTATACTTGTCTAGCAGCACTCCAAAGTCAATTCTTCACATAAATGTCACAATTTGTCCAGAAATGTACTTCCATTATTGTCACAGTTTAGCATCATCGTTCATGATATCAAGGACTGTCACAAAATATGTGTACGGATCTTTATGTTGTTTTGTACTTTACTGCCATATGTCTTCTTTTTATGTTTGTGCTTTTATCCTTGAGTGACAAATGTGCCAACAACCAGAGCTAAACTTTAAATCACTCTGATTTAATCACATTTCATGTCCCTGTGGCAATAAAAGGCAGGATGTGGTTCAACACATGTTTTATGTTGAGCAAAAATGGTTAAACTCGTAACCATAAACATTTCTGAATGGCTCTGACATGATTCATAAAGATGCCTGATGGAATAAACCACAATATTCATTTTGTGACAGGGGGTGATGCTGCGCTGACGGATGAGATCACAGCGGACGGTCAGAATGGGATCTCGTTTTTTCATCCAACGGGAGAGATTTTCCTTCAGCCCCTGGCAGGTGAGAGTCACATCATCGTTAAAAGAAGAAAGTGATACTGATTGAGAAAGTGAGTCAGCAGGGGAAAAAAGAAATGAGCACTAGAAGGATAAATATTTTCCATTTCAAACTAGAAGATTATGAAGTATAGTAAATTAAACATGGTTAGAGTCAAAAATAACGGATGAGGGGAATAATCAGCAACTTGTGTCATATGATGAGGAACATGAAGTGCTCAGGCTTATTAATGGGGCAGAAGTAAAGAGGGCTCCAATTGAAAAAGAAATCAAAAAGAAATTAAATAAAGTCATTTTTATTTTAGGAAAAGGAGGATTAAAAGGCATCTCGTGTCAAAGAGGACTGAAGATTTTCTTTTTCCTAGAAACAGATCAAAGTAAACTGTAACTTTGAATTTAGGAAAGATTAACTAAAGAGCGCTGAAAAACAAAATCTGGGTTTACAGCCAGGAAAGTAAAAAAAAATCGTCATATAGAAATGTTTAGATGTGATTTGATTATGTGAAAAAGCCAACAAGTGTACATTGAGTCTTTTGTCAAGCTGGAACTGAACCACATGAACAGTGCAGCCCAAAGTAATGAGTAGCACTGTGGTCGTTGTGCTAAAAGCTTAAATATACTGGTACAATATTCGAATAAAACAAAAAAAATGTTAAGACAATTAAAGGAAAGGATTTAAGGGATTGAAACACTGATGAAAACTAATGTCAAAGCAAAGCAAAGTCATTGCTTCTCTTTCATTCAGTTTTGCATGTTTTACATCATCCTGTGCTGTTTCTGTGTTTTTCAGTCATTTGATAAAGGTTATGCGACATTTATATCATCGCTTAACGTTACTACAAAACCAGTAGACTAAATATGGTTGATTTCAACGCAGAGACACTATTGGTATAAAGATTTAATCCTAAGCTCTTTGCTTTCTGAGAATTTAGTCCTCAGCAACCGATCAGGGCGCACCGGTATGTGTTTGTCTTTGTACCTGTTTGTGCCAAACTATCCGTCTCATCCCTTTAGGGTATCATTCCTGCACATTCATATGTATAAAAGTACTGTTTTTTCCTCCTTTTCTTGAGACCACTGGCCATCTGATTCTCATTATGCAGCTGGAGGAACAGGAAGGCAGTGGACTAATTTACTGCCTTATGTAGCCTGTTGCCTTTGGCGCCAACAGACAGTCCTCCACTCTCATGTGAAAGACACTGTTGTTGCTGCTGCTGGGTGTGCTGCCAGTCACTGCTATCAAACATAATGACTGCCTCTGCAGTGTTCAAACAGCAAGATACGAACAAAAAAAATTGAATCAAATGCTTATGATTGAATTTTGAGAAAAAATATGTTTTTCCTCTGTGATCTTGTTAAAGCCACTTTTTTAATCGGTTACACAACAAGCTGACATGAGTAATGATGCATTTCTGTGATGTTGAAAAGCGAATAGGACTATTTATGACGATGTCGATACTTTCTATATTCTTATTTTAAATGCCTGTAACTGCTGTTACAATTTCCACAGCTATTTCCAATAACAATGGGAGAGGCCATTTGACAACCAGCATGACTCTCAAAAGGACAAAATGAAGTCATCAACAACAAAAGGGTTACCACGTTGTCCACAGGGGCACCAAAAGTAACGCAGACAGAGAGTTCCTCACAGGAGCTTTAAACCATCTTTCTTTAAATAAAGGACCAAGTCTAATACATTACTCACAAGGTGCAAATTTGTTACATAATCTTAATCCAGAAACAAAGAGGCACCATCAAGGTGGCAGATTATGAGAGTAAAAGTATTCATTTGAGTAAGAGTAGTAATGTTGCTTAAAGTAACAAGTGTCAATTAGTTTCTATTTTTGATATGAACCAAACATATTCTGTCTGTTAACCCTATTCTTTATTTAAGCTTGACTCATTTACTAAAACATCTGAACAGCTTTTTATTTAAGTCACTTGAAAGTAAAGTATCAACAACAGTCAATGTGTTGCAGTTAACGTACATGCGTGTCAATATTGTGTTTCTGATGGTGTTTCATTGTGGGACACAGAAATACAGAGCCGAGACTGTACAGACAATGTATTTCATGTGACAGTCGTTTCAGGCTTTCTTCTTCTACAAACTTAGTGACCTCTCTCTCTAAAATAGTTTGAGGTAGGGGTGCTGCTGCCCTTGCAGTCTATCAGACGGCCAGCCCTGATTCACTTCCAACCTGTGGCTCCTTTGCTGCATGTCCCTCCCCACTCTCTCTCCCTGTTTTCTGCTCTGTCTGATGCCATGACTTCACCAAAAAAGAGCAAAAAAGTCCAAAAATGAATCCTAAAAGGAAAATTGGTTTGAGTCTGGTGTTTCTTTGGAGCCATGTGTTGAAATGTGTTCACCTTATTCCCTCCAGCCATGGAGAGTCACGGCGAGTGTGAGATCAAAGTCCAGCTGAACTGCAGCCACTGTCAGACGCAGAGCTGCAAACGGGGTGTAGACACTTACATCATCCTCTGCCTCTGTGATGAGGATGAGGTCCTGGGCAGTGACAATGTAACATGTATCCGCACTGTTGGTATGTAAAAAAAACAACATCATAACAAAGATAAATTCTCTCAAATCCTCCCAATCGGGACAGATAATGCATCTAAACCAAAGCCCATTTGAAGTATTTTCTTGACTGTCTTCTTACTTTTTTTCTGGCAGGTACCAAAGGCCTGGCTCCACCAAACCACTTGTCGTCATCGTTGATTTTGGCGGTTGTTGTCTCCACCATCGTAAGCGGCATCGCGTTGATCTGCGCTGGCGTCATCCTCAGTAAGAGATGCCTCCAGTTCTGTGTGCAGTCTGTGCCCTCCACCTTCCACCGACTGTGAGCACAGCTGCAAATACAGATGCTCCCAGATGTTACTGACAACAGAAACAAGAACACCTCTGATAACCTGTGGTTTAACTGTCCTCTGGCTGGGCGCCGGGTGATGAAAGGAGCTCCAGGGCTTTGAATTATACATTGCTAGAACAAAAGGAATTGAGCACATATGGACACTTTAGCTATGAGCACTTATTTCAGTAGACGCTCTTCTCTTCCTGGCTGTGTGTACGTACAATCATGTAGTAATCTGTACTGCAGGTGAAAAGTGAGATAATGAGGGGGGTTGCAGTTAAATATCACATTACTTTATTTATTTCTGATGAATCATTGTCACTGCTTGAAACAGAAGAGATGAACTCAGCTTCTCTTGGCGTGTCTTCAGTATCCAGTGAGGTTTGACATTTAACGAGGAAGTTTCAGTCTGTTGAAGATCTACGCTGATGAGTGAGATTCGATAGCAGTAAATGTCAAACATTTTGACAAGTAGCTGAATAAAATGGAAAATCGTGATTATACAGTGTAGACATGAAGATTTGAACCTTATGGAAAGAGAGATTGAAGATTAAGGATTCGCCTAACAGTCGCTCTGGGACACACTCACACACGAACACTGACAGTGATCATAACTTGAGCACTGACTCTTGGTGACATGGTTAAAATACTGTGATGTTAGGTATCTGTTTTGAAATAGGGACATGACAAGATTTGTTTGATACTTCTTTTTTTGAGACAGTCTGAAGCCAACAAGTGAAAATGCTAAGCAGATGATTCTCAGACAAATAAGTTGCTTTGATGGGAAAAATTAGGGAATGAGGATTTTTTGGTTTTAATTTCACTACAGTACATAGTGGCTATGAAAGTTAAGGAAAAGGACTGCAATCTAATATTTAGAGTAACTTATGATTTCTTCAGTACCTGATAACTATAAGTATATAATAATTTTGCATTACTGTTTTACTTGGTCATAAAAGCTGCTGTGCAATGTGTACTTTTTAATGTCAACTAATGTACTAAATCTTAACTCATTCGCTGCAAACACAATTTTAAATTCAGTTTATTTGCAGTAAAACAACATCCACTTTGCAATGATAAAGGACAGTGAGGGATTATTTGCTAATAACACTTTTTTTGCACCTGTGTCATCTTTTTTGACAACCGCCTGCTGCAATAATAACTAGGAAGGGAATTATGACAGTTCACTCAACACAGCTAATCCTCCATCAAGAGCCGTTCAGGGTGATGAAATGTTGCAGACACTCGCACTCTCGTGTCCTCTCCGTAACCTCAAAGTGCAGGACTAAAAACGGAGCTCAACAGTTAAAAACTCTCTCTCTTTCTCTCTCTCTCTTCCCTGCAGTCAGTTTGAGTAAAGCACTACACTGGCTTCATCAAAAGTATCACAATTATAGTTCCGGCTCTCTGCACTTTTACCCTGTCCGACACAAACAGGGATTGAAAAGAGAAGTTTTTTTAAAGAGGAGTAATGAAAGTGAGGAGGGCGAACAAGGACATGTCATTTTCCTGCCAATCTGAGGAATTTCTGCTACCTAAAAACAGAGTTTATAGTGAATTTTATTGTGGAAGTGCTTTCACATTTTCTTTTTTATAGAGGAAATGAGAGCGTATTCGCAGATCTGATACATAAGCAATTCACAGACCTCCCTTTCTTGCCTCCCAGACGATAATTCCCTTTCCATTCAGGACCCTTGTAAAGCTTCAGCATTGGTGCTTTAGCTTTAAAAACGGCAAGATCATCAGCTTCTAGTTTGAAACATATAACAGTTGTGAAATTAAGGTTGTGTGCAGATTACCCTCCATCGGAGTTCAAGTTTTATTGCCTGACTGTCTTATTAGATGAGGAGTTCAGAAAATGTGTGAAACACTTGCGATTTGTTTACAAGAGGACACGACCAGAATGATGAGGAGGGAGAAATGTAATAACTTTCTCCTTCTTACTAAAGAGGAACCAGATCATGGAGGGATGCTTTGATTACAAGAGATGAGTCATGGGAGGAAAGTCAGCAAAAATGTTCGTATTTGATCCTTTTAAGCAACAGGAAGTGCATGAAAGTAGTCAGGCCAGAAAATATCAGTAATCAGGTAAATGAAAGTGTGAATTGAAAGTATATTTCAACTTTAACATCAAAGATAGTTTTTTTTTTTGTGTAGCTCATCAAAAACATACATGCACTCTGTTTAATCAGAGTATAATCAAGCAGATATTGACTGCAGATGAAATGGTTGTGTGTCTGATTATAACCAGTCATGAACAAAGCTGTGGAGTGTAACTGCATGATACTGTTCTTGTGTAAATACCAAACAAAACTGGTGCACAACAGTATGAAAAAAACTATATTTTATGAACAGTCGGTCTGACTTTCATCAACTGCCTTGTGTGTAAATGTGTGAATAAAAAAACTGAATAAATCAAACACTTAACAAAGGTTAACACTTTTTCACAGACATGCATGTTGCTTTCCATTCAAACACATTCACACACGCTTCAGGTTAACGGTGTTTCTTCACCTGAGATCTCCCCCATGCAGGGAGGTAGTCTGTTCCCTGGGCGCCCCATCTCCTCCTCCTTATCCCCCACCCCATGATCCTCTTCCTCCCTTTCCTCCTAATTCTTCTCCTCAACCCACTCCTCACCCCGCCCTCCTCCCTCTGAGTCACTAGCACCTGCACCGGGCGATGGCTCGACGGCACCTCTTACCTGCACGCAACACCCCCCTCCCTGGCAGACTACCAACCTGCATCGGGGACATGGGCTGCCTCCACGGCGGGTGAGTCCAAACTCACTGGCAACAGACAGATAAGGAGCAGTAACCAAGAGGAGGACATCCCACATTAAGTGTGTCTGTAAAAGGATTTGTCGTCTTAAAAGAGAACTCCACCAATTTCCAACATCAAGGAGGTTTTACTGCATTTAGCTTTTGTGGTTCCAGTGGGACTCCTGCAGAGGTTTTCAAGTGCCTCACATGAGTCTGCAGCGAGTAAATCCAGGCTATTTTATGATCATTACATGTCTGGACCTTGGACAGGAAAGTCAAGTGGCTTTGTGGTTGTAGTAGATGTCAAAGTTTGACCTAGAGAAGGTTTTACAGCCAATTCTAAATTGTTGGAGATCTCATTTAAGAATTAGCCAACTTTTTACAAGCAGCCTAATTTTCCTGCAACAGGAAAGAAGGATGTCAATTGTACATCAACTACTGAGCTGCGGTTTGACCCCTCCTTGTGTAACTGCTCCTTAAGTTTGCACACAAGTTGAGGAGCTTTAACTTACATGTAAGTGTGGGGTCCGGTTAGGAGTTAAAGTGCTAACAAACACTCTCAGTCTTTAAAGTTCAACAAGCTGTCTGTTCTATCTTTGTGTTTTTAGTGTGGTACCGCAGGAAGAACGACCTGCACGCAGTAAGGGGGCGTCTACAGAGTCCAGAGTACAAGCTAAGCAAGATCCGCTCCTCCACCATCATGACGGACTACAACCCCAACTACTGCTTTGCAGGCAAGGCTGCATCGCTCAATGAACTGAAGGAAGTACCACGCAAGAACATCACACTTTTAAGGTACAGCTCAACAGGATGGATTTTTAGAAAGACCGTTTGAGGCTCTGGTGGTGGTTTGACTTTAGCCCTTTGATACGACTGTTTCAGAGCTCTTGGCCATGGTGCATTTGGCGAAGTGTACGAAGGACAAGTTCTGGGAATGAACGCTGACAACAGCCCCATGCAGGTGGCAATAAAGGTCAGATTACACTCTATTAGACAGGTTGCTCCTAAATGTCAGGTGATAATACCTCATCAGGTGTTTTGTTAATCATATTTAATCAACCTAGCAGCATCTCACCTCTGAGATCCAACGGTTGTCAGAGCATTAAAGGTTTTAAAGACAGGTTTTTGTAGCACATTATTTGAGGCATGTTTTAAAAATGTGTTGAAGTTCTCTTTTGTGTGACTGAAAAATCTCAAGCTGCAGGGTTAACATTTTGGCTCTAACTGATAGATGGCTGTAAAACAGAAAAAGAGAAGAGATGTTCAGTCGGTGCCCTGAGATAACTAGCTCTGAAACTTCTCAAGGCAAAAAAGAAAAAAGCTGAGTGAGCTCCACATGGATTCGCCTGCTTTTCAATGGTCTGCTGATTAGGTCTAATGATGTCTCTCCTTTTTACAAGGACACACACACACTCACTCCCACACACACAAATCTCAAACTCCCTTTCTTTCCCTTTCTGCTCCACAGACTCTTCCAGAAATCTGCTCCGAACAGGATGAAATGGATTTCCTGATGGAGGCTCTGATTATGAGGTGCATCAAACTACAGCTGTTTGCTTACCGTGTGCATCACAGTGTTCACGTTTCGATTCCTCAGAGTGCATCGTTCGTACAGCTCATCTGCCATGTCAATCACACATCAAAATTCTAACTCAAGCCGCCAACAACTGGCTTTATGGCTTAACATGTTCCTGTGGGTTAGAGGAGACGACATCTGGAAGCAGAAACTTCACTCATCCAAATCAAAACACTGATAATGTTGAAGTTGTTGAAGCAGCACTCTATAATTATCCTGTGTTTGTCCTCTAATTAAATGAAGTAAATTTAAGTCATAGACAGTTATGTACAAAAGGGATATACTTTTATCTTAATTTTTTTATGAAGTTAATATTGGATTAAGCCTTTTTTACTTATGCAGAGTTTAAATCTTGAGAAACGTCAGTCCTCGACTCACTAGACCAGGTTTTGTACGTAGAGACGTTAATGAGCGACAAAAGTAAACAGCAGGGTACCCTTTGCATGCTAACTTTGAGGAAATAATTGGACACTTTTAGACTTTAAACATCACTCAAACCTTAATATGTGCTTACAGTTTCTGTGCGCCTCATCATGATAAGGTTTAGTGAACAGATGGTTTCGCAAAAAAGCATCAGGGTGAAACAAGACAATGAAACAGAAGAGTCTTCCCTCATCCCATAAGGGTTCAATTTTGCATGACCACCTGCTCACTATACTTAATCCGTTTTTATTACCCAGCTGCTAACAAGATAGGCCAACATGTTGACACTCAGATTTTATTTGAAGATGACAGTGTTTATATAAAAATCAGTTTCTATTTAAGCTGAGAAAGGTCCTTAGTTTTGAGAGTTGGGGATGTTTGTGCTTCCATGGCAACACAATTTTCATCAGCCTGTCTGTGAGTCAAATTAACATAAATTTATCATTTTCATTCATGGGTCAGTCTTGACATAAACCTGCTTTACTGTTCAAAAGCACATTTAACTCAACATATTTACTCATTTTGATGTACTTTTTACCGCACTGTCAACAGGAAGAGGTGAGGTTATAAACTTTCAAAATATTGATGTGTGATGCAAAGTTAATTATTGTTATTTGGTTTGATTGATCAGAGTCAACAAAGCTGGGTGATTAGTAAGAGAGCATATTCATCACTGATAAGGAAATATTTCTCAGTTTTAATTTGTGGTATCTGTCAACACATTTTTTCAGTTTGCATTACGCAGCTACTTGAATGTGAAGGCCTGCTAACCGAAGTGTCCTCACCTTTTTGTCTCTGCAGCAAGTTCAGCCATGAGAACATTGTGCGCTGCATTGGAGTCAGTCTGAACATCCTGCCACGCTTCATCCTCCTTGAGCTGATGACCGGGGGAGACATGAAGAGCTTCTTGAGACAGAACAGACCACGAGCTGTATGTTTGCACTGCATGTGTGTGTTTGCCTGCTTGTGCCCGTCTAAGGCGGGTGTGTTTGTGTGTCTCACTAAATTGAGCTGTGCTGTCTCCAGGGCCAGACCTCTTGTCTCACCATGTGGGAGCTGCTGCGGATGGCCAGAGACATCGCCTTTGGGTGCCGCTACCTGGAAGAGAACCACTTTATACACAGGTTTCAGATTTACACACTGAGCTCAATTAAAGTACAGATGAAACGATACATGTTGTACTCTTTGATGTGTCATCATGGGAGCAATATGTACAATCTGCGTAATGTAACTTACCCTATTTTAGTCCTTGGGTAACTATTTTGTGTTTTATTACCTCTTTTTTAATTTACTTAATGTTATTGTTTGATTTTAAGTTTTATTTAATTAACTTTTAACGCTTTATCACCTTTATTATATTTTATCATGGTTTTATTGCTTTAGTCTTAGATCCAGTGTTTCCTCAATCATCTATGGCAAGTTGAAGAGTCCTCACCTAGTCTTTTGCGTATGCATCTGTGTGTGTGAGCGTGTGAGTGCTGTATGTGCCGAATGGGGGTTGGGAGGGTGAGTAGGGTTTGGTATATGTATTTTATTCATTTTATTTCATTATTTTTGATATCCTGCTTGAATGGACAGCATTTTCTGATACATTCTATGTATGGAAAGTGCTTTAAAAATAAAGTTTCATTGATTGGTTGATTGATAAAGAGCTGATTTTACATATCTTAGCACAAGTCTAAATTATGTATTGATCTGTAAAAATACAGCATCTATTGCAACAAGCATCACTGGCTGTAATATGAGAAGACTTAACATTAACTGATCAACATAATTTTTTTTTAAAGGGGTGGCAAATTGCACAATGATGCATCACAGCTGCGTTTTTAAAATGAAAATATTTGTCAGCAATTTTTGGAGGATACTTGATTTCTGAGTGTATTCTATCATACGATCAGAGATCTGTGAAGTTAAGAGTTTGGTGTAGTCATGAAGCTACATTACCTAACAGATTTTGTGTTTTTTAGGGACATTGCTGCGAGAAATTGCCTGCTGACTTGCCCTGGACCCGACAGAGTGGCCAAAATAGGAGACTTTGGCATGGCACGAGATATTTACAGGTCTGTGAGCTAAATCTGCATTAGTAATGCACAGAGCAAAGTACACACGATGACCCGTGCTGATGTCTGTCACAGGAATAAAGGAGGTTCTTGGGAATAGATTCAAAAGCCATTTTTTTTCCCAGCTGGGCCCCTGAATTTACTTACAGAATAAGCAGCTATGTGCTATTTTCCTCTTCTGCTAAACTGATGAAAGATTGACAGTATGAAATTTTTATATCTTTCCCCAGGGCCAGCTATTACAGGAAAGGTGGTCGTGCAATGCTGCCAGTCAAATGGATGCCACCAGAGGCGTTTATGGAGGGAATCTTCACCTGCAAGACTGACACATGGTATGAATACTAAACACACAATATGCACTGTGCATGACGACTCTAATCCACAAGGCAGATCTGTTTGGATTTAATAGCTGGATCCTCATTCCTTTGCGCTGTCTGACACCCCTTATTAAAGGGTGAAATATTATGACTCAACCCAAACTGCAGGCAGATATTAAATTAGAAACATTTGTCTTTACAGTTGTCACATCACACACAGTAGATCACTCAAACATCCTTAGAAACATCCTGCATATGTAAATGTGGTCAATAAAAAACTCATAACAGATGGTGAAGTGAAAATCGGTAAACAGATTAGCATTCCTAATCATTTTTCATGCGTAACGATGTCAAACAGTGGAGACGTTCTCTCAAGTGGCGACAAGTATCCCAACAGCTCATCACAGCTTAATCAAATGTGGTCGTTAAAATGCATGCTTGGAGGAGTTTTATATATGAAAAAAAAAGTCATTTTTATTCTTAAACACAAACAGACAAACAGAGAAGTCCTAATCCAAAGAGCAGATTATGAAGCAAGCATCTCTAAAGACAAAACAGCCAAAGACATGTTTGTCACGAATCGACTGTGGATTTAAACAGCACTTCATAAAAATTCACAGCCAAACATGGTGGTGGGATTATGAACGGGATCAACTGCAATTGACAACAGAAGTATAATTAAAGTCAGAAGAGGCAAATTCTTGCTTGAGGTTGTTTTGGAGGAAGTATCTTTTCCATATAGCGAGAACAATTTCAAGACATGAACGCCAACTTCTGTGGTTTCCTATTTAACCGCTAGATCCCTGAGCACTGTGAAGGAGAGTGCTAAATGTATTGTGTCATCACTGTGCACATTCGGGGAGGTCTAACAGAGAAATACATCAGAATAGAGTTTAAGGTTTTTGCAGAAATTGTGATGATTATCAAAAAGCGATGCATATTTCAAGCGATATAATTCACCTGTAGTGTTGTTTGCTGTATATTCTGTGCTGGCAGTCCTTTCAGGTATTTGGACTGCACACCGTTTTTTGAAATCCTGTAATTGCTGCCGGTTTTGAATTTGAGGCCAAGCAGCAAAATTCTGTAGAGAAAGAGAAATGTACTCTAAAGACAGCCCAGGAGGTTTGTAGTTTGATGCAAAGCAGCTAAAAGCTTTTTCTAATTCAGTTCTGGCTCACAGCCAGGGTGTGATTACATCTCCATCTGGTTGAAGTGTTCTGTGGAGAAAATATATAGTATTGACTCTGGTATTCTCAGTCCGAGGAGGATGAGAGCAGAGAGGATTCAATATGTGACCCACATGATGGAGTGAACTCAGCTGTTGAGCTCTGTCTCCCCCTGCAGGTCGTTTGGGGTGCTGCTGTGGGAGATCTTCTCTCTGGGTTACATGCCCTATCCCTGCAAAACCAACCAAGAGGTGCTGGAGTTTGTCACCAGTGGAGGCCGGATGGATCCTCCAAAGAGTTGCCCAGGGCCTGTGTGAGTACTGGCACAGTCCAGTTAAAGACGTGTGCCTGAATACAATAAACTCATGCCTCTGTTTTTGTCTGAATTTTAAGGGATATTCCAGCATAAAATTAAGTTGGGGTCAAACACATTACTGCTTGCTTCTCTAGTTCTACCAACTTTATTAACGACCACACGATAGCAATACACAGCGGTCTCAGGAGCCACTTGCACACCTCAACCAAAACGCCACTCTATAGCCACAAATAATGCTCAGAACAGCACCAAACTTCATCAACAGTAGATATAGGGTCCCAGCCATAGAACTAGCCACCAAACATCTTTTTAACTTTAATTTCAGTAATGATCATAAATGTTCTTCCTTGAGCTGTGTCACCCCGCTTCAGTCAGTGATGGACTCGTCCAAGCATTATTTGTGGCTATAGAGTGGCGTTTTGGTTGAGGTTTGTTTATGGCTCCACAGACTGCTCTGTATTGCTATCCTGCGGTCGTTACTTAAGTTGGAATTACTAGAGAATCAAGCGGTCAGCAACATTCATCTCTCGCGGGGGTGTCTAACTCTGTGTTACGGTGTGTTTGAGCCTAACTTAATTTTACGCCGGAATATCCCTTTAAATATTTCTCCACTCAGACAGAGGACAGTATTTTATAATAGCAAAAAAGACCATCAAAGACAAGTAATTTTAAATGCCAGACAGAAAGTTTTCAAACATGCTGCAAGTCTGCCTTTTATACATTTTTAACAACACATAATAATAATGATGATGACGCAGGGTGAGCCAAAAACAAGACAAACAGAAAGTCTCTCAAAGAGCTCTAACAATTTTTATATGTTTGAATTATTTGTGCAACAAGCGAGAGTGTAAGACCGATCTTTAATATAAAAGGTTATGTAATATGAAAAGTAATGACCCACATTAAAGTAATGACACACATTAAAACATGTTAAACTTGTGTCTGCGCAGCTATCGAATCATGACTCAGTGTTGGCAGCATTGTCCCGAACACAGACCAAACTTTTCTTCTATCCTGGAGAGGATAAACTACTGCTCTCAGGTACGCTCTTCACAAAACATCTGTCAATATGCAAAACTTTAAATATATATAAGTTGCACTTTCTGTAATTTTTTACTCTTAACTACAGGTTTCTCATTTTTGTTATTTTCTTCACAATGCAGGACCCAGATGTGATCAACACCCCCTTACCTGTGGAGTACGGCCCCACCTCAGAGGATGATAGTGGTTTAATAATCCGTCCCTCTGACCACACCTCCACCAGCCTCACTCCTCTCTTAGTGTCCCACCCTATTACCCAGGATTCTCTGAGCCTGGGTTCCAGCCCTCTACCCCCACAGCCTACAAAACCTCGACTACTCCTCCAAAGAACCCAACCTGTCCATCAGGAAGTGACATCATGTCGTGAGGTTCTGGAGCCGTCCTGGGCGGAGTCTGTCCCCGCCCCTGCTTTGTCAGCACCAGGGGTGTGCACAGCAGGCCACTGGCTCCACCCTGAGCCTCCTCATCACCAGCCCTGCTCCAGGAACAGCTCCTCCTCAGGAAGCCAGAGGCTGAAGAACAAGACGAAGAATCTGTGGAACCCCACATACGGCTCCTGGGTTTTAGAAAACTTCAGGGGGAAGAAAACACTTTCTCACACTCAGTCCATGCCACTCTCAGGCTCATCCACCAGCTCCTCTGGCACTCAGGCTCCCCAGACCTGCAGCGTGACTTCAGACAGCCATGTCACTGGGTGTGACACCACCTCCAGCCTCTGCACCTCCTCATCTCCATCCCCTTCCTGCCAGGCTCAGGCTGCTGCAAGCTCATCCTCCCATAAAACCCCAGCAGGTGGCAGTCTTAAAGCTGGTGTAGACCTGGCTAAGCTGCAGAGTTTCCCTTGCGGCAACGTCAACTACGCCTATGACGAGCAAAGTTATGAGGCTGAGAGCCTGCCTCTGGTTAAGCCCAAAACTTCAGAAATGATCACCAACACCAGCTCCGCCCCCAGTGTGTCCTCAGGAACCAGCCTGGGGCTGACATTAGGCCTCCATCCCTCCTCCTCCTGTATGCCCAAGCTGCTGTTGAAACGCCATGCCAGCTACGGACACGAGGACGTGAGGAGACACACCAAAGCTGAGAAACCTACACGGGACCGAGACTCAGGCTTTTCCCTGTCTGAAGACCTCAGCGTTACCCCCATCTGAAAACAAACCACTGTAACAGGGAGGGACTCTGAATAATAACACCATTCAGTCTCAGCCGGAGCCCCTTTTCTCACAACCCGAGACATAAGTCCTGAAATATGGGAACAGCAAGTCCAAACACGAGGGCCCTCGCCTTGGTCTGAGCTACAACATCAAATCATTAGAGTTCCTGGAATGCTGGAAAACGCATCTGAGCTCTCACATGCCGTAAACTCTCGTCTACACTGTGACACAAAGAACCAACGCTGGACTCAGAGCACGGCTCAGGGCCTCTGGTGAACTGGTAGCTGAACACTGAAGCTCAATTGCAGGAAGACAGGAAGCCCTGCGATGTGTCGATGACCACAATGTGACAGTTGACATGTCTGCTGTAGTTCGAGTCTTTTTTTTTCTACCTTTTAGTTCTGTTTTTTTCATGAAAGCTTTGGCAGTATATTTTTATTGCATCATAATGAATGATTTTTTTGTAGTGTACAGTATGACTTAAACAAGCAAGAAAATATTGAGCCATCTGGGAGAGAATAAAAAAGCATGCAGCGAATAATATTCATTTAAAGATACCCGAGATACAGCCAGGTATATTTCTAGAATTTTAATTTCTTTCCGTCCTCAATAATGTGAAACACATACAGTATATATGCCTGTTATACTGAAACAGGGAATTCACTGAGGTTTGTCTGTTTCAAAGAAAATAGTCTCAACAAGTAATTAAGTGATTTCATTTCTTATCTTCATGTAGATGGAGTTTGCTCTGTTTGAAATCTTCCAAAAGTGAGATTGCAAAACCTGATGAATTCAACTTTATCTTGAGGTCAGTCACTCTGAGATCTGGCAGGCTGATGCTACTGGTGTTGGCCAAATGTTTAAACAATCACAGTTGGTTTCCTGGGAACATGACATTCAAGACAAAATTTTATTAAGTCCCCGCTCTAAGCCAAAAAATAGTCCAAATAATGCTTCTTTACACTTGGCTTAGAGCAAACAAATTTCCCCCACTTATCTGGATTGGGTTGTGATGGCAACAGGCTGAGTAAGTCAGCCCCATCACAGTTTCACAGCCTCTGAGAGATTTCGAGGCATCCCCAGGCCAGATGGTGTCTGTAATCCTTGCTGCAAGCTGTGGATCTGCCTCAGGGTCTCATCTCAGTTGAACATGGTGGGAAAATCCTGAAGAGGCCCAAACAACCTCACTTAACTTTTCCCTTTTAAAACAAAATATCAAGATGCTTGAACTCCTTTCCTTGTGGCTTTACCTCATAAAAGTGCAATCCACTGTTTTCCAGCATAGGTTCATGCCCTCACACTGCTTGGTGCAGTGTGCTGACTCTCACCCTAACTGCTGCGAACTTGGATGCAAACCACTACATTACCCGCATGAGATCACAGTCTGATGACAGCAACAAAACCCCATCATCGGCGAAAGCAGAGATGTAATTCTGAGGTATTTAAATCAGACACTTTCACTCCTGGATAGGGCCTTAAGATCCTTCTCATGATTTATACCTGAAGTGGTGAGTTGAGAGTTTTAGTGGAACAGCACTGGCTGATCTGTCCCTTTTGTTCCAGTACCTGCGCAAAGTTAAGAAAACCGGCTGCTGCTTGTAAATGCAAATTAATTAGATGGACTTGGTTACAATTTTCTTTCAAGTCTTGAATGGAAAGTATGTTGATAAAATGTTATACTGGGCCTTTAAAGTTTCTGAATGTTCTGTAGCAAGAGTCGGCTCCTTGTGATGTTCTGTAAGTATCCTTATTTTCTTAAAACATGTTACATACATAAGTTCATCATCACCCTGACTCTTTTTCCTGATGTCTCAATATTTACTCCGACTGCAGGAGGCCTCATGAACGTTGAAGCTTGTAGAGTTTGCTGATGACCATGCAGCTGTGAAAATATTTGCTATTTTTGTACTTACCTTCATACACTGGACTAACCCTCTGCATTTGTAGCTGTTTTATTCGTATTCAAGTATGTTATTGATAAATCTGTATTTGTAGTCAATCACTGCCATTCAATACCTCTACACTGCGTCTGCTAATGCAGCGCTGGTAGTTCCTATGTTTACTCAGCAGGGGGAGGTATTCAGCTTTGATATAGCAAACATGCTGCTGCAGGTATCTCAGTGTAAACAGTTAAGATTCAATTGTTGAATATTTTGAAAAATTTGTATTCAGTATTTATGTTTCTATGTTATTCTTATTTAATCTATTGGATGGATGTGTTTTTTTCTTCTTGAGCCTAAAACCATTTCATGATTTGTTCTTGCATCTTGGTTCCTCTGTGGTCAACATAAAGTAGCACCATTAGAAAAGGCTCACATTATTACTATAAAGAAAATTAAGTACTGATCTGTTTGGAATTTAGTTTCGCACCCTTTTTTTTTTTTTTAAATGGTGCGTTTAATTTCACAAACCATGATTTGTTTTTCTGCATTGATGTAGCTGAGGATGATTTCAACCTCAACCAAAAATGCACTCTATGCAATATACTGTATTTCACATTTTCATCTAACCTAACTGTGCCCTGAATAAATAAACATATACATTGATCGTATTTGTGAGATCGGGTGCTGCACATGGTACAAAAAAAAAGTTCATTCACTATTTGAACATGTTCCCTTTTTAATTTCAGATACATTCTCATTTGTTTACATCTCACACCAAGACCAAAGACAGTGCATTAACAAACAGTGCAGTGTTCAGAGCCTACACATTTTTGTAAAAGCACATGAATAAAAGAAATGAAAGTTTAATTTTTTTAAGTTTAAATTAAAGTTTGATTACAGGGGAAAGAAAAAGAGAGAAATTCAACTATTGTACAACAAAGACAGTTTGTCAGAATAGTTATAGATAAAACCTTATACAGTTTGTATTTGTATGATGATAATGTGTTATGTGCTGTAGTCGTACGACTATGAGGTCTGTTACCGGGTTAAGTATAAACTTGAACTTACTTCCTCCTTCATTAAATTCATATTTCAGGAACATTTTCTTAATCCCATACCTGAAAGTGAAAAGCAGAATCTCTACACTTTCGCTTCTGTTCATCATGTAGGAAGTTGAATTAGTGTCAGTTTATTCGCTCATTCAGAAACTAGTGACAAACTCTCCTCTCTGCTCAGTGTCCGTGGCATCTTTTCTGTCAGTGGTTCTATGAAACTCTGTCTTAGCTCTTTCTAAAACCGTCCCTAAATGTCTTCCTTATGATGTCCTTTAAAATAGTTTTAGTTTCCTTCACCCGTAAAACAGTCAAAGGTCACTGACCATCTGTGTCTGGAGTTTGACTATTTTCTTTGGTAACAGAGCAACATGTTTCTCCACTTGTCTCTTCGCTGCTTACAGACGCCAGTGTTTGGATGAGGTTTTCCAGTCCCCACAGATAGCCATCCTCTCGGTTGCCTTCCTGCCAAGGTATGTTATGGTTCAATGTCTGGCCTTCTGGTAGCGCTGTGGTCTTTCCAAAGTCAATAATCCAGACCTGGGCATTCCCTGTGTGGTCGTGGAGAAAGAGCAGGGAGCTGCCAATGACCTGTGATAAACAAGAAGGACTTTTTGTTACGTTCACTTTAGCTTCTCTGTCTGTAAAGATCATTAGTTCCAGGAATTGTCATCCTAGTCACTTTTAACAGCAGTTAAAGCAAATATCTACTAAACATTCAAGTGTATTAAACATATATAAATGTGTGCTTAAGGCGTATGTATTTTTTTAACGGTGTTAAATGACATCCAGTTCAAAATCAATTCAGATGTAAGCATTTTGATTGGTCTGTGGGAGCAGCAGCTGTTCGGCACTTCAGGGAAACGGTTCAATGAGAAAATAATCATTACCATTATGTTATGTCTTTGAATAAGGAAGTAACCAACACAATGCTTCGGAAAAAGTGATGCATCCCTTAAGTAGAGTTGACTTTAAACACACTTTCTGTTTGTTCAGCTTTAACCTGTCACTCATATTTAGATCAGTCATCACCTCATGTTGTCTGAAGAAGTCCGATGTCTTCAGGGCCTGCTGGATCACCATCAGCCTGCTCAGGTAGGACTTCTGTATTTCAGGAAAAAGAGTGACAAGCACATAGTCAAATACTTTAAGACCCTTATGTAATTTTAAATACGTGATAATCCAAAGCCAACTTTCGGAGGCTATAAGTGTAACAGGGTGTAGGCGGCGTGCAAACTTGGAAACCTTTTATCATAATAGAAAAGTCAAACAGCGTAACAGAGTGAATATTTACTTTCTTGCTGTTTAAATAGTTCAAGGCTGTTTTCTTTTAACATTAGACAGGTCCTGGTCTTTTTCAAACTGTGTCTACAAAATAATTTACATTTGTCCAAACACTGGAGGCGGATGTGAGCGCTTAAGCAACCGCTCTGTTAGTTTATGTAGTGTTTTAAGTAATGCCTGTGGGGTTGCTCTGTGTACATGCACGGTACAGCCTGTTTTTGTGTGAAGGTCCTTCCTTAAACACATCATTACACATGTGTGCAGGAACAATGAGGGTGCCACGTACGATGATGTCCATGTTCCCTTCAACAAAGTCTCTGAAGACCTGGATGACGTCTTGCCTCGATCGGGTTTTCTTGAAGTCAGTTCGACACGTACCGTCACATTTCTGAAAGAGAAGAATAAGCGATGCATCGTCTGAACGAAACTTCAGAGGCTAACATCCGAGCATCTATCTAGTTGCATGTTAAAGCAAAATGTAAGGATAAATGATGACAGACATTGCTAATACTGGCCTATAAATGACATGCTGATGATGTCCAAACATCTCATCACTCTACCTTGATCCCCTCTATCCTAAAGCCCAGCGTGTTGGTGGAGCTCATGCTCTCTCTCCACTGCATGTAGCGAGGTTTGGTGACTCCACGTTGAGCATGCTCCTGAGGAGTCGGCCCATCACTGTCCACCTCCACCATTTTATTATACAGGTCTTCTCTCGGTCTGGGTCGCTCCCGCGCTCTAACTAGCTCATCCTCCAAATATGTCCTGAAAGAGATGGAAGGAGAAAGACTTCAGAGGCTGGATGTACTGTAGTTAGAGATAGTTTTAGACATAAAATTAATAATGACAAATGGTTGCTTCAATGTGACTTTTGTTTTGTTGTTAAACTAATTTGCGTTGTGTGTGCACCGATAGCTATACAGTAGATAGATCTGTGAATAAATATTTTGTAAGCAGAAGAATTCCTTCAATGGAGCAACCCAAACGGAAACCATGCTGCAAAAACAGCCACAAAGATCTCATTCTGGAGTAGGAGATACAAATAAGGAACTACAAGTAATCCAAAAAGTCACATATATGCAAACTTAGAAAAGTTAGTAATAGGTCTGCAGGAAACTTTGTGACCCGGGTTTTGGTGAAACATGTTTCCTACAGGAATGATTCACAGAATAGATTTGGCCTGCTGGAGGGGGACATGGCTGAACAAGGACAAACATGACCCTGATCGGCACATGTAAGAGCAGCCTACTGTTGCCTGTTCACACTTGGCTTATTCATAAGAGTCAGTTACGTTCAAAACAATTTGAATTTCAGTTTCAGTTTGCAAGTGTGCACTTCCTCTCTGAGCTGAAGGAGGAAGCTGAGAGGAGACTCCAGTGCTGTGTTCGACTGTGTGAGAGAGTGAGTGTGTGCTGGTCTAGGGTTAGCGGTTTTGCAGCTTTGTGGTTAAGAGTGTTTTTGACTGAGGGGAGTCTCCAGGGACACCCTGAGTGTGTAATCTTCTACACTTACATATATGGGTGTTGCTATAGAACTCAACACACAAACACTTAAGAAGAAAAATTAAATTGTCTATCCTTTAATTTGTCATTATGTGTGTGGGTGAATTCAGTGATCCTGTGTGTGGGTGTGTGTGTGTGTGGGTGTTTGGATGAGATGCATGTGTTTGTGCATGCATGCACTGGACCAGAAGTATCTTCCTCTCAGCTGTAATGGCTTCACCAACATGTGCATGTTTACAGTCATGTGCGCATTCATGCATGCATATAAATGTGCAATCTTGAGGCAGCTTGTTCTTGTGTGTGTGAGTGAGTAAGTGAGTGAGTGAGTGTTTTTGCCTGTGCACATGATACAGTGAGGCACCCTGCCTGCTGTGGCAGGAAGCCAGCATGTAGCCTGCAGTTATAACAGGTGTTCCCTTTAGTGCACAAACTCTGCAGGCAGCACGTACTGTCACCAGAACACACAAAATGCCACAATTATTACTTTCAGAACAAGAGAGTGAGCATCAACATCCTAAACATTTACCTGGTGACCTGATTGATCCTAAATTGAAACAGTCAGGAAGTTGATCATTTTGGTATGTTCACTTTCAGATTAAGAAATCAAAACTTAATGTTTTTGATATATTTTTAAAAGGTAATAAGCTCACTTCCTTTACCTCACTCCCATCTTACAGTCCATGACATTAGGGAGGTCAAAGTTTGCCAGCAGGTCAGTCATATGAAGGAAGGACTCCCCATCCTTTTCAACAATGCCATGGTAACCAGGTACAAACGGGAGCAGAGCGTCCTCCCTCAGCTTCTCAAAACACTGCATCTCATTTTCAGAGAACTTCTTCAGGATGGTGCCCTCGCCTGCTGCTTTGAAGTTTCCTGAGAAGAGACAGAAAACAAAACTTTGGATTTCACAAGCAGGCGAGGTGAGAGGATGCTCTCTCTGAGTGAGAATTTAAAGGCATATGTTGTCTGTTTGCTGGATACGATCCTTTCAGTGGCTCTTTTGGCTGAGTCGACTCTGTTCTTTTGGATTCATAGTTTTAGTCGCAGAGACACAGTGTTTAAAGAAGACGACTTCAGTCATTCATGAAAGCTAGTATCTGCTCAGCTGAAGTGTTTTTTATGTGGCTGAGCCTTTTTTTTTACTCACAAAGAGCTGCAAGAAAAAACTGCATAATGACACTTCAGAGACAAGTTTTGTGTCAAAGACTGCACAAAAACATGCTAACCTATCAGGGGAGAAAAAGGACATCAGAGGCCTCTGTCAGGGATATACACAGTGTTTAAACATTATTTGTTGCCCAAAACGAGTTGTACCTTTATGCCCAGCCAGCTGAACCCAATTCAGTTTTCTCCTCTGGGTAGCACTGAAGGGCCAGTGGACGATTGTCTTTAACTTCCACCATGGCTTACTCTGGAAAAGCAAACAGAAACGAAGGATTATGATGGAGAATAGAGAGGTTATACGCTTTACGACCAGTCTTTCTTACTAATCACCTGGGTGTGTTGAATACTTGATTCTGATTGGTCTAAACCCTGTCAAAAACGTCAGTAATTCTGAACTGCAAAATCGGCACTGGGGACAGCCAGTTAGCACAAAACCATCATATCAAGCTGCAGATAGGTTTAGTTCAGTTCATTTATGTAGTTTCACTTCTTCCTGTTGACACTGTGGCCAAGACGTTCCTTTGCAATAATATTGGTAAACAATATGGAGGATAATTTAAGAATTATCATGACTTGTTTGGAGCGAACAGTTCTTAAGTTTTGTGGTTTACGGATAACCAGTCACCAGCAGAGTAGAGAAGACAATGAAGAAAACCAGTCAGGAACCAGTGAGGGACGTTACCACACAGTAACCTCAGTGAAAGACACTCTACACTGGTGCTGCTGTTATTCTCTGCAAGTGCCAGTGGAAAAAAAACACAAATGACTGAAAATGTAAAGTTTAATGCTTACTTGATCCACATGTGGGCTGAAAAGATTAGTTGCCATGGAAATCATTTTAAAATCTTCCCTAAGCATCAACTTGCTTGTATCTTTAGTTTGAAATCACTAAGCTTTAGTCACTCTCTAAAGACACTCAGAAAGTAAAAGCAGTTTTTTAAAAGTACACTTGATGCCAGGCTTTGTTTTTCACTAAGTTGAAACCTCACATCTAGGTCAACTTAATGCCATTTCTGTGGAAATGTATCTGCGCTCCACATCTAGACTAAGATCCTCTACCTTTATATACTTTCACTCTAATTCCCAATCCAAAAATTTAGGACGCTGAGCTGCCTTTTGCTTTTATAGCCAAGTAGGATTTCAGATTTCACACGTATTAAAACATGCATTGTTTTTCCCATTTGGAAGGAGAATCTGCAGCATTAACACCAAATACCCGAAGGCGACTCTGCACTTGCTGCTAGCCACTCAACTCCCACTCACTTGTTAGTGATGTCTGAATTTATTTATCTATTTAGTTCTCGGTGTCGTATGACTGACTGCAACACAACGATGCATGCTCTGAATCCCAAACGGAGCAAAATAAATAAAGAAATTCTTCAAATGACTGACAAGTGAGTTATCTCCTCTTGGCAGCGATGTTTACTGTTTGTCATGAGTGTTTGTCAAAGGACTAGGTACTCCTACTGCTATCACTGCCTCTCTCTGTCTGTCACTGCACTCACAAACACACACACACACACACACACAAGCACACACATTCACAAATAAAACACAGTAACAGCTTGCATATTTCACTGAGACACCGCAGCTCTTCACACTTAAGGAGGAACTGCTTGTTTTTTCTTTTCCACAAAAATCTCATGAAATGCTCGCACACTGAGAGGATTACACTTCTACACAATCATCCTCAGAATAATGAAAAGAGCATCAACACACTCCCAGGTGTTTGAAAGGAAAAATTACACAGTCTCTCTGCTCTTATCTTCTGGCTCTGTGGAGGTCATTTTATTCTGTGTTCAGATTGAAACAGGAAATGAAACAGGGACTCTCACGCTCAAGCGTCTTCACCTCCTCAGTAATAACACAACTCCGCAGCAGCATTTGACAGTCTCTGTTAAATGTCAGCTGATTCGCTTCACTTAATGTGCTGCTTACTGTTTACTGATAATATCACAGAGTGGAGGTGTTTCCCTTCCACAGACATGCTGTGTAGTTCGCTTTGCGCGATGGTCTTTTCATGCAGATGGAAAACACAGAGAGCTACTGTCTAATCTACCCTTTCCATGATGCTTGATATAAAGTCTGGAATCATGTAGCGTAACGTCTTATTCTCGCACGCAGAAGGAACGGAAACTCAGAGTTTTTACATAAACATTAAGATCCCACAGGTCCTTCTGTATTTACATTTTACACATGTACTGACTTTGAAAACTAATGCTCCACACAAAACTGTGACCAGGTCAGCTTTGATGACAGAAATCACAGGAGTGTGTACTGATAACACTGTCCCCACTTTGGTAACAGCACCTCTGCTGACATATTGTGCTTAATTCAGCTTAAATCATTCAAAGGTGTGTCTGAAAGATGAAGGGAGAACTCAGAAATTGATCTTCAATAAGATTACTGCCAATAGTAACTGTTATCAATTAATCTACTGATAAACCCAATGATCAATGGGTTAAAGCTCCTGTGAGGATTTTTTTCACGATTATAAAATAGACTGAAATTCTTATTGATTCATTTTTATGATATTTAAAAGCAAACAAGAGTACAGGAGGGTAGGTTTCAGCAAAGAAGCCCTTTTTTTTTTACAGTTTTCACATAAAATAGTCACAATTAATGACAAATTTGAATGTTAAAGATCAAAATATTGTTATTAGAGGACATCACTTTAGCATGTAAAAGACAAGATAAGCAAAGAGTGCAACTAACGTTCCCAAAAGGTGCTCTGGGTTGTAAAAGATGTCCTTATAATCTATCTAAACTGGACATTATTATCTCTCTAGTCCATCAAAAAGGCAGCAAATCATTGAATATACTATGCTTTTGATGTTAGAGTCAGGCATTTATTGTCTGAATAGTTTTTCCTCTTTCATTATTATCAAAAAGTTTTCTAATCTAAAAATATTACATTTACTTGAGCAGATTACAGCACAATGGACAATACGCTGTTGTTTTATTTCTGCAATTACTTTTGTTGAATATTTTTAAAATCCCTGGTATTTCATTCCCATAAATAGAGGTACATAACAGAGGAAAACAGCACTATTTACTTAACTTTGTTGACATCATTTAGTCTGTCTGCAGAGGTGATGCAATCAGTCATGGCCACCGCTGTTACTTAGTCTGTAAATTTGTCTGCTGTGTGAAAATGTCCGATGTTTTTTTGGTAAGAGTTTCGAAAAAAAACAGAAAAAATCCCAACAACAACAAAAACAAACAAATGTAGCTCCGAGGAAGAACAGTTGCAAGAGAGAAGACAGAGTCCTTTTCAGTTCAAAGGTGCAACTCGAAGGTAAAAGTTGATCTGATTGGACGTTCAGGGAGCACCTCAAATAAGAGTGTGGAGGTTGATATTAGAAGTATCACCACCACCTTTTTTCTGCCACTGTCAAGCATGGCATCGTTCCAAAAGTTGAACTATTTTCAGCCGAGAGCGCTGTGAGTACAGTGACAAGAAGCAGACGTGGTTGAGGTCTTTGCTGCCAGTGCAGAAAACTGCCTTCAGTGGAAACAGTCCCTAAGGGATCACCATGATAGTATCACCTGTAGTACTTTCTAGGACTGCTCAATAAAAAGAAAAACACAATGAATTTCAGACCAATTAAGTTTGTTTACGCTCATAAATCAATAGCGTTTAGTAGAATCAAGCTCGTGTTTGCTTTCTACCTTGTCAGGCACACCTTTTTGTTGTAATACTGGGGCGTGTGTTTGTATGTTTGAGGCACTCTGACACGCGCTAATACAAGCAGTCTTGAGACATTTCATTTCTGGTGACAGGGGGGACAGTGTGAGTCACTCTGCCAGGTGTTGCTGGCCACCTCTGAGTGATAATTCAAACCACTGTAAAATAATCGCATAACTCCTGTCGAAATAATAAACCTGTTTCCTCCTCTGCCGTCTTACTGCTGAATCTCAATAAAGCATGTCTTCAAGAGTGAGCTGTCAAACGCCAAGTACTTGAGCAGAAGTGTTTCGAACTTCCTGAAGTGCTTCTTTGTTAAATGTCAAAGGCCAGGGCTCAAATTAGCCACAAAAACATGATTACACAATGACATGGTGCTTCGCTGTGTCGTGTCATGTCTGAAGAATCGATTCAGAGGTGAAAACAAACTCCAATAAAGTTACAACAACTTTAAAGAGCAAATAAAACACAAAAGCTGACTTCTAATGAACAGAGGAAAATACCCTACACCCTCTTTCTCTCTTTTCTTCACTCACACACTTAATGGGTAATGTGTATTCGCTGTGTTTAAAGGAAAGTGACAGCTACAGACCATGTATGGAGAAGGTAAAAAGAACACACACAAGGAAAGTCTGACTGTGATGTGGTGGCAGAGTCGACAAAAAGCAGACTAAGCTGTTACAAGAGGACACAAGAGGTGACTCACTATCATCACACTCAACTTCCCTGCAAATCACACGCAGGACAAGTGATCCACTTTGAATCCAGATGCACACTCACAGTGGTTGTTCTTAAAGGAAGGTACTCAAGAAAATATGAGTGCATGTTAATAACCGGTGAGTCTTTTTAAGCTTTATCAGTGAGGAATGTCAAAGTCAAACATATTTCCACCCACAGTGTCCAGTGAAGGCCGATCCTTCAGTACCCAGTGTGTGCTGAAGGAGGGACTCGCACGTTGTGAAAGGTTGGAGATAACAGAATCGAACCACTGGTGGAGTTTACATTTGGCATGCTACAGATACATTTTTATCAACATTAATATATGTTGAATGGAAAAAAGTCACAAAAAGATTACTGATAGAAAAGATATCACAATAAAAACTAATGGTGTGTTTTCATACTGGATGAAACACAAGCAAAGAAAATGTGATTTCAAAAAAGAACCACCACATCTCACATTACCCCTATTTCAGCAGCAGCTAAGAGGTTAACCATTGTAGACGTGAGTGATTTCCTCCTGCAAAACTCACGAGACATGTTTATCGACCTTGAGAAACTATTTTGGAGTACCATCCTCTCTGCAGTCAGGGAGATCCCAGTGGTTTTGTGCGAGGAAGTAGACCAGTTTGCTGACTGCTGTTTGTGTGCTGTTGTGCTTCACTGTTTTAGCTTTCTAAACATCAGCACTTTTTTGTAACATGAGCGGATAAAGATGTGAAATGACACACAGGAGGTCAAGGGCAGCAAATGCTTATACCCTGTGCAGACCAAAGTTGGTTGCAGTAACTTTAAATATTCTGCAGCGTCTTTAAACGTTAAGTACAGGATGTAAATGTGAAATATTTTGCTTTTCAGCCCCCTAAAAAACCTGCAAGTGATGCATAAAACCTCCTCACGTGAAGACACTTTCAAATCACTTTAATTTTCAACCTAAAGTGATCAAATTGATGTTTTTTCTCACCTCTCCAGAATCCACCAGTGGCTCTAACGTGACGATGCCTTTGCTTTTGCTCTCGTTGTCGCTCAGTAAGTCATCCTCAGACTCCACGACGGAGGAACCATTGGAAGAGATGGAGGAGTTGGACAGTTTCCTGCGCAGGGCACCCTCCACTGGCTCCTCCAGATCCTCCTGCTGCATCTCCCGCGAGGAGCCACCTCCCTCCGGGGTGATGGTGACCTGCGGTACCCGGCGAGCATCCATCACAGTGGGCGCTCCAGGTTCGGATGAAGTGCTGATCTGGGCTGCTTTCTGCACCAGCTCATCGCAGATTTGAGAGGACTTCCCGGGTGCTCTTCTATCTGATCGTAAACCCTCGTTGAGAGGAGTCCCTGAAACTCCTAGGTCTTTAGACTTTCTCCGGTACTCTTTTGGCATTGGAGATCCGACGTGAGAGCGCACGAAAGGCGCAAAAACGGCTGAAATCACCCTTCAAATCAGGTCATTTCACTTGGAGAAGCGCACTCTGAGCTCGGGTCTTCAGTCGATCCTCTGTAAGACTTCCTTGTTATTTGTTGTATCAGCTTGCACACACTGAAGAGCTCCGTCAGCCTCTCTGCTCTCAGTGTACTGCGAGAAAGGGGAACCCCTCTCAGGAGGTGGCGTGGCTCGCGCTTCTACGCGTTAACAGACGCGCGCGGGTGTACTTCTTCACGCAACTGTGCACGCTTTTTATCTTCCGCATTGACTCTCGGGCTTCCTGACCGAAAAATTCAACCAGACACAGACTTTTCAACTAGACACAGACTTTCTTTTTTTCACATGCTCGGAGAATAACCTGACCATAAACTATGGAGTTCGTCTGCTTCCTCTGATGGCAAATCAAACATTTAAACTGCAGGAGTTTACACAAAGTGATGTAATTCACACTAAGTGGTGTCATTTGAAATAAAGAAAGGGAACACACAGTGTCCGAAACCTTGAAGTAAAAATAGTTCAGTTATGAGCCTCGAACATTTTTACCTCCTGCAGCCAGAGTGCAACATTTCCAAATAAAACCTGAACATTCACATGCCCTTCTTCTTAACTGTCATTAATAAGCTTCCTTGGCATCCAGGAGGTGGCGCTCTTGTTCATCTATGCCAAGAAGGCAATTGTGTGGGGGAAAAAAGGGAGGAAAAAATCATTTACCTTCATGATAACGACACAGCAATTCCAGAATATTTCATGTTAATATTTATTTGAGGGACACAATAAATATGTAGTTAATTCCCACTGAAAACACAGGCCTATTGTTCAGCATTGAAAACTTAAATATGTACATTTTATTAATTTCTTAAGGCACGTTATCTAAACCATTTTATTATGTAAGGCATAAATTTGATATCAGTAACATCAACTGAAGTTAAGCTCTACTAGTACTCATATTTGGAGTACATGTACTCATTTTTTGTTGACTAGCTCACAAGAAGACTTTACTAGTGGAGCAAAAAGTGTCAGTAGTACTACTAGTAGACATTTTAAGGTCTACTAGTACGACTAGTAGACTTAAAAATGTTCACTAGTACTAAAAGTAAACCTAATATGCTAATAAGGGGTTGGGGACAGCAAATTCTGGCTTCCCATGGGCTTTTGAAAATATTACAATCAATCAAGATGCTGGATTTGCTCATTATCCCTCCTACATCATTTGCATTTGGTCTTCTAGTACTACCAGTATATTTTGGGGTTTTACAAGTACTACAAGTTACATTTACAGTCATATGAAATTTATGCTCCAATGGGTTTCCATATGTTATCACAGAAAAGCACTGACTATGGGCCACTAACATGTGTAAGTCTTTGGCATACACTGTAAACTAATAGATATTCATGCACTTAGTGGTCTTTGACAACACTGTCTTGTTCTAGACTCTATCTGCCATCCATAGGGTTTATATTTCAGAGAGGATCTATAAGTAACACCCTAAAACAGCAGAGAGGCTGACAGAGTCTGACTGCAGATAATCCAGCCTTGAACAAATCTAAAGTAAAGAAAATAAGGACAAAAAAAAAACAAACGTATCTCAGGTCGTGACAAAATAAGGTGACTACAAGTTAGAAAAGATTAACTTTCATTTTTGTTTGAATTCAAAGCCACAAATAATTTAGCAAATGTAGTGTTTTTGGAGGGAATATTTTTACACCGTAGCTCATTCTGTGAGATTGAACAAAGGTCGAGAGTTAAAGCATACGTTGACTGTGTTCCTGAAACACAGGATATTTAAGCAAACATTTCTGGCACACCGGTCAGTTTGGTCACAGACAGAGATTTTCCACATCTGGATGAATTTTTCCAGGACAGTAAAAACACTGGAATTTAACTTTAACCCTGTGCAAATATTCAATGTGCTGAATACGTTCGGTATTCTTCACACAATCTGAAATACAGAGAAATAATAAAAGCATTGGTTTGATGTTTTCTTTATGCTTTTAGTTTGTTTGTTTTCAAGTTTTTGCATCTACACACATCCTTCTCCTTTTTTAAGGCTCTTTAGCGCCACCAGCTGTTAATCATTAGAATTGTCCATAACTTTCAGGACCTTCCCACTCTCAGGAGTCACTTGTGGTCAGAAACACTGGACACCTTTTAATTGTGTGATGGTCAGATTGTTTTACTTAAAAAAAAACAATCCAGAAGGTAAAAAGCATTAAAGACAATTCAAAAGGTAAAAAAGCATTTGTCAGTCATACCAGTATTTTTGCATGAGCAGAGTACAGAAAATGCAGAAAGTGCAATGTGCGGTTTGCATACCAATGAAAGAAACCCTAGAACAAGCTTGATCCTTCCAAGATCAGCGAGATCAGGCCCATCAGACCTAGAGCCGATACCCCTACTCCATACAGCAAGACCACAATAATTCAGTATGATGTGTCAGAAGAGAGCAGCAGAGTCTAATACCATACTGACCTTTAGCCTCTTCAAGGCAAAGCTGATGTGAGGGGGCAGAAGCTGCTGACATGTAGTCGGGTTCAATCCAATGACTATAGGAAGAAAACAGAGAAATATAAAGACTGTCTTACCTGTACAACCTCGTAGATAAGTTCCTGCAGTTAAGCTGGGTCTAAAAGTGAGAGAGTCACTGCGTTTAAATATCTTGGCATAGGCTATGGCCTGATGAAACATGTTCATGCAAATATCATTTCAGTTCTTTAGTTTCTAAGTTGGAACAAAATCTTGGCTACCTGCACAGAAATAAAGCCAGTTTTCCAGTATCCCCCAGGAAGAGAGCTGTTGAAGCAGAGTTTTTATTTGTGTAAGATCATGATGGTATTGTAAACATGCTCTGTTTATCACTCTGCCCTCAGATTCATAACTGATGACAGATATAACACTAATCATTATGTCCGTCATGTAAAGGTTGGTTGGCCCTCACTTGAACCAAGACACAACAAACACTGGGATGTTTATGTTGCCAAGTTCCCTCCTGGTAAACTGCCTCCTTATATAACAAACTCGTTGGAGTGAATTATAGAACCCATAGGTCTTGTTCGCTTGCCTGGTTGGCTATGAAAGTTTTACACAGAACTCAGCATAAATCAGCATTTTCTTTTGGTTGCCCAAAACTCAAGGGAGACCGTCCAACACACATACTGAAGATATTTTTTTTTGCATCTCTTGCAGAATTAATACTTTGATTTCTCAGCATTGTATTTCAAATTGTGACTGTTTAATTTTTCTGTCTGATTTGGTTTGGACAAATGACATACTGTCACCTTCTTGCCCATAATCTGATTTCAGCTAATCAACAGTGCTGCCTGATGCCTTGTAACACCCTGTAGCTCAGGCTGGTGCTCCAAGCGGGTTTGTTCTGATGGTTTAATTCAAAAACATTGTCAAGAACTGGCTCAAGAAATTACAACAGAAAGGGAGACACACATCATGTACTGTACACTTTTATGTTGAAATAATACTTAATAAAAGCAGATTAAACCAATTTATAGTTTAACATTAAATATTTACTGAATGAGGTATGGGCACAGCAGAGCCCAGTGTACTGTAGAGGAGTAGCACATGTTAGACACACCTCTAAGATGACAAAAACACCATATGATACTACAGGGGCATCACAATTTGTACTGCAAATCCCGTCATTGTTACGCATTTGTAACTTGCTCAGGAAAACAATTGGCCCAGCAGGTCATCAATGGCTTAAAAGACGAGAAACAGAATCAGAGTCAGAATTACTTTATTGATCCATACTGGGAAAATATATTGTTACAGCAGCTTTTTCCGGGTGAGCCATAACATTATAGGAATATAAGAAAAGACACATATCATGAAAATACCTGGATAAAAGATATAGCAGTATATAAAACTCGCAATTTCCCAACTTTCTATACATTAAATATAGTATATAACACTTATTGGGCTTTTCACACTGAACTTGGAAAAGAGCAGTGGTGCCAGCAGTGTGATTGTTTTTGTTGGGAAATAAGAGCTAAATTACAAAATAAATTTGGTCAAAAAATGTGAATTATACCTGTTTAAATGTTGTAAAGTAGGGGAGAGCGGGGCTTGTTGTCACATGAATAAGTTGTCACATTGCAATTATCTTTGCCACCAGAGGGCGCAACTAAAAGTGGAATACTAGTTTTATTCCTTTATGTGTCAGGGGTCATGTGCTGTCTGAGAAGAGAAGAGCACATTGTGAGCTGAGATGAGCGCCGATTACCCATCTTGCACAACCCAAAGTAAAAAAACTTTGCTTTATATATTTTAAAATAAGCTTCTTCCAGATAAAAATCCTAGCAGTGATACGTGTGGACTTGTTAGAGGAGAGATTGAGGCATCCTGTCATACCTCAGTTATTGTTCTGTTTTAAGCTAACTATAAGTTAGAGCTAGAATTAGCAGACATGGTAGTTTGGGGCAACACGTCTCAGTCATTTTGGGGTTAGTTGTCACATGTTTAAAAGGGATTAAAATGTTGTCATACAGAGATTTTGACTTTATCTTACAGAAAAAAAGAGTGGTTAAAAGGAGAGGAGAAAGCAGGAAGACATAGTTAAGAATTTCAAAACAAAAACAGAACGTGGCAGTGCAGTACCTGACGTGATGTTGAGGGCAGTCAGACAGGTGACCCTAGCTAATAAATCAATGTGGAGGACAATAAAGGACTTTAATGTCAACTGCCATACCTTGGCTCAGTACTGTAAAACATTCACCTCAGCCAAAATAGAGTTAGACAGCTCTACAAACTCCAGAGCATGTTGATAATATTTTATGTTAACGTTTGTTCAATGACTTTTTCTAGCTCAATGATCAATATTTTCTGTGCCTGACTTCGATGTTCACTTTTCAAGTAAAAAATGAGAACAACATAATTTTGTCCTTGTTTTATTAGCGCTAAAATCAACTGTGACATCTTACCCCATGTGGTGAGACAACTTACCTGATGGTGGGGCAACATGTCACACTCTCTGTGTGATTGCTCATAACTCTGCACTAACACAAGATATGAAAATGACATGAATACGAAATAAATACCTGATTGTTCAGTCTTTCATGTGGTACACATTTTGTTTATATATGATGTACTGATCGCAAGAAATAAACAAGAGTGTAAAAAGTGTTATAACAAGCCCCAGTCTCCCCTAGGACTATGAAGGGACGTAATGTATATTGTGAGTCCCACACTCCAGTCCACTAGGCGGCGCTGATAAGCCAATGAGAGAACAGAAGAAGAAGTGAACTACACTCTCGCTGACGTCTACGGTACTCTGAAATTGTGTCGGAGTGGGACGTCTAACTTCTGTGTGCTGAAGGGCAGCCAGTCCGAGGTTTCATCCGTGGCGTTATCTGTCTCTCTTTACCTGTCAATCTCCAAGCTGCGCCATGTTTGCCGTCAGAAACGCTCTCCGCCTCGGCTCCAGGTTGTCCATCCCCGCGGTGGCGAGGAGAGGATGCGCCGGAGCTGCGATACCTGTGGACGATATAGTGAACGGACTGACAGACGACCAGATCCAGGTTAGCCACACAGGCTAGCTGAGGAATAACACAGTTATATATGCATACCAGGGCAGATAAGCAGGAAATACAGTCATAAAGCTGCGTAAAATGAGCTCAAAGTGCAGTGGTCAGTTTGACAGAGGAGGAAAAAATGGTTATTTAAGGGCTCTGTGCACGTGAGGTGATGACATAACATCAGCTAAACAATAAGACCTTCATACTGATGATAGTAGACGACCTAGCTTCACATTTCCTCGAGAGCTCTGTATTTTCCTCATGCATACATCAAATAATTCAGTTCTCGTCTGAGTATTTATAAAAGCTATTGTCACTGATAAACTCTCTATAGGAAGCTTTAGCAGCTACTTTAGCCCACACAGATATCTGACTGTAGCAGCTTTGTTATCTTCATTTAGAGGCACAGTCTGAAGCTGTAAAACTCATGTAAACACACTTTAGAGACATTTTATGAATTTGATGCAAGGTGACTTCAGGTCAGCTTTGTTTTCTTCATGGAAAGCTAGGGTTCATACTGGCTGGGAGGAGGGCAAGGGGAGGGGGTTCATATAAAGGATCTGATTGGTTAAAAGTCTCTGCTCTCCTTGCTCAGGCGCTGTGGTGATCCAACTGTCAGACCATAGATATAACACTTTAAAAGAGAATTTCAGATCACACCACTTCTTCTTTGTTTCACATAGAGCTAATTATTGTCTCAATCTGCCATGGGACAGATAACATGACCTCTTCAATTCACTTCACTTCAACTTTATGATGTCCCAAAATGGCACAGGCATAGAAAACACTGCCACACATCATAAAGAGAAGAAGTAATATAAAATACATTTACATAAAAAGCAGTTCAGGAGTTAAAATCAGCATATGTCAGTCATACCAGTATTTTTGCACGAGCAGAGTGCATAAAATGCAGAAACAAAGTGTAATGTGCAGTTTGCATACCAATAAAAGAACCCCTAGATGGATAATAATAATAATAATAATAATAATAATAATAATAATAATAATAATAATATACACCATCTAATACCAGAAGCAGTTATCTCCTCCTGCAGGAATCATTTAGGGTTAGGGTTAGAGCCTGGGATGAAGGAATTTTTATACCTGTTTTTTGTGGCTCTAGGAACTCTCAGCCAATGGCCGGAAGGTTACACATTATATTCTGAGCAGAGAGGATGGTCACTACGAGACCGAATGGACACAGCTTATTTACCAGTACTTGTCTTGGTGACATCGTATATTTAGGTTTTTTTAAGTGTAATCTTTGTCGTGTCTTTCACAGCTCAGGCAGACAGTCCGTAAATTTTTTACAGAAAAGCTTGCGCCCCATGCCGATGACATCGACAAAACCAATAACTTTCCAAGATTGCGGGTGAGTTAAAACACACTTGCAGATGTGTTTAAAAGTTGAAAAATAAGCAGCACTGTTGTGAGCATGTTTCAATCTCTGCTTGGTCTTGTGTTGAAGTTGTGTCTTTGTATGTTTCAGTTACACATCAGTTGTTCACTTTCTAACTTTGCTCCACCAGGAATTTTGGGAGGAATTGGGAGAGATGGGACTTCTTGGCATCACTGCTCCAGGTTCTTATGTTTCTGGTTTTTCAGTCAAAGTATGGACTGATTTCTTTAATTTGTCGTGTTTCTAAAAAAAAAAAATATCTTCGTACATCTCTTACAGTGGACCATGGTGGAACAGGATTAGGCTACCTCGATCATGTCATCGTGATGGAGGAAATGTCACGAGTGTCAGCAGCCATTGCTCTCAGTTATGGCGCCCACTCTAACCTCTGTGTCAACCAGATGGTCCGCCACGCCAATGAGAAACAGAAGGAGAAGTACATGCCAAAGGTGAGGGCTGAACAGCTCGTCCTTCACATCATAAAATATTGGTAAACCTTAAAACCTGTGAAAAGATATTATGTTCTTTCTCACGGTCACACTTTTTCATGTTTGCAGCTGATGACAGGAGAGCATGTAGGAGCCCTCGCCATGAGTGAACCCAACGCTGGATCTGACGTTGTATCTATGAAACTTAAGGCAGAAAAGAAAGGTAGAAAACCCACTTACCCACTCAGGCGTTACTATTCCACCACTGACCACCGTATTAGCACAGGTTTGAAAACGGTTGCACTATGATATTTATTTGCTCAAATACTTCTAAATATGTTTTGAGATCACACACATTTAATTTCAGGAGCATATGCAAGTACAATAGTCAGAATTGTTCTGCCCCCTTGCTTGTAGTTTATTGTTACTACTTTATGTCCTCAGAAAATAAACTTTTATGAAGTGAATTCTCAGTTTGCAGAGACACTAAAACTCCACATTGCCATTCAAGAGAGGAATTTGAAGTGATTGTCATCCATTTTCAGAGTAATGATTTCTGATGCCTCTAAGTTGCTAAAACCAAAAGTGATTTGACAGACGTTATCAGGGAGGGTCCTTTAATGTTTAAGTAGCTGAATATATCAAAGCAGAACATTAACACACAGAAATACAAGTACAGCTGATTATGTGCTTTTATAGATTAACAGCTCAAGTGAATGAGATCTGTCAGAGTGCATCAGCTGAAGGGTGTCAACACTTGTTGGCTGTGCCTCACCTTATGCTTTGTAAATGCTGGTTTTAAGATGGTTCCTTAATTGCTCCTTTAAAAACATAGTCAAAGGGGCTGAAATGTTTCCATATGAGTGTTTGTACAAGAAAAAAATCAAAGTTGGTTTAAATTTATATTGAGATCAAAGCTGCAACCATAAGTTGACACTCAAACCTGCTGTCCAACATTCATAAATAGGGTTTAAGGTGATTTAATGATCTAAAAAATGTTTATAAATTGTTGATAATGCAGCGATAGCTTGTTGTAGCTTTTCTAAATTTCAGTTTTTGTTTTTTTAATCATTTTTACAGGTGATTACTACATTTTGAATGGTAATAAGTTCTGGATCACAAATGGACCAGATGCAGACGTCCTCATTGTTTATGCGAAGACAGACCCTGAAGCCAATCAAAGAGGAATCACAGCTTTCATTGTTGAAAAGGTAACCCAGTCATAGAGAGACATACTCTTCTCCATCTCTGTGCGACATGATTCAGTCTATTTGGCGCTCAGTCCTGTAGTTTGTCCAGTAGCTGCTTTATAGGAAAGAAATAAGCATTTGCCTGGCTTATATTGAAATCTATTTTCATAACATAGGGGATGCCAGGATTCTCTACAGCACAGAAGCTCGACAAACTCGGCATGAGGGGATCCAACACCTGCGAGCTGATCTTTGAAGACTGCAAAATCCCAGGTGAGCATTTTAAGCTCCCACTCCACTGACTGTTCACTCTTCTAAAAGAGGGAAATTCAAAAATCATTTTCAAGTGGTTTCTCTGCCACTTTCTCAAGTGTGTTTTGTTAGAGAAGTTTGTTTTGTGTGTTTTTGTAGAGGAGAACATCCTCGGTCCATTGAACAAAGGGGTTTATGTGATGATGAGCGGTTTGGATCTGGAGAGGCTGGTGCTAGCATCAGGACCTATTGGGTAAGTTCAAACTTGGGATGTTTTGAAGAGATAGCGTGTGGCAGTACCTCTGGCATGAATTGTGCAGACCTACAACCAGTCAGTTTACACAGCATAAAGGACTCTTGATTTAGATTAAGAAGTATCCTGTTAAATCAGACTTGTTGAATTCATCTTTTGGGATCAATGAAGTTCTTCTCCTTCTTCTTCTTGTTTGCTTTGCTCAACAGTCAAAATGTTCTCTTTATTCCAGCATCATGCAGTCAGTCATCGACTTTGCTGTTCCCTACCTTCACATCAGAGAAGCTTTCGGGCAGAAAATCGGACACTTTCAGGTTAGACCTTCATCTTCCCTTGATTCGAAAGATCATCAAATCACAGCAGATATGCAGTTTATCCTTGTATTAATGTAATGCTCTATGTAAATGTGCCTGCAGCTAATGCAGGGCAAGATGGCCGACATGTACACAAGACTGAGCTCCTGTCGGCAGTATGTATACAATGTGGCCCGAGCTTGTGACAAAGGACACTTCAGTGCAATGGTGAGAGGATTTATAGTACTTTTAATTTACTTCAGTTTATATTTATATGCTTGAAATGGTGTGTTTACGCCAGTGTCCTAGGAATCATTTTGAAAATTTAAACACATAAGTTTGTAAAAAAAAGCTCAAAAATGATGACTGCAGTCTTAAATCACAAGCAGAGAAGTGTAAAATCTTCATCTTTTCAGTCATAATCTGCAGTTTTTACTTGCCGGAGCAAAAAGAAACACAATGATGTTTCCTTCATAGAAATGTCATTCCCCTTGTCTGCATCTTATTTCACTGTTTGCTGACTTTAACTTACAACAATCCCAGGTTATTTATTCCTCACCACCGCTCACTATGACTGTGCTGACTCGTGTTATCTTTGCAGGACTGTGCTGGAGTAATCCTGTACTGTGCAGAGAATGCTACTCAGGTTGCTCTGGATGGTATTCAGTGTTTGGGTGAGTGCAAGAAGTTTAAAATAAGGCAGAATCTCATCTACACATAAGAATCAGATTCTGGGCCTCAGGTTGAATTATGAAATGCCCTCATGTGCGGTCAGTACAATGATGCAGGGCTTGACTGTCCTGTGTTTTGTTTTGGGAGTGATGAGGCTCTACAGGTGCAGCTACTTTGGTTAAGAAATATCCTGCTAACAAATGAGTTGCTGAGTGTGAAGAGGAGGGGGTTGCAGTGTAAACTTCAAGAGTTTAGCGTTAAGAAGGATTTAAGTGTCTATAAAGAGCTGTAAGAGCAATGAATTAAAGTAGAGTGACTGCAAAGGAGAGAGAATAGAGAGAAGGCTTATTTTCACAATTCATCACACAGAATATAATCATTCATAAAGCAAATTGCTCTGTGAGTGTGAGTGGTTGACTCGTTCTTCCACAAGTTTGACATTATTTTGCCGACTGGTGGTAAATGGTTGTCATAAATACTCGTGCATTCTAAGTTTTATGAGTAAAAAGTGACTAAGATGCTAAAAACCAGCAGGTTGTTTTGTCTTGTTTATGGGCGTTTATTTTTTTTGTAGATTTTGTGCCTGAACAACCCGCTTTGCTGCTTCACACTGACTTCACTTTTTTTGTCAACAGGCGGGAACGGTTACATCAACGACTATCCCATGGGACGTTTTCTGCGCGACGCCAAGCTGTACGAAATCGGTGCTGGCACAAGCGAAGTTCGCCGAATTATCATCGGACGGGCCTTCAACTCCATGTTCAAATAATCACGAGTGAGAAAATGGTGATGGCTAAAGACTGGTACGAGTGGTTTGCCGTGGATGAACAAAGTTACTCTTCACCCCAGAGCCTTATACTGTATGAACTACTGCTGCTGTTTGATGGATTATCACATGATTGAGAATCATAGTCATCCTTTAAATTCTCATAGATGTAAACACTACATGAAATCACTCAGATGACAGACATGTCAGTTGTTTGACCAATGGTTCAGTCTGTTCAGTGGCCTTGATGTGATTTTATTACATTAGGTTTCCCGTAGCAACTTGATAACCACTTAAACGCCAATAAAATGATCACAGATTTTCTAAACACTGATGAAACATACTTGGCCTGTGTAAATGTTTAATGCAGTTTTGTTGCACTACCTGTTTGATTGAATTTCTGTCATTTGGTTATTTTGCCCCTTGGCGTGTTGAGCACTCCTCCTGAAGACTGTGTTGATCAAACCTGACATTGTCTTGTATGACTGTAAATGTGAATATCACAACAGCTGAAAGTTGATTGAACTGAACTGATCAAAAATAAGGCAGAATTGAGAGAATTAGCATTAAGAGTAGTTTAGTTCTGGGAGCAAACATATTTCACTGTTGTGTACTGTGAATTGTCTGACAGGAGAGATCCTCCTGATGTGTTTGTCTCACTGGACTTTTGGTGTCAGAATGTAGATGTACAGTGTGTAAATGAATGACATTGTAGTTTGGTTGGCAGTAAATAAAAATCATCTTTTCTAATCTGTAGACAGAATGTGTTTCCACTTTATTTACCTCAGTGAGTGATGTGTGATTATACACAAATATCTCTGAAGTCAGGTCATGAAAAAGAGGAGGTGCTACTCAGCCTGTTAGAAAGACTTAGCTTTGCACATGCTTGTCTTAAGGTTTTCATTGACATAGTTTTCAAATAAATGAGGGGCAGTGTCAAGTACAATCTGTCTTCTGAAATGTAGTCAAGTAATCCTTGTTCTCCCTCAAACTTGAATCATTTCCCCTCTTGTCTTCCCTTCACCTTTCTTCCTCTCTGTCAGGAACCTGCTGCTGCAGCATCTGTCCATCAGCAGCTCAGGTGACAGATCATTAGTTTATGGCCTCTAATCCATCCTCACTTTTTTTCCATCTCTGTCAGCCCCTGTGACTCAGGCTGACTGATATGAAGAAGATGGTTTGGTTGGACTTTGGTACTGCTCAGCTGAGTTGTGATAAACACCACTGCATGCAAAGATGAAGGATTTACAGATTTGTTTTATTTTTTTGGAGGTTGACAGTAAAGAGTTACTGATCGCTGCTCTTTTTGACTGTAAACAGATATGAAAGTGATTGTTCTGGATTCATACACTGTATATGATTTGAATATGTTTTGATATCAAAAGCAAATTTATGGGAAGACACACATACAGTCTTTGTGTCTGGGAAAGCCACAGTAGAGACCATGATTGACCTATTTCTCTAAATTTAAAAATACATGGGGGTCTGCCTCATGGTGGATTTTCCCTGAATAAGAAAGAAGTTTTACCCTCTCACACTGGTGTTGGGTAACTGGTTCTTCTCAGGAACTTTAACAACAGTGTGTGCTCACCTTGATGTGAGTTTGGACTACAAAAATTAAACTCTAGTTTTGTTGAGATAATTTTTCAGTATATTTATCGAAGTTTGTAAAATTCTCTCTAATAAGGTTAACTCATTATCAAGTTTGCTACAAAATTATGTGTTATCTTTCTATCAGCTTGAAATGACTCCTCCACCTCAGGTTGTGATCTCTCACCTCACTGTTGTGCTGTCAGTGTCGTGTTCTCTGCCTCTTAAGCTGCACGGCTCTTTATAAAGCAGGAAGGACTCCTCCCTGCACAGAGACGTACAAACTGAATGCCTCATTGTCAAGTGAAGGTTTTCCTCTTTAATAAGCATCAAGTCTGAAGCTTAACGGAGTTATTAATAGATGTACCACAAAGTCTTTCACAGCATGAAATCAAACAGTTCGCTGAAACGATTAATAAAGAAGAAGATAAAAAAAAAGACTGTGGAAAATTCATTGAATGATTTCACACGAAATGGAAAAATGTCTTCATAACTCAGATGTTGCTTTTGCTTCTGTACTGAGATGGCCTGTTGGAAACACTTAAGTAACAAATTACTTTTGAATTATGTTCTTGTGTTATTAGGCAGCTATTTTTATGATACAGACAACAAAAGACGCATCATTTATGGGGGTTTATTTTATTTTACTGATCACAATTAAGCAAATGTTCAGAATAACTTGTGGGTTGAGCTGCGGTAGTAGAGGGTTACTGCAAATATCCACCATGAACAGCTTCACTGCCATTATATAACTTGTTAGTGCAATGTAAAGAGACAGCTTGATTAATGTTGAGTCAATACATTGTCAGTCTGCTGTTTTAGAGCTGAATGAGTTGTCACAACACATTAAATTTTATTATCAAAAACTTTAAAGAAATCCATTAAAAGGAGGGACAGAGAGGACCAGAGAAATGCAAAAGAGGAAGAGAAAATGCACAAGTTTGGTTTGTTTTGGGGGATAATTTTGGAAAATTGGAAAAACAAATATTGAGTTTTATTATTTGTGTGGTTGCTTTTTATAATCATCGTTCAAGCCACAGAAAATTAAAACTGTAAATCACAGTAAGACTGTAAAATTTATAGAATACAATCAACACAGTCAAATTGTAGCCTCTGGGATTTATAAAACTACAAGTTAACAGGGCCTGATGGTTTGTTTTAAAGTTAGACATCTATTTGCACATGTTGATAGACTGTTGACATTAATTACTGAAGTATTATTGCCAGAATGAAAAGTTAAACACAAGACAAGAGAATTTTTTGAAGTTACAAAAGTATAGGGGGCAGTGGGGTAAGTCAAGCCAAAGAGTAAGTTGTGCCACCCCCTGTTGCTTGGATATGGTAAAAGAAAATGATCATGTGACCAAATATTTAAAAGATGGGCATCAATCCATGGAGTCTGTGAAGGTTAGAAGCACATATAGATGAAGGGGTTAGACATTTATTTACAAAAAAACATTTCTCAGTCTTGAAAGTGAATTTAGTCTGTCATAAATTTTATTAGAATTGTGTTCAGACCAAAAAAGATCATTTTAAATTTGTTTTATACATCAATTGTGGTATCTATGAGTTATAACATGAGGTCAAAAACCTAACATAAAAGTCCACCATTTTAGCTTAGAGGACTAATGAAGTCATAACAGTAGTTCTGGGGTAAGTTGAGTCAGTGGCTTAACTGATAAAGTAAAAGAGTCCGATGAGAGGATCAGAGTTTCAGTTCAGATTGTTGAAATGTGTTACTTTTTCTTTCCAAAAATACAGCTGTGAATGTTCTGAATCACTTAAAGACATTCTCATGTTAAAATGGATTTTTACAAAACAGCTTTTCAGCAGTTATATGCAATAATAACAAAAAGAATATATTGTACCAGTTGAATAGAGTATAATAGATAAAAATACACATGAATGTGAAGAAGTGACTGTTATTTAGGGAGAGAAAAGGTGAGGGAGGGCTGAGGTGGAGAGTGGAGGGATAGTAGGGATACGGCTCAACTTACCCCGCTCCTATGGTCAACTTACCCCATACACGGGATAAGTTGACCATAGGAGACCACTTTTTTTGGCATGCTATATTATCAAGACAGTTATGTTTACACTCATTCTGTTGGTTTGCAGGGATGCACAACATCCTGAAATATATGCAGATACACTAGTTAGAGACAAAACTATGATTGACTTGATGTAGTGATCCGAAATGTGAAAAATGGCTCATCATAACCCACTCTCCCCTACAGCTGATCTGCAAACATATAACGATTATCTTTCACATTAACATTTCTATAAGTTTTAACTCAAAGTGGTGACATTGTGATTATAACTGCTTTTAAAGAGTGTATCAGTAACCTGAGGAAGAAAGATGGCGGAAGTAGCGGGCTATTTCTGGTGGATCTGCAGACTAAATGTTAATTTATGCAAACATTTGTTATATCATCACCTATCTGAGACAAGGGATGGTTTAAACATGTGTCTGTTAGATAAGGGAAGGACGTGATTATGTCCCTCCACTTTATAAATATGTTTTTATGCCCTTTGGTTTGTTTTATCTTAAATAAGAGACTTTAGTGGAAAGAAATTTAAGAGAAGCTGGACAAGAAAGCTGCTGCCAAAATTTGGAACCAGTTACCATATACACTTTTGTAGGCCTGACATCTCAAAATCCAATTCTCATTTTATAAAATGCCACTTGAGAACATAGAGACAAAGTCACATAAAAAGGACACCACCACAGTCAGTCCTCCACATCAGAGCTCGAGGAGGCACCGTGCAGTCACATGTCAGAGCAGGTTTTGGACACGAGCCAGAGCTGCCAGGCCACAGATCCTTCATTCACTCACTCGGTCCCTCGCTGCCTGCCAGGGTTAATACAAGTGTCAAAAGGAGCGGGGCTTACAGACATTAACTAGGTGAAAGCCATCTGTCCACCGCAGCGGGGGCTGCTGGGGGACGGTGACATGTGGACGGCGCGTCCGTGGCCCTTTAAGAAACTCCATGTTTTCGCTACATGATGCGTCAACATAAAAAGCGGATGATGCTGTTATGTAAAAACACGCTGGAGTGGAGCTGTAGTTTGCAGGAGCTCGCTGGATGCCTAGCATTGCTTTCTTCGTCTCTTTAAAGCAGGATTGTGGTTTTTAAAGTGCGTTGGGATTGGGATTTTTACGCGTCGCGCTCAGTTGGGAGTTTTACCGAAAGGGCTTCAACATGAGTCGTCCTCCGCTCCGTTTTCCTCCTTCACTTGCGGAAAGCATACACCTGACGCATCTCCCGCTCGCCTGGTGGAAGTGTTCTTTCTCTTTCTGAAGAAGAACCGAGCGGAGTCATTTCACGACCTACCAAAGCGGTAAGTGACAACAACTCTTATCAGCTCTCGTGCTAAACTGAAAGTGTCAAAGCAGGCGGACTCGAGCGATGACACAGCCCCGTGTTTGGCTCAGTGTGTGTCGGCTCCACAGCCCTCTGTTTGCTGGGGAAACTTTTGGACATCTCCGTGTCTCTCTCGTGCAGGTGGTTTGCTCTCTCCTTGTCGTGTAAACACACAGCTGAGCCTCACTTTGAACACTTTGAGTAGAAGCTTTGAGTCTGCTGCGGAGTTTGAGGGTTTCATTGCTCAAGTGAAAGGCAGCCTTGAAGATGTGTTATGCTACTGTGAATAACTGCTGTAGTTGTCAGCCATGTCGTAGTTTAAGAAAAGCACCAAAAACTCACCGATAGTCTCTTTAATTGTGATTGTGATGGCTGCATCTGTTATTATCCCAAATACCGTCGACGTTCAACTTACTCATATGGCGTCCATAAGGGTTTTCTTCAAATAGAGGCATTAGGAAAGGGTCTCAAATATTTTGAATACTGGATCTGAAGGGAAGAGTTGCCAAAGTCAATGTTAGTATGGTGGCCGAGAACCACCACTGCTGCAAATAAAAAAGAATGCTAAAAAAAAAAGGAGTCACAACGGAAGTTACTGATGGAAAAAAAAAAAAAGAAAGGAAGAAACTGAAGCCCGCCGCAAATAAAAAAAGAAGCGGTGCATATTTAAAAAAGTTAAGTTAACAACAGAATAAAAAGTGGTGATGGAGAAAAAAAAAGGTACTTACTGCGAAAATAAAAGGTAGCAAAAAAGAAAAATAGGGGCCACAATGGAAGTGAGCTGCCGGGGACCAATAATGATGATGCACCAGCGTTTTACGATCTAGGCACAGAAGACGAAGGCGAGAAGACAAGCAAAGAAGTAAGTGGAGAGATTATTGTTTGATTTCACTTCGTGTGCTTTTCAATGTGTCATTTGGTTAGGCCATGTAGCGCCTGAGTCGATGCTGGTGTAGTGTTAGCTTCAGTTCAACTTCATATCGACTCGGGCGCTACATGACCTAACCAAATGACACACTGAAAAGTGCACAAAGCGAAATCCTCGGCAGCTCACTTCCTTGTGGCCCCTTTTTTTGTTTTTGCTTCCTTTTATTTTCGCAGTCAGTAACTTTTTTTTTTCCATCACCACTTTTTTTCTGTCGTTAACTAATCTGCACTGTTTCTTTTTTTATTTGCAGCAGGCTTCGTTTGTTTTTTGTTTTTTTGCATCAGTAACTTTCGTTGTGACTTCTTTTTTTTGCATTCTTTTTTATTTGCAGCAGTGGCGGTTCTTGGCCACCGTATGTTGGCACAAATAATCACACAAAGAACATTGTAACATCTCCAAGTAACTAAAGAACAACTTGTACCACAACTGCATCTATCATTTATGTAAAGATAAATTCACTTCTTTATTCAGATTTGAATGCTAAGCCTGCTGAAAAGATGAGATTCAACACACCTGTGTGCAGATATGTGAGTTATTATCCCCTTTCTTCCACACTTCTCGAAATTTAAGTAAAGATAAGATAAGATGTTCCATTATTAGTCCCACAGGGGGAAATTCCAAAATTAGCAGCAGCATAGTTAGATACAAAAAGAGAAAAATTAAAAGATAAAGAAACTTTGAATTAAAACAAGATGTGTGCATGCGTCATATTCACATTTGTACAGAATTTACATAATAAGTGTTACCACAAAGACAAGGTCAGCTAGAGAGTTTTCAGATTGTTTGCTTTTCAGGTTTTTTGTTACCTCATGAGGATCTCCAAAGCTGTCATAGTTTGCTCAACATATTCCAGAAACAGGGACCAGCATGTCAGCGAAATTGTGCTGCAGTTTTTCCAAAGATTTCATGGTGTATTAACTCAAAAACTAAAGTAAAATGTTGACTCTTACACGCACCGCTGAGCACAGGAACAAACTGTGAATAAGACATAAAGAAAGAACAATAAACAGAAACTTTGCAGCACATAATCAAACTGTCTGCTGCTTAAACATGCTATTGTTTTATAGGGGTGGGAGAACAAATCCATACAGCATAGTATCGTAATATTTTCTCTGGGGATATATTGTATTGTCTCATTTACAAAGTATCGATTTTTCAAATTATCTGCTAATATGAAGTCAAATCAATGTTAATGGATAAATAAAATCAATTGGTTGTCCAGTGAGGTTGGCAGAGGTGACATTATAGAGCGGGAGAAAGTTAGTACAACAAATATATAAAAGGTTTGCAAGATGTGCTACATGAAAATAAAATACAGCGTAAATAAGGCAAACATAAAGGAAAGCCAATTAATAAATTAGCTTAACAATGAAAAAAATATATAAATCACAATATATTGTGTATTGTGTTAATGCTATACAAACTCTATTGCCAAATGTTAAAAATACCACAATAATATCGTGTCATGGACCAAGTATCATGATAATATTGTATTGTGGAGCCACTGGTAATTCCCATCCCTATTATTTTGGTGACAATTTGAACACATACAGACATTTTTACTGTCCAAGTAAGTTCAGAGTCAGTCCAGTGTTGGTGTTCAGTGCTAACCTATCACTTGATTTGGACAGATTTTCACCATCAAACCTACAGCCTGATTTTTTTGTTAATCTCATATTTATTTCCATCTGTACTGTGAAGAGAAATACTTTCTTTGTCAACGGTAATGGTGAAATATGATGATGACTGCTTTTTTTCTAACCAAATTTGACTGGTTGAATCTTTTTAAACTTCAGTTCCTCTTTTTCTCAAGCCCTGAAAACTACTTACTCAACTGATATACTCCTTTTTGATACTTGTAACTGGGTTTTTACACCATGATACTGGTATTTAACTTAATTTAGGAGATTCAGTCGTGTTTCTTAACCGTTGGTTAGATAAATGAGGCATTTTGATCTCTTTAGCAGTGGCTCAGGGGACATTTTCAGGAGATTATTGGTTCCATCATGATTAATTGTTAGGTCAGAGTATAATCATTAGATTAAAGATTAGAGATATGTTTGAGTTTGAGGCATTTTTGGCTTAAAAACTACTTAATTTTTGGGAAGCTGATTATCTCCTGTTGTAAAAGACCACTGAACACAACAGGCTTTGACGTGACATCAGTGTGATAACGCATGACCAACAAGTCGCCCAGTGAGTTCTTCAGTATAATGGTGTTTGTAAAGCCCCTTGTGCACAGAAAAGCCTGACAATAGAGCTTCAGTTCTGGAGGTCAGCGTAGATTTGTGTCCAGCCTATTCCGCACAGCAGACCCTGACAGGCCCGTCATAGCAGCATGTCGAACAGAGGTGCAGCGCCCACACGTGAGCCATAAAGCTGGATATCAATCCTGCACATAATCCCATTATGTCTGAAGAAGTGTCCTGTTGTGGACATAGGGGGAGGAGGAGGAGGAGAGGAAAGGGGAGGAGTAGAAGGGGGAATGTGCCTCCTGTCACCCAAAACACGCTGTCCTCCCACGGGAGATACTTACCTCTTACTCAGAAACCACACATGTGCTCAGAGGGAAAAGAAGAAAGGGCTGCAGGGGATTGATCTGACAGACAAAGAATCAGTAGAGGGACTAAAAAGTGAGCTTTGTTGTTTACTTTTCAGACTGTAAACTGAAATACACTCCGGAGGACAAAGATGTGGATTACTTTTGATGGTTGATAGTTTATGATACCTGAATCAAACTCTAACCAAAAGAACAGAGATTTACTGTGCCACCCTCCATATTCATGGCTCTGATCCTATCGTGACTGATCAGGGCAACAGTTGACTGAATAGGGAGAAGGTGTGGAACAATAAGAATATGGATTCACTTATTTGTGTGAAGGTGAGGGGCTTTTCTTTTGGATAGATTTCTGTGTCGCCAACACATGGTGTTAGAGACGTATGTACAAAAACGATCATGTAGCCACAGGTGTAGAGAGGAGAGCAGGAGGAAACAGGTGTGTGTATCTGTGTGTGACTGAATAAGCACGATGAGAGAGAGAGGTTGTATTGATCATGACTGCCAAGCTAAAGAGTAAGAGACATTGTTGTAAAGGATATTATATAAAAGTTTGAAGGACTGAATGATTTGTTAGATCTACAGCTTGTGGTCAAGTGTAAGCAGTAAAAGAGCTGAAATCCTTAATTTTTTGATAACGGAGTGTAAAAATATGTCACAACAAGTGAAATTTGGCATTTCGTAATTGGGTGATAAATACCGTAAATGACGACAATTATGATATTTCCCATAATCAAGCACTCCTGTCCAATGGTGTCTTGAAACCTGTTATAGTCAGGGTAATCATATCATGCAGATTATCGGCTGATAACGGCATCTTTATTATTCATTATTCCAATAATACTGTTTTATATGATAAAGTCATGGAAGTCCAAGATCCACCTTTTTGTGGCAGATGATCAACGGTGTATTTTAAACAGTTTCCTGAGTCTGCTCTGTGAGATGTGATCTTTCACTAAATCACAGCCTTTCTTACCCTCAACAGTTATCTTTTTGGTCACGGCCATCAGGAGTGGGTTTTGATCTGTTTTGGTATCAGGCTTAAAAGAAGTCAATGTCCTGCATCTCTAATTTGACTGCAGGAAAATATTTCCTCCAAGTGACAACAGCATCCCGTCCAATATGAAAGCTTGTATTGTTCATGTTTCACTGGAAAAGTACAGGGACACACACATCCCTCTTTTTCCAAAACACTCCTCATAGTCACTCTGTTGTGCCACACAGGGGGATGTTAAATATTATCTAACAGGAACTCAGGCAGCTCAGCAGGCTTGATTGTTTTGGATGCCATTCAGAACGAGTTACCTTTACTTTTTAAAATGTTACCGTCACATGCTGATCCTCCGTCAGCCACACAAGGCGGCTCAGCGGAAACAAGGCTGATATTATCAGATATACCAAGGATGATTTCAGAGTTGTAACATGAGCCTGTGGCCGTCTTTCCATGTTGTTATAACATAATTCTTTATGAGATCTTCACTGAGATTGAGGCTGGATTAACCTGCTGAGGGGCCTAGAGGCAAAAACAAACTGCTGGGGCCCCTGACAAACCCCCATTCCTCCCATTCCCACATTCATGGATTATGCAACATAGACGCACAAAACAGAAAAAGAGCCTCTTTGGCAACATATGAGCTGAACATCTTGATGGTGGGAGCTGATGGGGCTCGAGCAGAAAGATAAACAGAGACTGAGCGTAAAACAAGAGAGTAATCTCACCGTGTTTCTATGTAAATGCTATCCTCTCTTAAAATGCTGAGATATATTTTCCACTCACTTTTCATGTTTCATCAATACAGCTGGATGATTGTCTTGGAGATGTATTAACACAAAGTGGGATGTTTTTTCGAGTCAAATGGAGCAGTAACCCCATCAAGGCTCGCCACTGAGTCATCTTTTTGACTTATCTGCTTTGAAATTCACCCAAAAAACAATGAAATCCCAAAGTATCGACACTCAATCTGAAGAGTTCTGGAGACTCTACCTGGATATCCTTTGTAATTTATTGTAATCCAGTCTTGGTAGGGATCTGGGTTTATGGGGATATGGCTAAAAAGATATCCAACAGGGAAAACTGTCAAACAAATCAAACCCTAGTTGAAAGAGAAAACTGTATAACACAGACTCATACTGTCTTTTATAAACGTGCACCTCAGCGTGCAGATAGACTTCTTACTGTGTATAAAAACAGACTTATATTTGCATTTACTGTCCCTTCAAGTGCGCCTCCTTACACTTTAACGTCAGAGCTGTAGAGCTTCACATCATCATGTCTGGTTATCTGACTTAGTTACAGCTCCTGGGGACTTTTTAACTGGTGATGAAACAGACTGAAATGTAACACTTAATAATCTGCAAAAGCAAACAAGACAATTAGCAGTGTGATTAATTACTATTTGGTCTTTTATGATTTATGGATGAAATTGCTGTAGGTGGGTGTCAGATTAAGGGATTCATGGCACACAAGGGGTGCAACAAAATATACTATGGCAATATATTGTCATCCAGACCTGTGCTCTGAATAGATTTCCCTGCTAATTTGACTCACTGGATCACTACAATATCACTCCTTGCATTGATGCTAATCACATGAATGGGGGGTAATGTGGCAGTTAATTGGCCAAAGGAGATGCGGACAGCTGCATAATGTCATTAGAAGACAGGGGGATGTTAAGCAGTGGTGAAAAAATATCTAAGATGTGTTAAAAGCCACCTTTAAAAGTGAAAGGCAAGAAAGGAGAAGGTGATCAAGCTCTTTCTGGTGAGACGAGGGGGAGGACTGAACTCCAGTGTGCAGAGGGAGTTTTGCTTATCTGAGATGGATACGGTCCAGGGAGACCTATGAGACTGTTACCACCCCATTCAATTGACAAAGAGTAAGAAATGGATTCCCACTTGCTAAAAGCCAGCACATTAAATGAGAGTTACACAAGTGTTCAAATGTTAGAAGTTTTACTGAAGGCTATTGAGGACTGAAAAATACCTCGCTTTAGTTATTGGCTTCACTGTAAGTACCATTAAACCAGACCGTCTCTGTGGTGGGGAATGCAGGTTTTTGCAGACTTTTTGGATCCGCAGTATGTCCTGCTGTCTTGACACTACATTTCAGACATCATGGAGCTCTACAGCAAAGTTCATGACACCATATGGGGTGATTTAACACATGATGTGACCGCTGAAAGCTGTACAGCAAACATTCAGAGCTCTGATGTTTGTCCTATGTCATGTCATGTGCTGGGCCTCACTGAACACTGTATTGTTTCCTCTATATCCTGTCTCAGGTGAACTGGGTCAGGTGATGTGTATATATTTTTTATTTTTATTTTTTAAAGCAATATAAAGGAGGAAAATAATGAAAGAAAGCTGATTCAACCCATAAGATTCATGTTCAGAAGTATAAACAAAGGGAGCATTTATAAATGTGAGAAAGATATTCTCAGCACGTTTCTTATTATTAATCAAACATATGAAATGCTGTGGCATATGCTGTGTTCTCAGTTGTACTCGGAAGTCAGAATTTCTGAGCTCCAAGTCAGAAATTCATCGGAAACAACCCCCTGAATTCAAATTTCCAACTCAGAAAGTCGGACGATCCTCGCCAAACCTGACTTGACGACAACATCAGTATCCAAGATGGCAGCGCAGTGCATCAACAGTAAAGAGTAACAGTGAAAGCTCTCGTAATGTATTATTTATTAGCACTTCTGTTTAGTTTTTGTGAAATTAATAAGTGGTATATGTTGTACTGCCCAACGTCTAACTGTGAACATGGTGCTATGGTGTTTGTAAGAGTAAAATACTGTGTCATGCGTTGTTTACAACTGGTAAAGCCAACAAAAACTACTAACAACATCTGACAACTGCTAACAATTGTAAACAAAAGCTATCAACGGCTAACAGTAGGCGTCCATCTTGGTTTTTCAACTTGTTAACTGAAGCGCCATCAACTCGGGTGTAGCATCATTCCCAGCTCCGACTTCCGAGGTAACTGGAACGCAGCAATAAACTCATATGATGGCAGCATGTATCAGACTATGATACAGTAATCCTGATGTTCTTGGTATCTTTTGTTGTTGTTGTTCATTTGGAGATAGGCTGCTTGAACATCTTATTACCCCCCCAGCCTGGTCCTTCATGTGAACTATTGTATTTGCAAAGTGTACATGTGCAATAGTGAAATCAAAAAGCGTGTCATGATAATCACATGACCCTCCATTTTGTCACTTTTGAAGCAAAACAAAACTTGTGGAGTCTCATATTCCAAGTTGTTCTGAATCAAATTAGTGCAGCCCTTCACTGATTAACAGAGTAAAGTGACCGCTGTGCAGCAGACTCTGCATGTGTCACATGACCATTAAAAAGCACGGGACACCGCTGCGACCACAGATATGCAAATATGCATATTTGCAAATATGCAGGCTGTTAATAGTACAAGTGCCAAATATTTATTTACAGCAACATCAACTTGCAGAGATTTAAGGACTTAGCTTTGTGTGGTTCTCAAATAACACATGATGGTTAGCTTAAAAGTAACTATCAAGGGGCTGGACATGCCAATAAAAAGAACATTTGAGCATTGTAAAAAAGTGTATCTTCTCATGTCATAATGAAAGTCACAAAAAGCAGTCTTAATAAAGAGGAATCAGAATTTAATCTATACTGTTTCATAACCCTCCTAAACTCTTCTCCTCTTGTTGTAATGCGCTTTAGTTTTGCAGTGGGATCTTAATCTTGTTTGGCTGCTGGAGTTTTTCTCTGGTTTGAATCTTGGGTGTCTCTGGATAAGTGAAGCTGTGCTGAAGCCTGCACTACTCTTAAAGCCATTAGGCAGGCTTTTTCTCTCTCTCTCTGTCTCTCTTTCCCTGACTCACCCTGGCATGGTGCCCGAGACACAGCTGTGAAAATTACAGGTCTGTTTCATAGAAACATAGAAGACGAGGAGGCGGGGTCAGTGGGGGAAGAAGCAGAAAGAGAGCTGAGACCCGCAGCCCTGGCGTCAGCTGTCAGCCGGCCCACAGCTGCAGTAGATGTGGAGCTTTCAGAGCCGGAGTCTTGCTCTGTTCTCACACACACTAGGATTGTTTACATGGCGTGCGCGTGTGTGTATGTGTGTGTGTGTGTGTGCAGGGAGAACATTAAACCTTGTTTGTCAGAGGCCGGACAGAACAGAAGCCCTCACTGTGACTGACAAACGTCAGGCTCCTTCAGTAAAAGGCACATGGCACCAAGCGTCCTTCAGCTTGGCAGATGCTAACAAGCATGACTGAGGCGATGGCAGGTGGGCAGACGGGCACCCCCTCCCTTCCCCCTTTAGTCCTAGCTCCCTCCTTCTCTGCTGGGTAGAAAATCCAGCGACAGACCTTCTCTATCAGAGAGTCATTGTTCATGATGATGATGACTATCTCTCTGTGTCTCCATTCTCTGTGCTATCTCAATCCATCACTCTCTTGTCTTTTTACCTCCCCCTTTCTCCCCCTTCCAGTCGATGCCTTTCACACTTTTTCCTAATTTCTCTTCTCCCTCGCTCTCTCAGAAAGTCCGTGTCAAACGTTTGTATCCCTGAGGAGCTGTCAAGCAAAGAAAAGCAGGAGTGAGGATGTGAAAAATGGTCCCACTGATTTCTACTTAGTTTGACTTTTCTCTCTCTCAGTAAAAGCTGAAGTGTGAGATCCCCTCTACTTTTCCTCACTCTCCTCTTCGATCTCTTTAAATTCAGTCTTCATCGCTTTCTCTCTTCATCCGGCTGCCTTGTCTTAATTTCTCTCCTCCCTTCCCTGCTCTCTCTTTGCCAGTCAGGATGTCTGGCATCCTGCCCCGTCTCTTTGAAGAGGAACAGTAGCAGCAGATAATTACACTTCCTGTCCTGTATCTGCTCTTTGGTGCTGAACTGTCATCTCTACATCTGTAGGCTACACCCTGGAGGTGACAAATAACAGCTCACTGTTTTGTTGTGTGGCACCAAACTAAATCTTTCCCACCTGCTGCACTTTTTTTACGATTCAGTGACCATCCCTTAATGTTATTACTTCACCTACTTTTTCAGCACTGGCACCTGAAACCTTTCAAAATCAGAGTGTTTTTGCTCTCTAAGCCTTTGTCTTTGAAACACCAAGGCTTGAGTTAATATTTCATCACAAGACAGACTCATGTTACTCAGCGCTTAGCCTGACCCTCACGATTGCTACAGTGTCTCTCTGCTCATGCGCAGTCTGTTCCTCTGCTTTACTTACACACACACCGAAGTAGAACATCATTCACGTGTGCATATTTTTGAATAATTACACCGGAACAAGCAGCAAAGGTCAAGGCCTATCTTCTGCTCCACCTATTTTCCTTTTTCTAACATAATCAAAAGTTATCATGTTATATCAGCAGTTTGGGGCCTCTTCAGAAACAGGGTGGCACTTCAAGAGCTTTGATATTTTAGTGCGTGAATATTAAAGTGATGTATTATTTAAGAGGATGTTAAATTTTTAGTAAGTCATATGCACCTGGTTGCCTTTTAGATCTTGTTCTGCAGCAGTTTTCACTCACTCAATCTGACTTTCTTGATATCTGTCCTTAAAGGGATCCGGTGTAAAATTAATTTATCATTTCTTTATCATTTCCTTGAAGTAATAATCACCATATTAATCATTTTGAACTGCAGACGCAGTAGTTCTTCTGCCTCAGCATCTCGGTCTGATTGCATTTCCATGAAGAAATGATCATAAATGTTCCTCCTTGAGCTGCGTCACCCCGCTGTAGTCTGTAATGGACTGGCTGGAGGTCTCGCTTCAAACAAGCGGCTGCTGGAAGAGAGTAGGTGAGTTGTGTTTAGTGGCGTTTTGGTTGAGGTTTGTTTATGGCTCCTCAGACTGCTGTGTATTGCTATCCTGCAGTCATTACTAAAGTTGGTATAACTAGAGAACCAAGCGGTCGGCAACATTTATCTCTCGAGGGGGTGTCTAACTTGGTGTTACGGTGTGTTTGACCCTGAATTAATTTTACGCCTGAATATCCCTTTATGCCTGGCTTTTAAGAAATCAAGAACGTGGTGGCTGAAACCCAAACTCAAGACTTTGTTGAAGATATGACCAAAAACTGATGGATGTCAATGAGTGAACAACTGATTTTACACACCAAACTGAAACTGAACTTCTATTATTATAAAGCCAAAACAACAGTTTACAGATGGCCTTACCTTACATTCATAAGCAGGTCTGATTCTGCGGTGTCTCCATACCTGAATAGTTACCAATTCCACATGCATATTCTGGATTTAAATGAATATTTTGCATTTGTTCTTGCTCTATTTTGACTTCCTGCAACATATATTTGTTGCATTTCCTGCATGTTTCTATCATTATATTTTCTTTTTTTTTTTTACTTTTACCTGCTGCTTTGATTTTGCACTGTTCCTGTGTCCAAGACAGTTTCTTCAAAAGGCTCATCTCAGCAGTTGCTGGGTATTTGCACTTGCAGGCCACCCTACTGCTCCCCCTTTATGCCCCTGTAAAAACCTACCTGAGCTCTGACTCTGCCAAGATCACTTTTTTAGTCTCCAGTGCTCTGATGCTCTGTCAGCTCCAATGCAGACGCTCTGAAGCAGAATCTGAGCTCTGACTTTTCAGGCGGGGCCAGCAGAAGGGGAGATCAATAAAGTATTACAGTGTTATTTCACTCTCTCTGATGATATCTCCCCACCTCTGAATGAAAAATGTTTCATCTTCAGTAAATATCTCCTCAGGTGAGAGTTTCTGGGGTGAGATCTTGTCAACTAAGGTACTTTGTAGATCACTTGGGAGATATCTGAGGTGGAAATGGTCTGAAGCACACCGAGATGATACAAAAGAGCAGACAACCCTGAAGAGGTTTGGTTTGGTCCAGAGTTTAGAGTTATAAAGTATGTCTTCCTCTCTTTCAGACAGGTGTATAGTTTCCTGACATGACAGGCTATCTCAGTGCTCACCATGATCAAAGATGAGATAAAAGCACTTGAATGTTGTAAAACGTCTCAATAACCTGCACTTTTTGGGTCCTTGAACATAACATTGGAGGCATTTTATGCATGTGTTATCTTGTTTGCTCATTCCATAAGGTAAATTCATTTTACAGTAAGGAACAAGTGTTAGGTGTATGTTCCTGGTGTATGATATTTTCAATGTAATCTACGTCTGCAATTATTGCTATCTATTGCTTGGTCTCCTTGTGTAAAATGTGCACAAGGGTTAAATCTCACCAGAGTAATGCACAATATCCATCTCTTATTTGAGTACAACCTGGGAAATCTGAATATCTATCCTGAAAAAATAACAGATTAATTCATAAATAACTATTAAACCATAAATACAAAAGAGAAATGTAAGTACGACTTGGATATATAATTTAAAGTATAATTAAATTTCTATCTGCTGTTCTTCTTACTGGTCTTTGGTATTAGCCTATCACAGATACGACCTCTATTGGTTGAAAAACAAAGGTAGCACCCTCAGTTTAGCAAACCCAGCTATCAACAAATATATGTTTATATTTAGTTTTAAAAAATCCATTTATTTCCATAGGAAAGCTGAAACTGAGTGTGACTGAAATCAGACGAAATTGGACTCCCTGTAGCTGGACTAACAGCCCTGCATGATAAGGTTGGGGATCTCAGTTGGACTGAAACTGGCCGAGGGATCCTGCATATGTTCAAGTGTTCACACGACATGCTCTCAGCTGGAGGTTGAATAGCGTAAATGCGTTGCTAGAGAGCCAGATAGTAAATCAAACCTTGATAGACCAAAAAAAGACAAATAAAAAGGTGGAACTTATAATACAAAAATAATGTACATACTTGGAAAAGTGACATTGTTTCATCATTCAACATTCAACGCGTTTTGTTACATAATAGGTCAACCGTCAAGTACGTGCATTAGCAGATCTGCTGTCTCAGGAAATCCCTCTATGGCGCTCCCCCTTGAAGTACTTGTGGTAATGGTGCTGTGTGGAACCAGCTGTCTACTCAGAGGGGGTCCATGCCCCAAATGGGTGCAGCGACTCACTCCTTGTGATGAGCTGTGACACACGTTACATAAATCGACCTAATTGATTACGTTGACGTGTTTCCCTGTGTATTATAAAACCCTACCAGGGCAAAACAGATCAATAGCAAGGTGATTGATCATTGCTATATTTTTACGCTAATTTACCATAACCACTGGCTCTGGCAGGTGTCATATGAGGCAATAACAAAAAGCATTTACCCTATTTTTCACTGCACTGACTTATAGTGATTCATTTGTTTGATGGAGGCAAAGCAAGAGATTTTTCCCCAGCAGTCGTAACTCACACATGAACAGGAAAATGATCTACTAAGAGATAAAATCACCACAGGGATGTTTGAAGTCAAAACTAAGCTAAAGCTCCCCATAAGAGCTTTAAATATATTTTAATATGTAGAAATTGCTTTTCCTACCTGGCAAGGCTAAAAAACTTATTCTGATTGACAGTAAATAATTTTAATTAGTGGTCCTGTGTGTCTTATTTTAAGTGTGTCCTCAGTCATTTAGATTCTAAATAAGTGAGTGGGTGTAAGTCTAAGCCTCCAGTCGTCCTCTTGGATGTCATGGCTCTCACTGCCTTGTGTTTCAGATTGTGTATCAGCGCAGGTCAGATCTCAGCAGTCTATACTCCCTCAGCTCTCACTGGTGCTCACGCCTCATTAACTCAACACACTCAGCTTGTTTACAGATGTTAATTACACACTGCAACGCTGATATTGATGAGGACAATCAGCATTTAACCCGATTGAGCTCAAATTTGACCACAAACTAACCTGACGACACCGTGGCATCTGATCATGTTGGTTCTAAGTGACTAAATCTGCATTTTGGTGTATGTGATTAAGTTTAAGTTTTCCTCTGACGACTGAGTCTAGCAGCTTAGCAGTCACTTTTGACAGCCTGGGTTTTATAAACCATACTGTAATAGGCTGATGTTATCACTATTTCCTCAACAAGTAGAGTAATAAATGACGAGCAGTGGCTGATCACTCATCTTCATTATTAGATTCCACGTATCATTAAGAGAGGAGGATCCAGAAAATGAGACTAATTAAGAGGAATACATGCTTCTATTTTCTGCTGTCATTAATCTGATGGAGATAAATCACTGGATTATTGCGTCAGGGATTTATATCAAAGATGTATACTCATTAGAACTGACACTTGATCACTTGTTAATGTTGCAGCTGAGGGACACTGTGTGCTCAATGCACAGCGCACACACGATGATTGAATGTTGTATAATGAACAGTTTTATAGTGTTTATTCTAAGGCTTAAATTATGGTTTTAAATTATTCATTAATCCAGCTCCTACCCCAAGACAACAAGAAAACCTAAAAATACTTAGTTTGCTGTGATGAGAAGCCTTTTAATTCATTGACTTGATAAAGGTGAAACTACACCTTTTGTGCTTTGAAGAAACTCGTTGTTTATCATAATTGCTGACACAGTAGTCATCTTACATTAAAATAACTAAAGATGTTATATTTCTGCAAACCGCTGACTGAAGGACTTGAGCTGTCTTCATACCCAACGACTTTATCGTGATCTTCAAGGATGTAAATTTCGATATGGAATTGAAATAAAAATGTAATTTTAGATTTATTATTCAATTAAATTCCGCACTAATACACCACTGACAGTAAGACATAGCTGGTCATTACATGCCAACCTGAGAACATCCTGCAGACCTCTATTGGCTAATCTGGGGTCATTGCCCCTTATTTGGAAGATGCTGTAGATAACTTCTTTGATGTACTTTCTTCCTCAGGTCTGTGGTGACAGTACTCTCTGATAAGTCAATCAATCAATCAATCAAATCTTATTTATATAGTGCCAATTCACAACAGTCGTCATCCCAAGACGCTTTCCAAAGAAAAAGAGCAGGTCTAGACCACGCTCATTAGTGCTTTTATGATGTGTGCGTGTAGCTCATAGGTAGGTGCTAAACTCAAAGATTTTTGGCGATTCTTTAATTTGACACAAAATCTGCTTCACTTCTTAATTACTTTTGACTCATCATGTAGCCGTCTGGGACATTTTTTTTTAGGCTTCCTGTGTCTTTATTTAAGAGAATAGGACAGGGGACAGAGCAGCATATAGCGAGAGAGTGGGGTCTAAGGATAACCGCGGTTTATGCAACACGTGCTTAGACCGCGAGGCCAGTGGTGCCCCCTAGAATTGTTTAAGGGAAATGTTCCATTAAATTCCCAGCAGGAAATCACACTGACTTAAAAACAGTAAACAGGGAGGAACAAAATTACACATGGTAAAAAAAATGTGTCAACACACCGCCCCAGTTATTGTAAATAGTCAGAACTAATACAATATATTTCAGTCAATCATTAATGAATCTTTACTCATGTGTGGCCAAATGACAACAAAAGTTATCTCAGGACACTTCAGATAACATCCAATCATCTTATCTTCAGATCCAGTCTTATCCTATCTAAATCCACTGTTATGGTCTGCAAACACTCTGTGTGATTTTTAGCCTCTTTGTCTATACAATGATGGCAGAGTATGCCAAGTCAGCCGCTAATCTGCCTGTCAGGAACTAATCCTGACACACACACTAGTACAGCACGAGGAGCAATTTGGAGTTCGGTGTCCGGCTCAGGAATGCAGACTGTGGTTGGATGATGGGAATTGAACCAACAACCTCCAGATCAGTCCAATGTAAGCTCTTTATGAGCTTCAAATTTACCTTTTGTCTGTGATTTTGATATGGTGTTCTACAAACAAGTGTGTGTTTTGGTATCAATTTTCGGCTGAATCTGATTCATAGGTGAACTTGTATTTGCTTCAAAGTTTGTTGGCTTGTTTCTTGAACTTGAGCAGCCTCAGAAGAGGAAACCATAATTGAGCCCAATAAAAAGAGATAAATGGCCCTTTTTTATTGCTTTCATTACTCTGACGGGAAAAAATCAATAAAAATACCCAGTTGTTGATCTATATGTTGGCTGTAATGCTCATAAGTGAGTAGACAATTGATTTTAATGATATTTATGTTGCTGATAAGTTCATTACCGTTTACAGTTAGCCTATATTTCTATATGACCATATTTTATTGTCTTTACTTCAACTGTAGCCTGTTACTGTTTCAACCTTTGGAAGCAAATTTAACAGAAAGTTGCCCACTGAGCAGATGGCTATTAGACGTCCAGTTGTTTTGGTTTTTTTTACCTAATTTCAACCGTCTAGATTCTGTATATTTTTAGATGGAATTTAGATGTTGAACTTTAACCCATTATTTGATAACTGTTTATTTCAAAAAGCAACTGTGGGTTGATCTCCACGTACTAAACCAAAATAATTATGATAGCTGTTGAGCAATATACAGTGTAGTATAGATATAGCCCAGATTTAGACTTGGTCTAAACCTTTCATTTTTAGACATGTGGTAGCCTGATTTTAGACCAGTCGTCTAGGCTACATTTAGACGTCTATTAGACCTCTTTTAGACCAAAAAATGCTCAGTGGGTAGGTACTATTGAGTTTTAAAGGAACTATTTTTCTTCTAGTTTGAGTATCTGTTCATCTGTAGTCTTTTTTTTTTTTTTTTACCTGTCCCTACTTTTCCTTTCTAACCTCAGGGGCAGGTTTTCTTCTTTTTTCTCTCCGTGCAGCGATAACTTCTTGTTAACTTAGATTTTAAAGAAGTGATGGCAGTACAGAGGAAGTTTACTCATTTTTAGATGTTTTTTTTTTCTTGCTGTGGACACTGGCGGCTTTAAATAGAGCTGCACGTGCATTCCTATGTTAAAGTGAGACAGGCAGCGGGCATGTACTATTTCCACGGGATGAATTTAGAAATTTAAAGACAGAAATGAGTGAAATGATGAGAAAGTCCCTGGTGCAGATTGCGGACACAGCTCGGTCCCTGCAGGAGTATGAACCGTGATTTGGCGTTGTGTGGGGATGTCCCGGTGCAGTGTGAATGTGAATGTGAATGCAGGCAGCGCATGAATATTATCTCCAGCATGCCACTTCGGAAGTAGGTCACCGCTCACCGATTTGTTCACCATGTCTCCGGCTACTGTGGGCTGCTCGGTCCGTGGATCGACCACCAGGTCCACAGCCCGACCAAGGACCAACTAAGGAGCAGAAACCAAACGAAGCGGGACTATTTTCAATGGATTTGATGTCCATTTTCCGACAAGGTAACGCTGAATCGCGGCTGTAATTCCCGTCACAGTTGGGGATGATGATCGGGTCGGTGGGTTGCCTGCTTCGAGCAACTCGCTTGTAAGACGAATAATTGTGATCATATTGCCATTAACGAGCGGATTGATCGAGGATGATCGGAGGTTTTTGACTCGTTAACCCGCGGAGGAGCTTTTTTGACTTCTCATATCTCAGCTGCACAGCACTCCTGCTTCGGCATGCTGTCAGATTAACACCGTCCACATCCACTACCAACACCACCGCCACCACCATGGCCAACTACGAGATCCAGTAGGCGAGTCTCTTCATCTACATCCACATTTCTGCTTTTTTTGTGTAGTCTTTTCTGCGTTTAATTCTCCAAATGAAAGAGTGGATGCGGGTGTGTTTGCGCCTCAACCTGCATGGAAGTGAATGGAGGTGTTGTTGGTGGAGGATGGTTAGTCATTTGCTCCGGGGAAAAAGTGGAGTTATTGGTGATATTGAAGCCACTCACACACACACACACACACACACACACTCTCACACATACACACATGCACACACATAGATACACAGTAGCTCCGAGCTCGTGCCTCAGGGCTTTCTCTCTCATGATGACAGCTCTACACCATGTCCTTGCTCTGAACGTGTGTGTGTGTGTGTGTGTGTGTGTGTGTGTGTGTGTGTGTGTGTGTGTGACAGCGAGGAAGCTCCGCCACCTCCTCCTCCTCCACCTCCTCCTCTGTCTTCAGATCAAACTACAGTCACTTAATGTGCCATCAGAGAGAGGAGTGCATGACAAACAGTCACTCATTATTAAGTAGCTCTTATGTGTCCGTAATGCTCCACTTACTTTATACTTGATTCTTTAATTACCTAGCTTTTTAATAACCAGAGATTTGTCTCATCTGTACACCCAAACCCGGGGGTTAGGATCCAAAAGAGATTACAAACTGGTGAGATATGTTTAAGACCAAAAATTGAAATTGTTTTGTTCTTGAAACTATTTTATGTCCCCATCTGTCTTTCTGAATCGGAGGTGAGATCATTTTGTGTGCTTTTTGTGCATTTAAAATGTAATCTCAGGGTGACATCTCAAGGTGTAGGAGATAGGCGATATAACTGGTTTCTTGTGAAATACTGGGAATTGGAATTTGGACATAAACATTTCAGGCTTCAGGACACAGTCAACATGTTGGACAAGAAGCCGTTTCACTTCTAAACTTGAACAGATACCAAACTTAAATAGATGTTTCTCTTGTTTCTAAAGTTTGCCTTTGGCTTGCCCCCCATCACAGGGGCAGATCCAGGAGGTGGCCACAGCCCCCTTAAAGTACGATCGGCCACCCTTAAATGATTTGACTTTAAATGGTCGAACTGCTTTATTAGAGGCTTGTTTAATGTTCAAATCCATGAATTGGGCTGTGTTTCAACTGGAGATAGACTGATGAGCTGGTTGACTGGTTAATTGGGTTGATTAATGACCCTTTTAGTAATCAGCATCATATTATCTGATATCAACCCTAGGTTTTCTTAACTCAAACCCATTTAAAACATTTGACTGGCTAAAAAGCCACAGGTATTGGATTTTTACTTACATTTAATTACTTGGAATGACTGAATAGACATCCAAATTTCCTTTGTAGCGATATTTACTTCAAAAAATATTTTTTTGTCAAATAGCATTGCCACATGTTCAGCAACTTTGTTTCTCATTTGTTGGTATTATCAAACTATTGTATTTTGCCAAATGCAAAGAGAAGAGAAAACAACAATGTGATCCACTGTTTTACTGCTCTTTCAAGGAAAAAATTCAAGGAATAAAAAGTCTTTGCTACATTAATGTTAGCAGTAAAAGCAGATATGATTAGAGGGCATGAATGGCTAAGTGTGCCCTTGAACTTCATCTTTCTTATACCCAGAAACAAGTTACATGCTCAGATTATGGATGGATCCGGAACTCTGAAAAGACACATCCCAGCCTGGGACTTCATGTTCATTTATTTTAGAGATACAACCAGATCAATTATGATTTGAGTGATATTCAACACTTTTACAAGACCAGATGAAAAAGAAATCACAAAAAAACAAGTTGTTTTATATAGAAAAGTCTTTCTCTGATTCTGTCTTAAATGTTTAATCATTTAGTGATTTGTTACATTTAATTCTTAAATCCTCATTGCCTCTGAATAACAAAATGAAGCGTCAGAGATGTCACATGGACTCTTTATTTATCACACCTCGTGGTGTGTGTAAAGATAAACTGGAAATACATATTTAGCAACAGTTCAATACAGATATTCTGTAGCCAAGGCCAATCCGTATCATTTATCTGTACTTTATTTAAACATAAGGCAACATGTTTATAAGACAGTTTATCTAAAAAGGCCAGAAAGGTAAAAAAAAAAAAACATTTTGTACCTTTCTGGCCTTTTTTTAGGAGAACCGTCTTATGAATTTATCATAAACAGGCCAAATGAACCTCTTTAGTATAAGGCAACATGTGTCAGGGAGTCACTGAAAATACATGACATGGTTCAGCTTGTGTATGCAAATGTGTGTGTGCGTGTGTGTGTGTGTGTGCGTGAGTCTGTCAGTGCTGCTGCTTTATATCGTATATCACTTTGCCTCAAAACTGGCAGCATATTTTAGTTGATTTAGTGTAAAAACACGGATAAGTAAGTGAATGACTACGACCACATTGATGTTTTGAAGCCTGAGAGGCTGTATTGTAATTTGCTGTGGTCTTTGTGGTGAACATCTCAAAGGGTAAAATAATGATGTTCTTCAGTGAGCCTCTGTCTCTCCTTTGTGCATATTTGTCTTATTGAAATGAAGCAACATGATTTGATCTCTACAGACAGAAACTCAATGCGAGGCTCCTTCTGTCCTCTTGTTATCTGGAAATTAAATTTCTCTCTCATGGATTGCATTTCACGGTTCACAGAGTCATTGGGCAATAAGGGCAGGCTGAGCTATGAGATGGTTCGAAAACGTCCAGGCGGACATTCGTGTGGCCACTCTGGAGTCAAATTCACTTTGCTTTTGTGGAACGACGCAGCCCTTTGGGTACGCTCTGTCTCAATTTGAAATGACATAAAGTGCTGAAACAGAGTGCAGATCAGCAGAATCAGAGGTTGTATTGAAGATTTAGTGCTAAAGATCTTTGCCAGGTTTGAGTGTTGTCATCGACGGACGGCTCAAGAAACAGAATAACACTCCTCACTCATCTGCTGCATGTCATCAAACTCCAGACAAATTAGTGATTTGTTGGCAAGAAGTTTGAGTGCATCAATAATCTGTTGATTCAATGTTGTTATAATGCAGCACAGGAACCACTTTATTTGGAGGTACAAGCATTTTTAGTCATACCCTTTGATTCTTTTTGTTTTGAGGAATGTTTCTTCACTCAGAAATTGTTGAAAAGTCGAGTTTTTATGACAGCCAGCGTGTCTTTCCCTGCTCTGTTTCTACCGAGTGACAGTCATAGTGAACAAGTGTCTGTAAAAGCAACAACCACAGGGATTAGCTGTGTCTTATTCAGAAGAAAAGACAACATATTGTGCAGAAAGAGTCAAGTCAACACAACACAGGCAGTACAATGACCCTTAAACAAGGTGAAACTCTATCTTATTGAATCTAATAGGATTATCTGCTGGCAAGCAGCTGCTCAGATATAAGGATGGTAATTGATATGATTTTATAATACCGATGCCTTAAAAGGTCAGCTGATCACTGACACAGCTTCTAATTGGTTGACAGCCTTTAACGAAGATGGTAGCCTTCCATGAGCATGATCAGCTGACAACAGAAATCAGACTTTATTACTCAAATTTATTTCAAATTGTCACAGATTACCTGTTTTTGTGGAAGCAGACATTTTAGAGTAACTAAAGACACTGTGAGAAGTTCTTCAGTCACTCTGTTTAAGTGTCAATCTCGCACTGATGCCTCTACATGTCCCACTAAGTCGAATGACATTATCAGTGGTTTATTGGTTATTTCTTTGTATTGAATTTACAAGCCTGTGTCAAGATCTGACTTTCTGCCAAAAATAACAAAAAACAAACAAATAGAGTCAATATTTGGCTCCAGCTAGAAGGGTCTATGTTTAGAGCTCCACTGGTTAAGTTTGGCAGTGAGAAGTATCTTATAACAAGCAGGAGGTGCTTTTACTTCTCCTGCAAAATGGCATGGAATAGGGTTTAATGTTTATGTTGACTGTGCATGCGTCACTATTTGAAACTCTGTATATTTACAAGGGGTGAATGAAAAAATCATTAAACGTCAGAATCACGATTCTTCAATTCTGCAGTTCTGAATCATTTTAAAAAGTTGATGCTGTTCAGACATTTATCAGGGCACACATCATGGCAAAAGGACAATGATGTGTCAAATGAAACTGGTCTGACCTGCCGTTTCAAGCTACATGATAGTGATGAAAAAGAAGTTTTGAAAGTTTTACAAAAATCAGTTTTTATCCTGGAAAAAAAATCTGATTCTGATTTTAATCAGAGGTTTATTCACAAGAACGAACATGAAAACTGCTCACAGTGCCTTTAATGAACTTTTATGTGGACTTAATAAAAATGTAGTGCTGAAATACTTAATACACTGTCAAACAAACTATCAATCAGCAACTTTAACTACACACTTTTTAAAATAATAAAAATACATATCTTGCTCTGAATCCTCCAATGTTATAATGTTTTGTCCGTCTGATTTAAAATATGTCTGAAGAAGATAAGTGAATCTTTTGTTACAGTAGTCAATTAAGAGTCAAACTTGTTTGAGCTCAAGTTTCCTATATGATACTAGAGGTAGAGTTATATCTTTTGATTGGTGGACATCACAAAAATTGCAGACGTAAGAGGAAGATATTCCACCTCCAGCTTCCACAAATGAGCTATAAACAAGTGGCAGATTGTTGGAATATCTCTCCGCTGACTGAGTGTGTTTGGACTGTATTAATAGAAACTGAAATTTGGACCAAATCATTTAAGACCAATAGTGTGTGATTGTAAAAGCTCAATGAAATTCTCGCTCAAGAGCCACTTAATATCAAAAGGCTGTGTGTTGACTTAGATCTTTGAGGTCAAGTACCATAATTGTGTTTCAAGGCTGCAGCCAGAGTGGCGATATGTCTCTTTATGCCGCACACAGGAGTGTCATCGCGTAAAGGTCAGCGGCGGTTGAATCATCAGGAAACTGTAAAGGTTTCTCCTGAGTGAGGCGTTATATTTTGAGTTGAGAGAGCACAAAGAGTTTCTGAATGGCAGGGGAATCTCAAAGCTCATTTATGCGTTTGTGGCTGTGAAGTTGCCGGAGCTGCTCTGATGGTTCTGTAGCGGTCTGTTGACATGGAAACTAAAGAGGAGGCTATTGTGTGATGAGCGTTTTTGCCACCAGCTCTCGTGAAATGAGGGCAGTACATGAGTCATTTGATCAGAGTGTTTGTTTTTGTGTCCCAAAAACATCCTCAGAATAACTGTCTTCATAGTTTCGAGCAAGTCAAGAGTTTGGTGCCTCTTTTGACCTTGCAGAAATATGTAGTCTCACCATGGCTGTCTTTTTCGTGTTTGATCTAATTACCTGCCTTTTGGTAAGCTGTACTACCACTTCCACAGATCAGCAACAGGCTGCAGCTAGGGTTAAAATTAAATCAGTGTGGATTTGTGACTTAGAGATCGAATCACGTCTAAAAGCATCCGTCATATAGGACATCGCACACACCACTGAGATGCTCGTCTGTTCCTGCTCCGTGTTTCAGCAGTGAGTGGGTTGTAATGTTGGGCTCCCGGTGGATTGTGTGAGTCATTCATGGCACTTCAACATGGGTTCAAGGAGCTGAAAATGGTCGTTATTGATACAAAGGACAAGAAGGTGATGCTGCCACAGTGGGACTAATTAATATATAATGATTTCAGAGCACAAAAAGGCAAATTGGTAAGCGGTTGGAGCAGAAATGGCTTCAGGCTTGAAGGTAATGCGCTCTTTGTCTCAGTTTCTCCTCCATCCTGTGTGCTCACTGTGGTCAGGTTGCCTAATTGAACATGATCTCCAGGGAGCTGGAAACTGACAGCAAACCGAGTAAAACCAGTTGTTAAATAATGCATCAAAAGATCCTGTCTGTTACATTAAGTCATGCTTAGATTCCACTCCAGTTAGTCGGTGTGGCTTATCTTTTAAAGGAAATGTCTGATGTGTGTCTCCCCAGAGAGCCTATGGACCCAGCTGATGATCCATGATGATGCTCACTGAAGGATCTCTCTGAGCTCAAACCAACCATTGTCAGACCCTGTGGATGAAAAGGAGGAGGTGGACCTGCTCCCAGTTGCTGAGACCATGGTGAAAGCTCAGCAAAGCCAGCCTGTGAAATGCAGCAAGCCCCCGAAGGAGGCAGGAAGCAAGGAAAAGAGAAGTGGCCCGAAAGAGGGAAAAAAGAGAAAGAAGGAGCTGGGAGAGAAGAAGAAGAAGAAAGATAAGAAAGAGCGTCATCGGCATAGAAAGAAAGCCCTCACAGTGGCTAATGGAGATGCACTGGACTGTTGTGTCCTGCTCACCCGTCTGGAGGAGAAAGGAGTTGTGGCTAAACTGATGGATACACCAAAAGCTAGGAAACAGAAGAGTGAGAAAGTCCGAAAGAAGCAGCACTCCAGCTCTGTTCAAAGAAGGACCAAACCTGGACGTAAGAAAACCTCCACAGGCAATCAGCAAGTACTGGAACCAAAAACCAACCATCTTGACGCCTTATTCATGTTCCCCGAGTCTGTTTTTGAGCCCCGCAGGCGAAGAATGGCCTCTCTCAACGCTGAGGCCGTTAACAGCTTACTGCTGTACAAAGATGACTCTCTCACGTCGATTCTTGCGAAGAAACGGCAGCCTACAAATGAGGATCAAGCTCAAGAGAGTCGCCCCAAAGTTGAACAAAAAGGTGGCATAACCAAATCGGTTTCCTCGAGAGGAAAAGCAGACCCAAAAGAAAGACCTAAAAAACAGAGGCGGTCAACAGGGCAGGCTCAGGAAATCGACTGGCTGGCTTTGTTTGCGCCAACGCCTCGGCGTCAGGCAGGCCTCACTGCTGCGACGCTCCTCAAACTCACAAGCGCCGGGTATGGAACTAAACGACATAAGAAATCGGAGTCCAAGCCCGAGACTGAAAGTGAGACAGCTGCTGCAACTCACAATGAGATTAACACCAAACCAGTGTGTGGAGGATCAATGCTGACCAAAAAAGAAACACATCCCAAACAAGAGGACCAAGTAAAGCACAGAAAACAGGGTACAGAGGATCCAGTTCATTCCCAACTGGGCTCCTCACTCCAGGGCTGCTGTAATTTGTGTAAAAGCGAGGCTCTGGATCCAGAGTGGAAGGCCACCACAGGAGGGCAGGAGTGTGTCAAACACCCGCTCCATTGTGGCTCTTCCCTTGGGTTCTCCTTGAAAACAATCAAAGAGGAGCAGGTGGAGACTGAGGTGTCTTCCTGCTACTGCTGCACCCAGGAGAGGTGTGTGGAGTACTGCCATAGACTGGCCCTCTTCCTGGAGGACAAAACCTACAAAGAACCAGAGGACGGCTCCTTGTCCGAGGTGTACCACCACCACCATCACCACCATCATCATCATCACCACCATCTTCAGTCCCCCCACCCAGCAGCCATAACCATCAGCCCACACACATACACCTGTTTCCCAGGCTACTACGTCCACTTCAGCCACCCAGACGCCTCCCCCTCCCCGATGCCGGCCCTCTCTTTGTGCCCCAGGAGCGGCAAGAGGCCCAAGCTGCTCCCCAGCACGAGTCCACAGCCCTCAGGGATTACACACCCGGTGTACTGCTGCACCTCAGTGGAGACGTGCTACGCAGAGCCCTGCAGGATCAACGGCTACCCGGCCTACTCCAATCTAATTCCAGCCATTACCAGAGGAGGGCGCTCTTTCAGCCCTCCAGACTGCACCAAATGTACACAGCATCAAACGTCGAACCGCAGCATCAAAAGAGGTAAGCAGAGAGGATGATTACATCTCTTTTCATTTTTATGTAATCCAAGTGTGCATTTGTCTGTTGCTTCCAGCTAGAAGTTGCACCAGCTTTTGTCAGTTAAAAATATACCACTGCACAGCGTAAATTATGCTTGAGAAATGTGGGTGGAGGAGGTGTTAGGGGTTTACAGGAATCAAGGGGTGTAATCAGACTTTTTTGGCTGTGCTGCCATCAGTCCCCACACACAGCCGGAGACTGGTGTGATGACTTTTGCAGGGACGGCATGAAATGTGTGTGAAAAAATGAAAAAAGTATCACAACATAGCCGCACCGTTTCAATCCAGTTTATTTTTTCAAAGACTGAAAAGAGAAAAAATGGTGCACTTCAAAAAAAAAAAAAGCTGTAATTTCAAATTCAAAGAAAAGAAAATGAAATGCAAAGAAATGTTCCAGCAAAGACAAAGTCATTTTGTAGTGAATTAAAAGTGAGTACAGACCTCAGAGCTTAATGCCAAAGATCAGTGCCATGTAGGACTGATTAAAAGGTTACTCCAGCTATTTAATGTTGTGTAGTGACATTATCAGGCTTGTTTCCTCGGCTCCTGGCAGAGTCATAAAAGACATGGGAGTATTTTCACAGGCTGAGTAACACTCTCCAGCAAGGAAACACAAGTTCATGTGTAAAATCACTGGCCCCTTTCACAGCAACAGAAGGATTTACTGATAAGTTTAAGTATTAATTAGAAGTGAACAGACTGTAGTTATTAGCTTTTTTATGTGCAGTGTCCCCCCCCGTTAATCCGGCTGCCAAAGCAGAACAATGTGCTGAGAATAGCTATTATGTCAGCTTTTTTAAAGCTCCCAATTTAGACTGTCACTCGAGTGGGAAGTCACAAAAATATCAGATACAGGCCAAGACCTCTTTTGTCTAAGTTTGAATACAGGCAGTTGGACGGTGAATACGAGGCCTGTGCAGCTGAAACCTAATGAGCTGATTATTTGAGCTCATTTCTCAGCAGTTGTTTTCTGAGTTTAAGTCAAGAATGGGAGCTGGAACAGGAGAGCTCTTTGTGATGTCTCCAAACACCTGGGCTTGTCTTCTGAAAACACTTATTACTTAGTAGGGCGCACCAGTATAACGCTGATGCTCTCCTCTGGTTTTCTTTAGTCTCCAGCACACAAACAAGGTCAGGCTGTGATGATCGACTGCCTTTCCTCACCTCTTGAGTTGCTTTTTTACATACACCTTTAAGCCCTTTTTGATAGGACATTTTTCACCATGTTACAGCAGGTGAATCTACGGTGTTCAATCTGAAATAAGTGGCACCGTATTGCTCTAGTTTCCAAGTTGGATTTTTCCAAAAATGATGCAACATGATGTGGAGTATGTTTCACCTTACAGAGTGGGTGTGTCTGAGGTTTTTACTCAACCTGCAGGGACCTGTATGTAAACAGCACCCTATAAAAAAGGCAGTATACTTGAGTGATACAACACTCACACCTTTACAGTGCAATAAACATCCTGCAGCTTTTCCTTTAGCTGAGTGCAGCTGTGTTTTTGTGTTATGACAAATCAAATTCATGGTAGTAACACCTGCGGTTGAAACATCTCATGGTAGAAAGGCCAGAGCTCCACCCACACCAGTGTTGGCACTGCACTGCCTGATAAGACCTCTCCTCTGGACTAAGTGGGCATTAATAATGATTGTAAAGAACCGTGATCGACATTTTACCTCACGTTGCAGTTCTGCACCTGCTGAGGCAGAAATACCAAGCTTAACTCCTCCTGTGACCTCGTGTAATTCCACTAAAGAGCCATGTGAGCAGAGGTGTAATCAGTGCGAGTGAACACCTGTGCAAAAGTGCTGATACAGCACAACAGTGAAGTCATGGTGTAGTCATGTCTCTACACAGCAGTGATTATTCAAATCCCTCACTTAAAGTGTCTGTATGTTGAACCTAGTGAATGAAAAAGCACGTTCTTTAGTTTTTAAAATTAGAAATCAAAATGTCATCAAACAGGCTCAAAGTTAGAGTCTCTCAGTGTGTTTACATGCACAGCTTAATCGGACTAAGCTTAAATTATTATTATTTTTTTTTTTTGGCGAATTTGACTTCTCTCCTTGTTCGCGTACACACGCAGCTGAGAAAATCCAATTATTGACGTGAACGTGTCCTCCTCCCCAAAACTAGGGGGCTGTTTCCTGACCTTGTTAAAAGACGTCTCCGTTCCTTGTTTTGCGACCGTCCATATACTTTAAAATGTCCATTTCTCTCAGGAGGGAAAGCATAACGGCACTCTCCTCGTCGTTCCAAAAGTGGACATTCTTTCGCTCTTCAGCCATGTTGCTGTTGCTTCTGAGTTGAAAGTTCTTTAAATGATAGTGCCACTTCTTCTCTGGTGTTTATGTTTCAGGGTTACGGGGGCGTGGCGCACGCACACATGCACTGTCTGATCATACTCCGACTACGCTGGTTACATGGTAGAGAAAATCAAATTCCAGTTGCATTATCTGGGTGTCTTAAGTTCTCAAACTCCGATTATAGCTGGACTAAGGTGTTTACATGCACTGAAGTTGTCCGGTCTTAATCGGAGTAAGGCAATAATTTGGTTTCATGTAAACGTACTGACTGTCACGTTTCTTGTTTACATCCTTCAAATACAGCAGTTTCACTTGTCCACGAGCTCACTGGTGCACCCTCCGGAGTTCTCCCTCAGGAAGACATGATGTACACTGTGAAGTTTAATTACAGTTCGGCTCATGACACAGAGCGAACACTAGGCTGCACAGCAAGTATGCCTCTCGTCTTAGGGTCAACCCAAATCCAACACGACCAAGGGCGTTGCTATTAGCATGGAACAATCTCAGAACCTATCAATTACAGTCTGATGATGAATCAGCCTCTCGGAGACACAGCCTACTTTCCGGGGCGTCCTGCGCAGACGTCTCCTTAGAATAACAAACATCAACCAAGACTTAAAATTTGTTTCCTGACCAACAGACAACCCTGTGAGAGAGACAGGGAAAACTGATTTTTGCTGCACGTCTGAGTAACAATAAAGCTGATACAGTGTTTTACAGTTGGTGATAACCACAGCTTTAACCCTGTGCATACACAGTTTTCTGCTGACAGCCAAAGCTCCCTGAAACAGAGGTGGACAACACCTAAAAATAAAGATTATTTGGTGTTATTTTGCCTTGAATGGATAAGACAGCTTGAGAGAGACAGGGAATGTCAGGAGAGAGGGGGGAGAAAAGACCTAAAACCAAACCTACACCCAGTGCCAAGGAGGACTTTAGCCTCTGTTCATGGGGTGCCCACTCTACCAGCTGAGTCAAAGCAGCCCCCTGTAGCTTTCTTTTTTGACTTCAGTCCTTTGCTTGACTGTTAATGTCTGCTCTATCTGGCATAAAACTTCCTTAGATTCTTTCAGAGGTATTTTCCTCTCAGTCTCCATCATGCTTAAACTCGTTCACTCATTCACTTCACTGGTTAATATTTGCAAACTTCAGAGTACTGTGAAATACAAGCTTATGTGACAGCAGTCGCCTTAACTGACACTCTGTTTGGCTTGAATGTAGTCGGTAAATTTACAGACTGTTCAGCAGCATATTTATGTTAATACTGGTAAACAGAGAAGCCTGATGTCAACATTGATAATAATAATAATAATAATAATACATTTTATTTAAAAGCGCCTTTCTGAGCACCCAAGGACACTTTACAGGGCATAAAAACACAGCTAGAAACATAATTAAAATAAAAAAAAATAAAAAAAAAACAACATACAAGTGTGAAAGTAGACAGTTAAAGTGAGTATTGATGAGTTCTTGTTAGATCCTAGATGCTGCTGAAATCAATTGATCATTCCCCTTTGAGTTATCACAACAGTGTCGGGGAGCGCTCACAAACTGTGTTATGATTTCACTTTGTAGGGATTGTGTGTGTTTGTGTGGGAGCTGTGGGGGTGGGGCGGTTGTTAAAGGCTATAATTGACCTTAATTGAGGCTCTGTTTGTTTTTTTCTGCTGCCTCAGCAGAATTAATAACAGCCGGGTGTCGCGGGTGTTTCTGTCATGTAACCTTGTAAACTGAAGCCTCCATCACTCTACCTCATTCTCTTTTTTTTTTTTTTGTTCCTTCTTCAGACGATTACCCATCAGCCCTCAGTGACCACCACAGCCCCTCCTCTATCCCCATCTGTCCCAGCCCCCGAACCCTCACTGGCTGCCCTGTTCCCACCGTGCCTCCTGCCGGCCAATCAGTGCCCCACATCCAGACTCCTCTGTCCGACCCCAGCCAACCACAACCTCCCCTGCAGGTGGCGAAGGAGTGTCCCCAGAGTGCCAAGTCGCCCAGCGGGTCCAGGTCTGGCGCGCGTGGCACCGGCAGCATCAGCTCGGCTGTCTGCCCTCTCAACAGAGACAAGAAACAGAAGCTCGGCCCTGCTAGCGTCAGAGGGCGGGCGGGTGCCAAGCAGGCGAAGAACGGACGCCAAAAGAGCACTAACGGCTGGCAGCCAGTTGGCATGCCCTTTCAGAGGGAGGTTTTCTCTGTGGTACGTCGAAAAAGTCACGCTGGTGTTTTGTGATGAGGACATGATGGTGCTGCTTTTGATGTTTCAATGTGGTGTAAATCAACCAGACGGTCTTAAGAGAGTTTATTTTGTTTTTTAACATTTTATCATCCGTCTCTGTTTTTAGTGAAACTCCTGAACATTCATCTTTCCTCTCAGACAAAGAAAACCTTTAATTGACATTATTCACACAGCGTCATGCTGTTGTCTGTCAGGTTTCTTAGGTGATAGATTTGGGTTTTCTAAAAAACATTATTAATACTCTTTTTTTTTTACTGGAAAATTTGGTCTTTTACAATAAATCTACATTTTTAATGACACGTTAGCTTTACTTCACAACAAAAACATCAGCCACTTTATACTTTTCACACACAGCAGGAAGCTAGTGAGAGCTAAATGTCTCAGTCTGGTCATATCAAGATTAAAGAAGAGCTCATATCAGAAAAGTACACCTTAGCCAGAAAACACTGAATGTCAGTATTATCTACTTTCTGAGTGGAACTGCTCTCTGAATACTGTGACTACAGTGTTTTCTATCACCTGTGTTCTTAGGAAGAGGAGACCCCGGTGCTGAGGAGGTGTTACGAGGGAGTCCAGAGGGACGGGGAGCTGATCCGGGTCAGAGACACCGTTCTGCTCAAATCTGGACCGAGGAAGAAGTCTCTGCCTTATGTGGCCAAGATTTCAGCTCTGTGGGAGGAACCAGAGACAGGTAGGACACATGTGCATGCACCATTTCCTCACTTATCCAGAGATACTGAATGAAGATGGAAATAAGATTCTGTAGAAAAACTGACCGCACCTGTGTGTGTTTTTTACTTTTTCAGGAGAGCTGATGATGAGTTTGTTTTGGTACTACCGTCCAGAACACACACAAGGGGGACGCAACCCAAGTGTGCATTGTGAGGTGAGACGCAAGTCCCTGAGTCGTACCCTTTTATCTTAAACAGAGATTTAAAGGTACAGTGTGTAGAAGTGTGAACTTTTAGCGATAACTAGCTGACAGAATCTAGATTTAAATGTCCTCTTGTCAGTGTCATGACAGTGGCCTTCAAGGGCAAAAAACTCTTGTGATGAATGACAAGTAGGATTTTCCATTTTTCAAGTTTTAACTTTAAAATGGTCTTTTTTTCATGTGCAGGTGATATTTCACTGATCCCAACATGCTCATGAATATTATTTTCCTCTACTGCTTTTTCTACTCTGCAGCTTAACATGACACACCGCACCTTATATGAGCCCCATGCTATAAAAGTTGATTAGCTAAGTATTATTAACTACATGCCATAAATTTAATGTTTGAACCGAATACCATCTAACCTTTAACCTTTCTTCTCTGATTAAACAATGTTACCATGAGCAAAACTCACGTTTGAAACTAGACAATGAAGCAGAAGATATTTATTTTTCTTTTTGTGAAGGAGTACCATAAAAAAAATTGAAAAAAACTCCAAACCAAACACTGAATTGATCCCACTCACACGTTTTGTGTATCCCAAACCCAAAATAGCCCAATCCTCCATGTTTTTAACCTCTTTTGTTTTCCAACAATGAGCCACACAGCTGTACTGGGTGACACATCCACTCATTATCATAAACATTGCCTCTCCGGTTTATTTCGAGTCAGTCCCACACAAACAATCCTGCTGCTGCTGCTGCTGGAAGGACTCTCCACTCCATCAGCAGACATGTATTAATCCACAGCTGAAAATAGTCCCCAGCAAATATGCTCTTTACTCTCATTTTAGATAAACACTTAAATACCAAAGCTTCCTAAAATACTTCTCATCCCTTTTCTGAGTTAAACTACTTGCCATGGCTGTGATTTTTAAAGATATGCACCTCAAATAGGGAAAAATGGGTTTGTTATTGAATGCCACACTGTATTGTTGATTTTGGACTTTTAATGAGATTTGTTATCCACAAGAAAGAAAAGACAATTACGAAAATAGAGAACGTGTTTTGCTTAATTCCCCTTTTCCAACGGTCTACTTTGAGCCTGCCTCCATCTAGTTTTGCCTCTCATTTCCTGTTCCCATTCGTGAACTGACTTGGCATTGAAATGAGAATATTATAATTCATGAGAGGACTTCTGAGAGTTTAGCTAAAGCTCAAACTGAAAGTGTGTTTCAAAGAGCTGACATCGACTGAACAAACACACAGGAACACATGTTGAGGAGCGGCTTCTGTTTTTCTTGCTTCCTGTTGTCGGTGATATCCCAGAGGAACACGCCGCACTTTATTAAATCTCCAGAAACAATAAACCACATGAAGTCTGTCATTTGTCTGCTGCGCTAAAAAAAAAAAGACGACACATCAGAGCAGAGGAGTGAGAACAAGTAACAGAGCTTTGACTGAGAGTGAGAAATGAAACCTCGTAATGCTTTGAGTGACTCTTTTATCTGGAAGTGTAGGTTAGACAAAAGAGCCCAAGTCCTAAGAAGAAGTTTTTTTTTTTTGTCAGTCCTCATGTATGTGTGCAGAATGTGAAGATCAAATCTTAATATCAAAGCTTTGAGCTGTGTTTTCACCAGAAGTACCCGGGTCTCTAGTACCAGTCAAGGGACTTTGAGGCTCCTCCAGCTCTTTGTTGTCTGCATTTCCACGAGTTTCAAAAGGCTGAAAAAATGAGGCTAAGTGTTCTGCGCACAGGGGACGTGACTTGGCCCTTCTCTAATACACCCCTACCAGATAGACCTACATTTCTCAAGGATGAAGTACAGTACCAGGTAGAAGTGGGAAAACTGGGAGAAGTTCCCGCAGCTTTAGGTGATAATGGGTTTTTGAGTTTCGAGCCAGCTGAGGACTAAAACACAACTTTTCTCCCCCCAGAACGAGATCTTTGCGTCTCGTCACCAGGATGTCAACAGTGTGGCTTGTATTGAAGACAAATGCTATGTCCTAACATTGGCACAGTATTGCCGGTAAGAAAAATTATGTTTTTATTTTCACAGTTTCTTGTGGTTTAAGAAGTAAACGTACTTCGTAGATTAAATGTTCTTGCTTTAAACACTTACTGAATGAAATTGCATAAAGTTTGATCTGGAAAGCAGACATGTAGAGCTTGATACTATTTTCTGAATACTTTCTTCATCCAGTTGAGTTTCATTTCCTGTGTTTGTGCTTCCTCCAGATTTTGTGCCTTGGTTAAACGCCAAAGGGAGGGTGTACACGACAGTGCTGCCTCCCTCCTGGTGCCACCCGTTGTTGGCAACGCCATGCCCACCCACCACTGTGTGCCCGATGACGTCGACCCCGAGCTGGTGTTCTTCTGTCGACACGTCTATGACTTCCGCTACGGACGCCTCCTCAAAAACCTGCAGTAGCATCTGACAGAACATGACAGATGACACTCCGGGGTGTGAGGCAATGCTACCTTGGTTTCATCCTCCACAACATTAACTAGCTACAAACCGATCTGCTGCCTGTGTGAGAGGAACTGGAAGATTAGGATGAAGGATTAGGAGATGAACTCATTTATTATTTTAAAGTTCTTAGTCACACTTCCATGCTACACATCGATTCAGTGAGGGTAATGGTCTGACACGTTGTAGGAGGATTAAGATAGTGGTGTAAATGTTTTATTTTTTGTTGTTGTTTTTCATACATGGCTCTCTGGTGTCGTAGCAGCTGTGTAAAGAACCTTGAACCTACTCTGCTGTAGAAACCGCTACTGTAGCTCTTAGAAATGTGACATATGATAGATATGAACAGAATGTGTGTTAGACGTGAGTTGCGTCACTATCTGCCTGGTAGTTTTCAGAGGTGTCTCGATGAAATGATGTGGTTGAAGGAAAATTTGAGGTGGTGCCCTGTTTCTCCTTAAAAAGAACAAAAGTGTCCTAGTGGCTGAGGACACCACACAAGAGGAATTTATCAACACGTCCACCTGAGAAAAGTCTTCTACAAGCCACGGCAAAACAAAAGTTCAGAGTGAACTTCTGTGTTCAAGATGCTGTTAGGGAGAGTTGGAGGTTTAAGAATTTAAAGGAGAAGTTAAAGATCGAGACCGCTCTCATGTCTGTTTGGTGAATACATACAGTAGCTACATCACTCCCTCTTTAGTGTAGCTGAAAGTCGAGAATCTAGAGAAATCAGCTGACCTGCGTGTGGACTGTACCTGTCGAGCTCGAGTATGCAAGCAAGCTAATTAGCTCCTGTTGACAGATCATTTTAAATGTTTTTTTTTTTCAAGCTGATGTTTACAGTTTAAAAAAATGACAACTTTCAACTTCAGTGTTATAAAATGGACTTAAAACTGGTAGAAAAAACACACTGACATTATTTACAGTTTCTCCTGAAATCACAGTCCATGCTGGCACCATGCTGTTAGCGTATGCTACTCTTGCTAGAAAAATTGCCTAATCCCGGTTTGTTTTTTTATTTAATTTTAGTTTTTGTTTAATGCATCTGATCCCTGATACTTGGTACTGCATTTCAGACAGCACCGAAGGCTGATATTAGTAGTAGGACGAGTAGAGGCACATCTTTCCTCCAGTTACGTATTTCCTGAAAGACATGATAGTGGTATGGATGTTCACATCATAATCTTGGAGATCATGTAAATTAGCAGACACATAATCTCTAATTCAACGTTTTCCTTCAGCTGTAATTTTGATCCACTTTATCCTGAACACTGCCTAGATTTCCCTCCAAAGCTCTTTATCAGAAAGTCTAATCATGTTTTCTTTTTTACCACTGATTGACAACACGGCAAACTATGAAAAGTGGAAACTCTACGGCGCCACCTCTTGAGAGTTTCTGGTATGATTATGGTTGTCATGTCATAATAGTTGCTCTGAAATCCGCCTCTGTGCTGGCTTTCTCTCTGTACAGCAGGAGCGCGCTCTGTAAAGAAAGCACAGTTCAGTTGGCTTGATGTCGCAGTGTGAAGATGTCCGACGAGTCGAGCATTGAGGGGATTTTTTGTTATGCCAATTCTTAGGAGTATTTTAGTTTCTCAGAGCTGTTTCCCAGAGGTGTGATTTGACTCTGGGATCAGCTGACTGTATATTTGCATTTATATTTCTGGATGAGTGTCTGTCAAGGCAGATGGCATCAGTTAGTCACTTATATTCTTGTTTGTTCACCGATGAGATGGTGAGTAATGTATTGAGTGTAGCATTTAGAACTGTGATGATGATTCATTCCTATGTTTGAGAGAAAATATGTATTTATTTCTGTACTGAGATGAAAATATAATTTATTTTCAAAGATGATTTTAAAGAATAGAGTTTTAGATGAGTGGCTTTCATTCCTTAATAGAAAGGAGGTTCAAGTTGTCCTTCATTCTTAGCTGCACTGTCTCCGATGAAAGTGTGTGAGTCATTCGCAGTAGCTTTCCAGTGACTGAGCTCGCTCGCCAGAAACAAACCTACTAAATGTTGTGTTGGGATCTCAAAGTCCTCCAGGAAGATGCAAGGACACATTTGGAGTTTTTTGAAGGATTCCAAACACGGTTTGAGGGACGCCTGCCAACATGTGACCAGAGATGCTTAACCTGCAGGACCAAAATGCACCTTTACCGTTCCCAGCTTCCTGTCATTCTCCTTCCACGTTTCCTCAGATGATGACGCTTTGCCTCTACACCTTTAAACGCTGAATGCAACAATGATTTTAACTCACTTTGCCACTAGCCTGTGCCCTTTATCTTGCTGCCTTAGAGAACATTCCCAGCCTTTCATTTAGAAATGTGTACCGACTGGAGCCTGGGGATATGAAGCTCTTTAGTCTGCTGATCGTGATTCCTATTCACCTGAGATGCATCTCAGATCCATCGTGTTCAGAAAGAAAGAATTTTCATGTGACATTTTTGTTTTTACAAAAGTTCACTTTAGTTCGCTTAAAGTTTAAAATGATCCAAAGTGTTGAACACCAAACGACTAACACATTGGAAAGAAACAGGAAAGCCGAGTTTAGCAGAAACACTTTTCTGGAAGAGGAAACAGCGAGCAGAGCAGTGATGTAAAGACAACAAATCAATGATTAATATTTTGGAAAAAACAGAAGAGGTTTTTTCTCACTTTCCCGCTCTAATGCTAAGCCAAGCTAAGCTAAACTTGTTGACCACTGTTGCTGAAGAAAATTGTAAACTTTGGTCCAGAGCGATCAAACCATTGTGTTTATTTATGCTGCCGCTGCACTTAGCTTGAATCCTGTCAGTTTCAAAAATTTTGAGTCCTTCCAGTCCAGTTTCATCCAAACATCCACAGAAATGTTTAGAAGTTTGAACAAGCCAGTTTGACAGAATTTCATGATTATTTTACTGCTTTCCTCGCTCCATTTGCTTGACCCTCTCTACAAACCGAGCTGTAGTTTAGATTTCAACTTCAAATGAGCATTTATATCAAGCTACAGTTAATCGATCAATACTTGTTAAAATAATGTCATTAAAACATAAAGCCAGATTTACCAGAGATCCTATCATTGCAGTGTGTTTTCTCAGCCAGCCAAAGGTTCAAAGTCTGTCTCATTTCAAGCAGTGATCCAAATAACATCTTTGACTGATGTGCAGCACAATACAGCAAAGCAGAATATGGTAAACCTAATTTGGTGTGATTTGGTTCTGCAATTAGAGATCCCAGTGGGTGTTGTGGATCAACCACACACAGCTCATACCACGGCCTCAGGAATCATTCAGCAGACTAATTATGTTTAATCAAGATGTGTGATAATTATGTCTTAATTGGTCCTCTGTGCCTGTTCCCATCAACCCGTCTTTATTCCCAGCTTTTTTCCCATGAAGAGGACGAGCAGTCACTGTTGTTTTTACCAACCTTTTCAAATGCCTTTCATTTTTCTCAGATGACGCCAGTCTGATCTTGAATCACCACAAAGAAACGTTTGCACCAAAAAGAGACAAGGCGGGGAGAGGATTGAAGTTTCATCATCCCCAGGTGTACAAAATCCTAAACTCTGGTTCCTCTGATCTGATTTTCTGTTCTTATTCTTTGCATGGCGTTTTGGATATATCTTGGAAATATTAATCACAGCACAGATTATTTGTATGGTTTCAAATGGACCTCTGTAATATAAGAAAAATATTTAATTGTAATAAATAATATATGAGTTTGAACATATGTACGAGTGATTTTGTTAGTGGTGTTTACAACTGCAGTGATGGAAGTTGCCCACATGGGGGCTCACTCCACTAATATGTTGTAACTGATTGATTACAAGCGTCACAGTAATCACAGCACAGAAGTGATTGTAAGTGACTTGTGCCTCATATGACTGAATATTGTCACCCTGTTAAAATTATAGCCTTAGTCATTTTTTGACAAGAATGAGTTTTTGGCCAAAGTCATCTCAAGTGATGATGTTTGTCAAAAAATGACTTAGGCTATTATTTTAATAGGGTGACGATATCTGAGATAGGTTTAGGATAAGTGATGTGACTGAAACATGTTGATCAGTTCTCATAGCATTCAAGTTTGAGCCAGATATCTAAATGTTTGCATTGACCTGTAGTTTCTCTACGGGCAGTTTACAGTAATTTTTAATTAACATGGATTTCTGAGCCAAGCTAAAAAGTGAAATAATGTCAGCACGGAAGAAAATCAAATTCAACCCCATGAAATAATCTGTTTTTGTCAAACAGCAATAAAGCCATCAGGCTTTTGTGATCAAAAAGAAAAATACAAAATTCTCACCGATCTGCTGGTGACCATAAAAAAATCAATTTTTATATACAGTGCCCCGAGCCTTCCCTCTGGTTTCTCCTTTTTAAATTCATCCTTCTTTTTCCATCTGATATGATCATGATCCCATTTATCTGTTCCGGTGCATGTATAATGACAGGAAAAACGAATGAGAGCATCCTTGCAGCGGACATAAATCATCAAACTTCACCAATCAGGACTGTGATGAATATGTATGGAGCCTTTGACATCACTTCATCAGGTTATGAGGTTTTTGAAACAGGAGCAGGTCAATCATTTGCATCTATGAGAACAGGTATCCAAGCATTAAGAGTCGCAGCGCTCAGCTGCTTCAAATCAAGATGTTATTGTGCACCTGTGTGCATGCTCAGGACCTCAGAGTATTTTTATTAGATTTTTCTGCTTTTTGTTTTGACTACTGATGGTGACAAGGTAACCCTGGCTCCCTGGTCCCCATATGTATGGGTGCAGTTATATAGAGGCTAATTTCGTGTGGTATCTTGTAAGTTTGACAGTATTTCATATCAAACTGATAAAGACAGTCTGACTGTTGGCGGGGGTACATCGTCTGATAAAGGATGGGAAACATGCAACATACCTTAAGTGATAACAGACAAAATCTTTCACTATAGGCTCTTGTAGGAAGTATGTTTAGACCCATTATATGAATGAGAAAAAACTGCTTTGGTTCCATAAACCCTTTTTTTCTCCACGTGTCCTCTCTGTCTGAAGTGAATGACCAGAGCTGCGATTTACGTCTCTGCACGAGTTGTGCTGAGACACGTATTCTAGAAAATGTCTTGAGGTGTTCAAATTACACACCTGCAAGGATTTGCACGGAGTGATTCAGTCCAATCTTAAACTCCTCATGCAGCCTTTCAAAATTTTCCCTTCCTGTGTGCGACTGTATGTTTGCAATGTACTGAATCAGACACACAATGGCCTCACCTTAGACGGCTTCAGATGATTGTGGCAATTTGGTGCTGCTTATTTACCCAACAAAACCTCGTTATTGTTGAAAGGAATACACAGGCCACAAGTTTAATTTTTTTCTGACTTATGTAACCGCCAGAACTCTTTTCTCATCTCATTTTTTTCTTTTTTTTTTAGATTAAATTTTCTTGCTACTCTGGATTTTTCTCTGCTTCGTTCCTCTAAAAAACAAAAATATGTTTTTTTTTTTTCTTCTCCTAAGCCTTTTTGGGTCTTAAAGGAGGAAACAAATGCAACACAGCATCAAACGACTGTTTCGTCTGCAGTGGTAATCCTGAGTTTCTTGTTTGCTTCTAGCTATTATTTTTTGTTTCATTGGACTCAAAGTGTTGACATCAGAGCGACAGAGTATTCTTATAGAAAATGCTTCAAGTTGTTTTTCTTCCTAAGTGTTTTTGCTGCGGTTAAGCTATTCTTCTGCACATTGTAAATGCATTAACATCAAGCCCCCATGGATTAAAAGAGGACCATAGCTCACGATGTTGTTCACTGGTACTTAATTTCTCAACAGCTGTAACATTTGCATGTGAAGACCGCTCTAATTTGCATTTTCATAAAGTCTTTTCATTTAATAATCAGACAAGAGGATGCTTATGTAGATATGGGATTTGCATACAATACATGACATGAGGACCATTTCATGCCCCCATTCTCATAAGTGCCAATAACTGTGTCTCCAGGATATTAAATAAGCTCATTTAGTCTCACCTTATCACCCTTTGTTGTTTTCAGACAGCAGCTCCTTCATAACTCTTCTCCCTGGCTTTAAGAAGAAGCCCCTTCAACAACTAAAACCTGTTGCTTTACACTGATAACTAACCTAAAAGAGAGCGCTGTGAGATAAAACCTGAGTCAATCAGTGATCCAACAAGAAAAATTTAAATGACACACTTTAAACGTCCTTTCCTTTAAAAAAAAAAAAAAAAAACAGACGAAAAAATGTTAATTTGATTTGTCGTCCTCCACAAAAGCACTCTAAGCTGACTGAGCTACATTTATCAGTAGATGAATGACTAAAAGTTATGAACTAATAGTCATGCCTTATTAATGGCTTTGCCTTACAGACACACTCCTAGACAGCTTTATTGATTTTTTTTTAGTTTTATTTTTACAGTGACAGTGAAAAATGTTTGAAAAGATCTCAGTAATGACCTAAAGCTGCTATTGGATTAGAAGGAGGCCTCACAACTCTTTAATGGCTGGTGTCAGGACAAATGAGACAAAGTTATAGGCTGGGGCGTCAATACAAGGTTCACCCTGTACGATAACCAAACCATGTCTCTATTATGCAAACAACACTTGTATTAAATAGCTTTATTTATTTCATCATTCGCACAGTTCTCAGAGACCTCAATTTTCCTGCTTTTTTTTTACTTCCTTCTGTCTTTAAAACAACTTGCTCCTCTTAATCTACTCCAAGGGCTGAACCCTCCTTATGCGTGGAGCAAACAGCCTAAAGGAAAGAAAGAAAACTCAAACTAAGTGCATGCAGTAGACCCCATAAACATCCTTTTAAAATTCAACTGATACAGTCAGAACAGGTCATTATTTGCATTTATTTGTCATTAAGAAACAGGGAATGATCCTACAAATACATAAACTGATATTTTTCCATTCATCAAATATCCCGTCAGATTTATTCACAATTTTATATTCAAAACATGACACTGAAGCAAAAATGACTCTTTAGCTTTCACGATCAACTGCTGACATTTAAACACACTGCAAATTTTGCATATTGCTTTAAACTCATTAAATGTCAAAGCAGGAAGAGTGAAAAGCAATTAGTGACTGACGAAGGAAAAATACATTATCCAATCATAATCCCACCGAGTATTCATGTTTTTATTCATCTTACGTCACTGAATGGCTGACCTATTTATTGGGTAACATTCAGCTCAATTAATCCAATATTATCACACTACAACACAGACATGTAATTAGCCCAATTCTACAGAGAAAAGGTGCAAGTAAATAAGTAATTCCTAGCAAATAAGAGTATTATGCAAGAGTGTAAAGAGACTCTGATATGAATGTACAGGAAATTGGATGATAGGCTTTAAATTTCCACATATTTATACCAAAAAACATCCCATTGAATCCAGATATCAGGTACATTTGTAGGTCAAACAGGTTTCTGTACCCAAACAGTTAAATATTTATACTACATTTATGAAAAAGTACATTACAGACACTATTCAGGTCTTCTTTTAATTCTTATTTTTGTTTGTGACTATGACCTGCTGTAAAAAGCCGTACACCCCGACTCTTTGCACTTTAATGTTTGTGAATTCTTGCTTCAAATTTCTCTTTCCCTCAGATCTGAATGCAACCAAGCAATTACACCCAAAACCACTTTCTAAGCATAATTGTCTTGAGGACAGAAGTTATTCACAACAGTACCTGGCAAATCTGCCACAATGGTGGAGGTGTGAAGGCGTTGCACTCTGTGTGACATTGTCAAAATGCTTGACCCTTGACCTCTGTCCTTTCCTCTGCTTCTCCTCCTGGACAGGAAGTAGTCACACAGGCAGGACAAGCACTTGTCATGCAGTGAGGCATAAATGAAAGGGTTGTAACAGGCGGAGCTCATGGCGAACAGGTGACTTGACACCTGGATGATGTTCACGTAGTTCTTCCCTAAGATGGAGAAGTCTGTGTCCAGGTCACGGATCAAATTCACCACCTGTAGGGTTGAATAAACCACATCAGACAGAGCATCCATCAAAGAAAGATAATTAATTAAAGAACTGAGTCCTTAAGGAACACTGAATCATCTCATATCATCAGACAAATAGATGCACCGTTTAGCAGTTAGCAGACTGATGGATTAGAAATGGAACAACATCTATTTAGACAACTGGAGGTCACTGTTATGGCCTATTAACAGACTGATGTATGACGCATTCGAAGCTAAAAGATATCTCAAAATATGACAAAGAGAATTAGTGATCATGGTCAAGGTATCTGTTTCCATTTGTTCTTTATAATGGATATTAATCTACTCTGAAGAGTTCATCAGGTCAGATGTTCGAGCATCTAACAGAAGGATGTGCGACAGTGTTTTCTTTTCATAAGTACCTGTAAGGGGAGCCAGGAGAAAGCGAAACAGAGCACAGACACCAGCAGCAAGAAGAAGGTCTTCCTCCTCCGCCTGCTCCACACAGCCCTCGCTGATCTCATCTCTGGACATGCTGTCAGGCCAGATGTGGTCCTCTGTTTCAGGTGATATGATATTGCACAATAGGAGATGGAGACGGCAGCCAAAGGGACAAAATAGGAGAAGAAGAGAATGAAACAGGAGTAGATGAGGCGTCCTCGCTCCTCGCCGTCCCAGAATTCCTCACACACAGCCATCTGCAGCCCTGCAGCCCGCAGGTCCAGGTACACAGTGTGTAGGGCTGTGGGTGTGGACAAAGCCAGAGAGGAGAGCCAGATCATGAGTACCAGACCCCAGCAGAAGTGACATCCTGCCCTTTTGCGGATTGGATACGCCACAACCACATATCGATCAACTGCAATGGCCATGAGTGACAGGACGGCTGCATACACCGCCGCGGACTGCATGACGGTGACAAAGTGACACATGTGACCTCCAAACACCCAGCCATGCTGGTCAAAGGCATAGGATGCAGTCAGAGGGACGCAGAAGATGCACATGACCAGGTCGACCAGCGCTAGATTGCTGATGAGGAAGTTGGTGGTGCTGTGTCTTTTCTTGTTGTGCCAGATGAGGAAGAGCAGGAAGAGGTTTCCAGAGCAGGCGACCAAGACCACCGCTGAATACAGGGGGAGGAAGATGGGCTTCAGGTCGTACAGGAGGTCCAGGCCAGAGAAGGATGGTGCTGAGAATGGGGAGGTGGGGAAGAGGGGGTGTGAGGAGTTGCAGCAGGGGGAGGAGAAGGAGGGTGAAGAGTCAGGCATGGATGGAGGCAAAGAAGAGTTGACCCAGGATTGATTTGACGTCTTCTGCCAGTTGTCCATTTCTGAGGAGGCCAGAATGACAAACAATTGTTAATGAGATTATTGAAAACATGTCACATTTGATCAAAGTTGCCTTATTAGACATCACAGCTGCGTCCTGATACTTGATCATTTATGGAACAGCAGCTTAAATGAATGAATCACAATCAGAGGTGAGTCACAGCTGGCCAGACTTATCAAAGACCTCCTCCAAAACTGTCAGTCAGTCTTAAAAGGCTCACAGCTTGTGGCTTCATGCACTTTGATCATCTCCTCTTCACACGACCCTCCTCATCCATATCCAGATTACATCAAACATCATGACTGAACATGAAGAAGACAACAGTGAGAATATGCCACGATAGCCAGGCTCTGCTCTCACTCATGCTGAAGTTTCTTTCTGGATCTTTTCAGACTTTACTATATTTTGGGTTTTTATCACAAATCATTCATCTAGCATCTTTTTTGGATGGAATTACATTATTAGAGTCAGACTGTCAGGGGACTGTCATTCTAAGCATCTGCTGAAACGTGCTTAGATATTCTACACTGTCATTTTTCATCCAGGTTAATACTCAACTATACATCACTCTGGCTCCTTATAATCAGGTACAATAAGAAAGAGAGAAAAATGGGTGTGATTGCTGATTTATTCCAGAGCAGCTTGGGGAACCTTTTTGTCTCTTGTACCCTTAAGTTGAAGATTTGGCTCATCAACATAAACCACTGTCCGCATAATTATATATAAATTACAAGATAGGACACAAATCACAGCTGTCTTTAAAATGATAATGATTTGGGCTAAGTGGGCTCAGTCTGTCCTTCCTTTATAAGCCAGTTTAGCTGTGGAAAAAAGCAATGAATCACACTGTTTCTGCATACATGACGAATGTTTAACAAAAACTGCTTGAATTCAATACCTCTGGAAGAAATGGGAAAAGCTTGCTCAATATATATTGAAATAGCCTTTTAGATTTTGGACCTCCTGACCATACTAGAATTAGCTGAGAGACACCTTCTCTTAATTTTTTAAGGAGAGACCAGCACTTATCTTTTAACGCATTGTCAGCTTTTTGCATCATTGAATTAAACAGACCGGTATTGCACTGATCTGCATATAATTCTCATTTAGCTCACTGCTCATGATTCTCATTAAGATAAATTTCCAGAGCCCTTTGTAACACAATTCAAGTCAATCTAGAAATCGAGAAATTGTCGCGTGATAATCTGGCAGCTCTCAGGGTGCATGGATCTTTGAAAAAGTACATATTAAAAAAGACAAATACCTTTTTTGAACAGTCAGTCAAACATTTTCCTCAAACTCTGGTACAGTCCAGCACCTGTTTGTGTATCCTCAGACAGTAGAGAGTCACAGAGTGTGCAGCCTCACCTCGACACTGCAGCCCACTGTGCGTTTAGAACAGAGGTGCGCTCCTTCCTTCCTTCCTTCCTTTCTCTCTCTCTCTCTCAGTCCCTCTTAGACATCAACACACACAAACAGTGCATGTTCGTGCGAGTGACTCACTTAAAGAAAAAATAGAAAAAAATCACCCCTCTCATTCTCACCTCACTTAACAGTCATTATAATCTGCTAATATAGTCCTTGGTCTATGGTTCCCTCTGTTCATGAATAATGACCTTTATAAATGTTATAGTGTTTTTTATTTGCCACAGAACCACTATAATTTTCCTGTCTGGACTTTTTATTGTGCTTGTTGTTTTATGTGATCTGTACATAGTGTCACTAGGCCACTTTGTAATATTTATCTGATGCATGTGCTCATATCATCCAAAATGAATCCTGTAACATCATCAGAGTTAGAAAAGTCCACTCACAAACAAACAAAAAATAAAAACAGCAAATTTTATTCAATAGTTCGTGACCAGTTGTTCCATGAATCAATTGCAACAATTCTTTCCAAATTTCCAGCTGTGCTGCTCTGAACGATTAGGTCACTCTTGAGAAAAACACATTTAAAGGCAAACACAAAGAAACACGATCAAAATTAAACAATTAGGGGAGAAACCATGATCTTTCCCCCCGAACACTCATATTAAATATTCATAAATTAAGCTCATTTAAAATTTGTGAGCGTATTGATGTCCGAGGTACCAAACAGCCAGAGTCTAGTGCGTTTCATTTGGTGAGACTGTGGAAAAGGGTATTCTAGGACAAAACTCATTAGCGTCAGACTACTTGAAGAGACAGGAGGCTGATAGTGAAGTAATGAAAAACCAGGATCTAGACGGGCTGGAGTGGACAGTATGCAAGATTGCCGGACAATCCTGATTGATTTATCATCAATTCTACAGGCGACTAATTTGAATTGATTAATAACAATTAATGAGTGAAATTCAAAGTTATCTGGGCCATAGAGCTTCAGAATAAGGTACTGAGGTATTACCAGAGTATCAATGTTAAGAGTGTGGTCACTGACATGACCTCGTCGTAGTACTAACAGTTGCAACATCATGTCTGAAATGTTAGAGAAGGAGGATGAAATTATCTGAGGTAATAACTCTGATGTGCATGGTAAATTTAAGTCAGCTTTGTTTAGCTGGCTTTTATTCACTTTGATGTTGGAAATGTCGTCATTATAAAATTAAATCTTCAAAAGAACCCCCCCTCCCCATATCCAATGTATGATCTGCCCAATGTGTGACCACTTATTGACTGTATTCACGCAGCTGCAATTTTCCCTCAAGGTAGGTATCAAGGTAGCACTTTTTTCCTAATATGATGCCTACGTAATTCTAGTTTCTAAACTAATGCCACATGTCAAAACAACTCACTGTCAGTGTCTATGTCATGAATTTTCCTTGGACCAGTCTGGACTTGTAGGTACAGGACTGTCACATAATCATGATGTGAATTCTCTCAAAATGGGCACATGGGGCTTCATGTGCTTTTTCTCTCTCTAACGATTTTCTTGAAAATAACAGATGTGATTGTTGCCACAACATGCTCAAAGTGTGTGTGTGTGTGTGTGTGTGTGTGTTTGTTACCACCTCTTAGCCTCAGGCCACACTATCTCTGGATCTTCGCTAATTGAATTCAATGTGAAGGAAACGGCAACCTCACGTGTCCAACCACTTCAGACAAACAAGTGGATCAAAGCGTGCCCGGCTGAAGGTACGTCTCAGGACTCTTTGGCAGTGAGTACAGAGAGAAAACCACCCTGCTTGTTTTGTTTGTTTGTTCCACTGACCCCTCAGGTTATCAGTTAATACATGACAGCAGGTTTGTAGATGCTGGTATTTGCTACAATACCAATCTACAATGAAAGTAGGAGGCTCTCTGGATAAAAACATGGATAAAGTCAGTAAGTTATTTAAGGTTGATACAACAAGATATCATTATTTTAAGGTTATTAATGATTCTTTTTGAGCTCCTTTTACTCCTAATATGAGATTAAGGGTCAAATGGTTTCTGATGCTCTTCATCCTGGGGGAGACCGCAGCTCAATTTCTTTCATAAAACTTCTCCAGAAACGTCACTTACACTTTAATCAGGGACAGATGTCAATACAGTTTTAATTTCCTGCTATTTCACGCTGTTCTCTGTCATCCCATTCTAGCCTACAAAGCTTCCAGGGACTCTGAGACTTGGTCAGATTAACTTGATTTTTCAAAATAGTATCTGTGAGAAGTGTTTTTTGGGTTAAATGCAGCATTACAGCAGGATTTTGTTATCAAATTTGCATTGTTAACAGGCATTATGTGAAAACTGAGATCATTTCTTTCTCTGAAAATGGACTCTTTAGTAGAGCAGCGCACTTTACAAACATGAAAAATGAAGACATGATGATAATCTCATCACCTGGATTAGACAGCAGGGACACAGCGTAAATATGATTCTGGATGTTTTCCCCTCAGTTGTCAAATTTCTTACCAAAAATTGTGACAATAACACATTAATCACGCGATTAGTAAAAACAAATCTATTTCTATGCTTCCAACCAGATGATTCTGTAGAGAGAAACGTCGGCCACAGCGGGGAAACGTCTTGCACTCACAGCAACTTCCTGCATCAAAAGGATGCTACATCTAAACGGCATTGTAAATGTCTCTTTGTATGACAGTAGACTCAATTGAGACAAATGAATCAGATAAATTCTACTTATTTTTATTGAAACATGGGTGAAACTTCATATGTAAAATCAATATGGCAAAAATAAAGATATGTTACATTATTTCCAGGATTATAGGCTAGATATCACAATTTTTAAAAACAGAAAATAGCGTCTCTTCGAGATGGTACATTGATGAAATCATCGGAGTTTATTAAAAACAGTGTAGTGCATGTGGTCCTTCATTAGTCTCTGTATAAGTGCTGTCAATAAAAAGTCAGTCAAGTCACAGACACTGTTGGGGAAGTCACAACAGGCTAGATGATACTTCTGCTTCTAGGACACAAACGGTCTAATTAACGTCTCTATTGTTCAATATTTTCATGGTGTGATGTTGAAGGGTTGTAAAACAAGGACAAAACACACAGGACTTAACACTGTTGCCAGGGATACGGAGGATGATGGCAGGCTGTAATTGGTTGCACTGACCAACTGCTGATCATAAAAGCTTGGGCCAAAACACCACTATGACATAATGACACTCAAAAGAATATAAGGAGTAACAAACCAACTCGACCAAATGAACACAGAATGAGTTCATCTCTCTGTGTTTCTATTCTGAACACATTCATTTCTCTGGGCTGTGAGCATCCTCCTCCTCTGGGTTTTGTCTTTCAGCCTCTTCCACCGCATCCATATCATACTGTGTTTGATTTGGGTCAGTTGCTTCCTTATTCTGAGACGGCCGCAGGAGATATTCTAGCTCTTCAGCACTGATAGCCACCTTCTCAGGGATCAACCATCTCTTAAAATGTTCAAGTGCACTGTTATAGGAGAAACACAAATAATCAAATCATTTCAAGGCAATAATCTAAAGTACAAAACCCAATTCCATTGAAGTTGGGAAATTGTGATAAACGTAAATAAAAACAGAATACAATGATTAGCAGCTCCTTTTCAACCTATATTCAAATGAATACACTACAAAGACAAGATATTTAAGGTGCAAACTCATAAACTTTTTTTTTTTTTTGCAAATAATAATTAACTCAGAATTTCATGGCTGCAACACGTGCCAAAGTAGTTGGGACAGGGGCATGTTTACCACTGTGTTACATCACCTTTCCTTTTAACAACACTCAATTAATGTTTGGGAATTGAGGAGACTAATTGTTGAAGCTTTGAAGGTGGAATTCTTTCCCATTCTTGCTTGATGTACAGCTTCAGTTGTTCAACAGTCATATTTAACACTTCATAATGCGCCACACATTTGGGAGACAGGTCTGGACTGCAGGCAGGCCAGTCGAGTACCCGCACTCTTTTACTATGAAGCCACGCTGTTGTAACACGTGCAGAATGTGGCTTGGCATTGTCTTGCTGAAATAAGCAGGGGCGTCCATGAAAAAGACGTTGCTTGGACGGCAGCATATGTTGCTCCAAAACTTGTAAGTACCTTTCAGCTTTAATGTTGCCTTCACAGATGTGTAAGTTACCCATGCCTTGGACACTAATGCACCCCCATACCATCACAGATGCTGGCTTTTGAACTTTGCGTCGATAACGGTCTGGATGTTTTTTTTCCTCTTTGGCCCAGAGGACACGACGTCAACTATTTCCAAGAACAATTTGAAATGTGGACTCGTCAGACCACAGAACACTTTTCCACTTTGCATCAGTCCATCTTAGATGAGCTCGGGCCCAGAGAAGCTGGCGGCATTTCTGGATGTTGTTGATAAATGGCTTTCGCTTTGCATAGTATAGTTTTAATTGCACTTAAAGATGTAGCGACGAACTGTATTTACTGACAGTGGTTTTCTGAAGTGTTCCTGAGCCCATGTGGTGATATCCTTTACACATTGATGTCCGTTTTTGATACAGAGGGACCTGAGGGATCAAAGGTCATGGGCATTCAATGTTGGTTTCTGGCCGTGCCGCTTACATGCAGTGATTTCTCCAGATTCTCTGAACCTTTTGATGATATTATGGACTGCAGAGGTTGAAATCCCTAAATTCCTTGCAATTGTACTTTGAGAAACGTTTTTCTTAAACTGTTCGACTATTTGCTCACGCAGTTGTTCACAAAGTGGTGAACCTCGCCCCATCCTTGCTTGTGGATGACTGAGAATTTTTGGGGAAGCTGCTTTTATACCCAATCATGGCACCCGCCTGTTCCCAATTAGCCTGCTCACCTGTGGGATGTTCCAAATAGGTGTTTGATGAGCATTCCTCAAATTTCTCAGTATTTTTTGCCACCTTTCCCAACTTCTTTGTCAAATGCTACCGCCATCAAATTCTAAAGTTAATTACTATTTGCAAAAAAAAAAGTTTATGAGTTTGAACATTAGATATCTTGTCTTTGTAGTATTTTCAATTGAATATACAGTAGGTTGAAAAATCATTGTATTCTGTTTTTATTTATGTTAATCACAATTTCCCAACTTCAATGGAATTGGGTTTTGTAATTTTAAGGATTTAAGTAGTCATTTTACACTGAAAATCAGAATTTAAAACAAAACTCCCACCTCTCATCCATGTCAGTGCCTTGGAAAAGCTCTGAGGTTTGAGCATCGTGCAGAAATCTGTCCCAGCATTCCTTTTTAGCTTGAGACAAGGAGCGCAACATGTCCCTGGAGGTCACATCACTGGACTGACCTTTTAGTTTCTTGAGGCGATTCTCTGTGGCAAAACGTAAACAAACAAAAAAAAACATAAATATACATCTTGTATTAAAATGTAAACATTTCTTAACAAACATTTCCAGAAAGATGCCGAACCCTGTTGACAAGTCAAATCGTATGTTTAAAATGAGCAGTATTTCAATGAATATAACTGCCATATTCTGTTATTTATTGTTTTTTTTTTGTTGTTTTTTTTTTTTTTTTTTGGGGGGGGGGGGGGGGGTTAATGTTAAGAAACCTCAGACAAATCCCTGACGAAAGCAAAATGAGTCAAGTTAAGCATGGAGCTAGAGCCTTTCGTCCTCATGATCTCCCATACTGCTAGTGCATACGCCTTTTAGCACAATTCTCCTTTAATCTTTTTGGTCCTCTTACTATTGGTCACTTAGATTTTGGTCTGTGTACGTTGTTTATGTATATTATGTGCATGTTGTCAGTGCATTGTTCTACTGTCTTAGTCATGTTGTTTGTACTTTTAACAGTCAAGTCACAGACACAGAGAGATGTTTGTACCTAAGCTGGCTATGTACATCTCAGAGTCCTCCATCGGTTCCCACTTGGCACTGGGAGCACTGGTATTGGTCCCGTTTGATAGTCCATTGACCTGCACTCCCACTGGTTCAGCTGGCTGGAAGGAATCGTTAAACTCCGGGTTGTTGTCCCCAGATGCCTCAGCTCGACCCTCAGGTAGATTGGAGCAGATTTCGGACCACAGCTCCCCGCTGGACCGGACCTCCTGACTCTCGAAATCATCAACCATCCTGAGACAGGAGGACAGATGTCAACATCAGTATCAACATCTGTTAGCCTTGGCCAAATCTAGATTCAGACCGGAACATAGACATGTCCGCGACACGTAAAAACTCAATAGACAGTCTGGGGAAAAACTGCGTGGATTTCCAAAAACTCACAAAAATCACAGACTGAGCTTGATCATCATCCACATTTATTACTTTTAGCTAAACTACTGCCTAGCTTGCAGCAAGATTCCCGTTATGCGTTAAAAGCGCTACACGCCAATGTAATAAACAGCAAAAAAAAATGTCTTACCTGCGCGAGATTATTATCAGGTTAAACGTTATCTCATCAAATGTGATAATTTAGAGATTTAAGGTTAGCCTTCTTAGCTCACTCTGTCCATGATCAATGGTCTGTAATGAACGACCGCACACTTCCTTATTTAGGATCTTATGATTGGACGTTGTCACCGCCAGTCAAGTTGAATCGAGATACGATTGGATGAAAATGGCTCGATCTCAAATGCTACAATCTGATTGGTCAGGTTCGGGGGTTTGTCGAGAAGGGGCCAGGAAGTTTGTCCCAGCTGGGAGAAATATTGTGACGAACTGCAGAGGTAAAGCTCCTTCCTTGACCGCTGTGTAGATTTCTCTCTGAAACTCTCTGATCAGAATTGTAAACTGCACAGTGACAAAGTGTTGACGTTTTAGCATTGCCGCAGATATCAAGACCGCTTCCTGCCTAAATGTCAAGCTTAGTAAACGCGTGTCATGGTTGTGTATCTATATCTCATCTCAGGTTTGCAAGCGCTGATGATCATGTCACTGCAGGGAGATCCAGAGTAGGAGATGCTTGCAGCCCTGCGTCTGGCTGTAGTGGCTGTCCCTATGGGTGTGCTGCTGTCCCGCACCATGGCGTGGATGTCCAGTGGCAAGACACATGGAGAGCTCGTCAGCAGGTTGAGAGGTAGGCCGAGGATTGTAGCATGAATCTGTTGAGTGTTAAAAAAAGTGATTTATTGTTCAAAAAAGAAAAGAAAACATGTTGAGCCAGGTCCAAAACTTTGCCTTCAAATGAAAAGGTGATATGCTGAAATGAGGTTAAAACAGGATGAGTGAAATGGTGAAAAATGGTCAACAGAAAATTATCAGAGCTTACCAAAAACCATTGTCTGACTACACCAGTGAGATCTCAATAACCTGCCAAACATATCAAAACCACACCCCTCAGTGACGATTCCCCAAAGTGACGTACCTAGTAGAAGTCAAACTCAACAAATATACTTTGGCTCCTACATGAAGGCTCAAGGACTGAAATGTCAGTCTTTTTTGAAAATAATATACCATAATAGAGTTTGACAGTTGACCACTCACTCTTGTCCTGACCTGTCCTGAAATGGTCTTTTTTCTTCCTAAATATTTAATGTGTCTTTCTTCTTTGTCCTCCAGATCATGGGGTGATCCACAGTGACCAAGTGTTTAATGCCATGCTGGCGACAGACAGAGGGATCTACTCTAGAGACTACCCATACGCAGACTCTCCTCAGTCTATAGGTATTCATTCCAGTTATTCCTCGTTGACAAATATACACACATTTCTTATTTATGTTGCAACATCTATCATCTGTCTTGTTAAATTTTCTTATCAGGTTTCAGAGCAACCATCAGCGCACCACACATGGTGAGTAAGAATAGCTTACATATTGGACTTTATGAATCATTTTTGTAACACATGATTTATGAGTGTTGTCCTGGTCTGACAGCATGCTCATGCTTTGGAGCTCTTAAGTGACAAACTAACTGAGGGGGCGTCAGCTTTAGATGTGGGGTCAGGAAGCGGATATCTCACCGCCTGCTTTGCAAGAATGGTAAGCTACTCATAAACCTCGCCCTATTTCTTCCTCACATTTACTGCTGACTTTAAATGGCTGATGGCTTCTGTATTTTGTTGTTGTTTGCAGACCGGGCCCACTGGTAGGGTGGTTGGCATTGAACACATTGATGAACTGGTTCAGATGTCAATAAAAAATGTGCAAGCAGATGACCCAGAACTGCTCACCTCTGGACGAATCAAACTAGTGGGTAAGTCAGAAAACCTAATCTTCTGTTGAATTTAATGTGGACACTGTAAAAGTACAAGACACTAAAAAAGGTCCTTCTACATGTGTCCACAGTGGGAGATGGGAGACTCGGCTACCCAGAGGGAGCACCATATGATGCCATTCATGTTGGAGCAGCTGCAGCTACAGTTCCCAAGTCTGTAAGGACGCATACTGTTTTTACTATCATGGGGGAAAAAAGATAAAATAGAGTAGTGGAAATCATGCAGTTAGTCAACTCCACCCAAAGTCATTTTCTGCCCTCTTTGTTTCAAAGCTTTTGGAGCAGCTGAAGCCTGGAGGTCGGTTGGTTCTCCCAGTAGGCCCTGATGGTGGCAGTCAGGTGCTCGAACAGTACGATCGGCAAAGTGATGGGACCTTTCTCAAGAAAGCCTTGATGGGAGTAATTTATGTTCCTCTGACTGACAAGAGGCGCCAGTGGCCTGGGTACTAGTTTATAAACACTACATCAGTAAATGAGTTCAACTGTATGCAGAGGAAGAAAGCTGCTCATAATTTTAACAAACCTTTTTTTAGGGTTCCTATGCAATCTTTTGAGTTAATAGTGCCATAATGAGCCACATCCATCCATATGATTTTATATCCATTGCCATCCTTCCTTTTCTCCTCAGAGGTGAGCTCTGACTGCAGTGTGGTTGCCCCTGCAGGAGGTGGCGTTGGTGCTGCGTCTCTGGGGCCCCGTAACACTCCTTGAGGATCCACTGAGCTGCAGTCTTCAACAGCCACTTGCTCCACTGGGTTGTCGCCTTGTAGTATGAAAAGGGGATCTCTGTTTGCCCAACCAGGTTGTCTTCCAAGAGTGCTTAAACAGTGAATGACTCAATAGGTAACCACCACTGGACTAGAATCCTTTGAGTCAGCTGTAAGGATTAAGTGGAAGAGAGGGTGTAAGAGATGCAGCTGACTCAGTAAAGTTCAGTAGTGAAGTGAGATGTAATCAGAGCTTGAAAAGCTTCAGCATGTTTATTTTTCTGGATACTTGAGGGAAATTCCGATGAATGGTTAATTTTTTGTGTGTTGTATGAGTAATCTTACAAGGAAAGTTTGTTAGATTTAAAGTGGGGTTGCATGGGTTATTTGTCAAAAGTTGTTGTTTTAGCCACAGTCAGCCACTTTGTTGAGAAACCAGCTTGAGAACATCCATGCTAAGCTAACAACTGCTGCAGATGGAGTCAGCACTATCAGTTACTTAACTCAGTCTAAGGAACTCCAACCCAAACACTCATGTTGATGTGGTCCATTTGGATTTTTTCAGCATATCACTCTCCTGTCAGAAAGCCCATTCACCCTTTTACTACTTACCGAACACATACAAGTCCTTTTCTGCAGCTGTTGATAGCCCAGCTTTCGCCCTGGTTTTCAACAGGGGGGGTCAAGCCAACAAGTACCTCAGAAAACCATTCAGAAAAACAAACTATCCCTTTAGGAGAATCATTTGGTTGGTTATGAATGCAGTTATCATAAAAAGCCATTCAATTTTAATAAAAAGTGAGTAGATTAACAAAGTAATATATTTTTAGGGTTAATCATACTCTTTGCTGATTTCATTTACAATATTCATAGGATACCGCTCTGTAATGTGGGGGAGAATGAGGCATTGTGCCAAAAATAATTGATTTTATTTGTAAACACCCTACTACTGCTAAGTGTATGCTTACAACATTTATCAATAAAATCAGCTTGGTCGATTCTTACTTGTTCTTTTGTCTTACCATGAATATTTAATTATTTTTTTGAAATAAGGAACAACACTGGCTCTGTGGGCAGGTAAGGGGAAATTATTTTTTAAATTTAGCATTATTGTATAAAAGAGAGAAAGAAGATTGCAAAATCAAAACCTGAACTGGAATAAAATTTGAAACCACAGACCCTTTCCAAAAAAATAGAATATCACGGAAAAGTTTATTTATTTCCATAATTCCATTCAAAAAGTTAAACTTTCATTGATTATAGATTCAGGGCCCACAATTTAAATGATTTCAAGTATTTATTTGTTTATTTTTACATAATTTGGGCTCCCGGCTCATAAAACCCACAAAAACAGGAATTCAAAAAATTTGAATGCTGAAGAAATCACCATTTACTTCTCAGTTTTTGCAGAAAAAAAATTAGGATCACATCACATCAAATCAATCAAAATATGTACTTTCAAAAGTGAAATGTCAATCTTCAATACTTGGTTGGGAATCCCTTTGCCCCAAACACTGCCTTGATGCGCTGTGGCATTTAGGCATTAGCCTGTGGCATTGTCTGGGAATTATGGAAGCCCAGATTTCTTTGATGCTTGCTGTCAGCTCTTCTTTGTTTTTGGGTCTGGTGTCCCTCATTTTCCTCTTGATAATACCCCATAGATTGGCTGGCCAGTCAAGCACTTTGATGGCATGGGCATTGAACCAGGTTTTGGTGCTTCTGGCGGTATGGGCAGGGGCCAGATCCTGCTGGAAGATGAAATCTGCATCTCTGTACAGATCCTTAATGTGGTGGTTTTTGAAGCTTTGACTCTCGGGAGCCTCTTTCCACTCTTTCTGGATCTCTGCAAGATTCTTGAACCTTCTCTGTTTGATAATCCGCTGTAACCCATAGTCATCTCTTTTGCTGGTGCATCTTCTTCTGCCACATCTCTGTTTTTTATCTCCAGTGTTTCCCAAAGGTAGCTCTTTCCTCATGCAATGTCTCGGTGTCAGGCCATGTCTCTCTAACAATATATCTTAAATTCTTACACTGTGTGTGGTTGTGTGTGTGTGTGTGTGTGTGTGAGAGTGAGTGAGTGAGTGAGTGAGTGAGTGAGTGAGTGAGTGAGTGAGTGAGTGAGTGAGTGAGTGAGTGAGTGAGTGAGTGAGTGAGTAAGGGTGGGTGTGTGCCCTTGTGTGCGTGTGTGTGTGTGTGTGTGTGTGTGTGTGTGTGTGTGTGTGTGTGTGTGTGTGTGTGTGGGGTGGGAGGGTTGGGTTGGGTTTTTTTGTCTTTATTATTGTTGTTTTTAGCCTCTGTGAGGCCCTTTAAATTGCATTTTTGTAGTGCCATACACATAAAGTTGAATTTGAATTTGACACTCAGTTTAAAACATTCATGACCCGCAAAATTGTGGGCTGGTTTCTTCACAGTATTCTAATGTTTTGAATTCCAGTTTTTGTTGTTGTTGTTTTTTTTTTTAGCTGGAAGCCGTAAAAATAAACAAATAAATACTTGAAATTGTTTAAATTGTGGGCCCTGAATCTATAATCTATGAAAGTTTAACTTTTTGAATGGAATTATGGAAATAAATAAACTTTTCCATGATATTCTAATTATTTGGAAAGGGTCTGTATAGTACCCTGTCTACAGGCTGTGTAGTAAAAGAACGGTTGGTGGCGATATTGTCTGGATATGGCCCCGTGACTACAAAGAAAAAGTGGAACCAGGAAGTGTTGACTGCTAGAACTACAATTTGGGTTCATTTGACTTTACATTGACGTCATCACGGGGCGCCCATGATGAGAAGGGCCTCCAGCTAGAAGGTAATGCACGTGAATGTGTGGTGTAGAAGTTTGAGAAAGTATAAATTGTCTGTCTTCTCATGTCAAGTAAATAATAGCACATTTGGGGCACGTAGCGTTTATCGTACTCTAAATCTTATTTTTTGCTCTCACCGGGGCAGCTCCACGATGGAGCAGGTATCAGCTGTAACCGCTTCGACAGCAGAGGTAAACAGCCCGGAGTTCATGGAGAAAAACACAGTGAAAAATGTCTCAGAAACAGGCAAACGCAAAAGCGATGAGACAGACGAACCCGAGTCAAGAGGCCGAGGAAAGAGGCGCCGAGGAGCCGGGGGGAAGAAGCTCCGTCCGGGGGAAAGGTATATCCCACCCCCGCAGAAGAGAAACCCCGGTATAAGCTTCAACCAAGTTCATTTTGACGAGACCTCTTACTATTTTGAAGGGGGTCTGCGCAAAGTCCACCCCTACTACTTTGACTTCAAAACATACTGCAAAGGCCGGTGGATTGGTAAGAGCCTCCGTGAGGTGTTTGAGAGTGAGTTCAGAGCCGAGTCCATCGAGTACTACCACGAGGCCTGCAAAGAGGGTCGTATCCGGCTGAACGACACACCTGTGGAGGACCTGTCTATGGTACTCAGGGTCAGTGTTTCCATTATATGTCAAATGTTTATAGGGGAGAGTGGGGTAAGATGAGCCATTATTCATATTTCGGATCACTACATCAAGGCAATCATAGTTTTGTCTCTAACTAGTATATCTGCATATATTTCAAGATGTTGTTCATCCCTGCAGACTAACAGGATGAGAGTAAATATAACTGTCTTAATATAGCATGCCAAAAAAGTGGTCTCCTATGGTCAACTTATCCTGTGTATGGGGTAAGTTGACCATAGGAGCGGGGTAAGTTGAGCTGCATCCCTACTACCCCCTCACTCTCCACCCCAGCCCTCCCTCTTTTCTCTCCCTAAATAAAAGTCACTTCTTCACATTCATGTGTATTTTTATCTATTATACACTATTCAAGTCGTAAAATAATACTTTTTATTATTGCATATAACTGCTAAAAAGCTGTTTTGTAAAAAGCCATTTAACATGAGAATGTCTTTAAGTGATTCAGAACATTCACAGCTGTATTTTTGAAAAGAAAAAGTAACACATTTCAACAATCTTAACTGAAACTCTGATCCTCTCATCAGACTCCTTTACTTTCTTAGTTGAGCCACTGGCCCAACCTACCCCGGCTAGGTTTTTGACCTCATGTTGTAGCTCAAAGATACCACAATTGATGTATAAAACAAATTTAAAATGATCATTTTTGGTCTGAACACAATTCTAATAAAACTTATGACAGACTAAATTCACTTTCAAGAGTCAAAATGTCTAACCCCTTCATCTATATGTGCTTCTAACCTTCACAGACTCCATGAATTGATGCCCATCTCCTAAATATTTGGTCACATGATCAATTTCTTTTACCATTTCCAAGCAACAGGGGGTGGCTCAACTTACCCTTTGGCCAAATCATGACAAAAAATGACTAAGTCCTCTTGAAATGTTTCCTCACTATCCACAGAATAACGACCTCATGAAGAACACTGTGCACCGTCACGAGCCCCCTGTTGTCGGTACAACTTTGAAAATTCTGGTGGACAACGGCGAGGTGCTTGTGGTTGATAAGCCCGCCTCCATCCCTGTCCACCCCTGTGGTCGATTCCGTCACAACACTGTGATTTTTATCCTCGGAAAAGAACTGGGTATCACTGAGCTCCACACAGTCCACAGGCTGGACAGGCTGACATCTGGGGTGCTGCTGTTTGCCAGGACACTGGAGGTGTCAAAGAAACTGGATCAGTTAGTGAGGGACAGAAAGGTATGTAAACCATAAGCTGGATATCAACTCTATAATTCCCCTTGTGCTATTCTTAAACGTATAGTGTTGTATTTAAATGATGTACCTCTGATGTCCTTTAATTTTGTTCTTTTATCAGCTTGAAAAGGAGTATGTGTGTCGAGTAGAGGGGGAGTTCCCGGAGGGTGAACTGGTCTGCGAGGAGCCCATCCTGGTTGTTTCCTTTAAAGTCGGCCTCTGTCGCGTTGACCCTAAAGGTAAGGAGTGCAGAACTCTGTTCCAGAGGCTTAGCTATAACGGGAAAACCAGCGTGGTGCGCTGTTCACCCCTGACTGGCCGAACACACCAGATCAGGGTCCACCTTCAGTTCCTGGGCTTCCCGATCCTCAATGATCCAATTTACGGGTCCTCAGCTTGGGGTCCTCACAGGGGTAAGGGGGGACTGGTGGGGAAAAGTAATGAAGAATTGCTGCAGGCACTGGTGGAGGAACATCGCTCCCAGGAGAGTCTACACCTTTTGGATATTACAGATGGTGGAATTGGGATTGAACAAGAGGTGGGGAAAAAGAAGGTGCCGGAGAATCTAGATGGAACCTCTGAACCTGAGAAGAGCGGAGAAAGCCAGAAAAAACAGACTGACTGCAGTGAGACTGACTCTAACATGACGCAGGGCTGCAAAGACCTAAGAAACGAAAACACCTCATCTGATTCTCCTCCAACAAATTCAAATGGGGATCAGAAAGAAGCAACTGACTTGACTCAGAAAGTCCCTCCAGAAACCAGAGACCACCTGTGCAGTGAATGCAGGCTAGTCCGCCCAGATCCTACGGAGAAGGAGCTCGTCATGTATCTCCATGCTCTACGCTACAAGGGACCGGATTTTGAATATTCCACATGTTTACCAGACTGGGCAAAAGAGGACTGGGTTGAAACTGAATAAAGCCCATTAAAGAATTTCATTTTCTGCCCTTTAAACATTTAAAAGTATCCTGTCAGAGGTTTTGATGTTGCAAAGTGCACGAATAATGAAAATATTTTGGTTACTGCTTTAGAAAAGTGTGAAAAAGCCTGATATTTTGATTTGATATATAATTTACTTTGATGTTTTAATTAAACGTCCTCATTTTCAGCCTTTCAGAATCTGTCTCCTGGTTCAGCAATGATTTGAAACAAATAAAAAGCCAGTCTGCAGGAAAATAAACCTTTTCTTTAATTCCAGTTTTGTGAAAAATTAACATTGACATCTATGAATAAGCGTGATGGTGGTGACCTTTAATATATTTTCTGGATAGAAAGCCTATGGTTGATTTCATTCATCTCTAAGGCAAGTGATTCTGCTGATTCATTCAAAGTGAAGGCTCAGTGAAGAACTGTGATGTTACAGACAAGAAGTCAAAAGCAAACACTTCCTGTAAAGAGAGAGATGGAAAACAATGCTGCTCATAGGCACATTTACACAAGTCTGTCCTTGTCAGGTCTAAACCACCATCACCTCTAACACTTCTGTTATATATTTAGAATATCACACTACACACCGTACACATACTCCATGTTTCACTTTTGTCAAAGGACACATCCTTGGCACACAAAACAACACACAGATTCTGTTTCAGCATGTGGAACAAGCAGTGAAAAGACATTTGCCACATGCTGTTCATGTCATAAATACAGTAACTTGAAAGAGACACTATCAGCTAATATGCTAGCTGTGGGACAGGGTTCACATGAAGGCTTTTTGTTCCATAGATACTCTGTTAACAGTGCTGCAGCAAGGTCTATGTACAAATAATAAGCTGTGTAGGCAGTGGCAAGTGATGGTACAACTACTACTGTGAACTCTTCAAAAGATTTCTTTCACTAAGGCATACAGTGGAAAGGGTTCGAAGTGTGTATGCACCTTAATTTGTCAACAATAGTGTGTAAGCCCACACTTAATGTAAGGTAAGAGACTTTTTTTGTACATTAAGTAAACAATTTTGGCACTGAAGCTGAAATAAACAGCAGATCTTTTAAACTGACGGTAAAACACTAAATGCTAACAAGCTATGACATTATAAAGGACACATTACTGGCTAAGTTTCTGGTTTAAACATCATGATCACAACTCACATACTGTAGATACCATTGTAACAGTGTGAAACCTACTGACTGTCGCTGAGTGTTAGTTTTTTTTTTTTTTGCTGCTAGGTGAAGTTTTTTTTGTGTGTTCCAGTTGTGTGGATTTTAATTATCAGGGCGAAGTTGTTCAAAAGGTTCAATTCCTTTTTACTCCATAGAGGGTCAAGATTTGTTCAAGATTTTAATAAATGCCTGCGGAAGATTCACATGACCCCAGAGCAGACTTTGTAGGATTTCCAAATCCAGATTACTTGTGCTTTAATCTCGGAACCAATCAGCATCCTTAGTCTATAGTAAGAGGCAGTATGTGGGAACAGATGCCAACTTTCAGTAAAAGCCAGTGTTGCCAGTGGGACTTCCTATCTACATTTTCATTCTACATCCACCACTGCAATGCAAAATATATAATTCTCAGGTCTGTTACATTCCCTCTGGGAAAAACTGGTCACCTGTTTCAACCCCTGGTAGGTGTCGGCTTAGAAGTAGACATACTCACTGCGGTAAGACAGACACTTTGCTCTTGCTACTGTGGTATGAACCCAAAAAAGGAACCAATATTTCTTGTGATTTACCCATAGTTTGTAGTTTTTAAGTTTGCCAAATTGGAATCATGGTACAGATTTTGAAACTGCAAGAATACAGTTATGTCAAGTCTGTCCTCTCAAACACACAGACACCAGAACACTTCCCACATAAAGTCTATTAAGTCTACAGATCCAGGGTTCAGCTTCTGCATTTTTCTGGAGAGATCGCCCGCCCTTTGTTGTGACTTTATATTTCATAGTTTGTCCAGAGGGGGGCACTAACATCCACACAAAATAAAAAGTTCCTTTAAATTAAATATTTTGTTTAATGTCACTGTTATGAAGAAATAATTGATTTTGTCACAACATTCATGTCTTGTTCGTTTACTGTTTCACTATAAGTATTTGGAGTAAATTATATTTTAAAAAGTGTTTAAAACTTAAAACCCTGATTGAAATTCCTGTTTATTTTTCAGATTAATCTGAAATGTTCTCAAAAGAGCAACATAATTGGAGGTTTTATCCTAATGAAAATGAGGATTTGGATGTTGTATCCATCTTATCTAAAAGCCTGATTTAAAAAAACGTATATCTGATTTAGTCGTTATTTTCTTAGGGAGGACTGATTTCAAGATGTAACCCTGTGTTGTTGCTTTTATCCAACAAGATTACTTTTGAACAACTGTGCCCTGATATCTGCTAATGTTTGCGGCTCATTGAAGTAAAGTACAGCATGAAGAAAGGCCAATGACTGGCACACAGGTTGCACTGTCTTTGCTTTAGCCCAGGCTGTGAAGGTGTAAAAAAAGAGTTCCAGGCACAAAGTAAACTCTGCAGTACTTGATGATTTTCACCAGCTCAAAGCAGTTTTAACTTTCTTCATGTGTCTAATTGGTGCAAAGTTATGGCTAGGGAAAGACGGTGTCATCTTTCATGTTCTTTTTTCTAAAAATAAACAAGTCATGCTTTGAATTGACCTTTGGCTGTGGAAACACTCATGCTGTGACCTTTTTCAATCATTACATACACTTTAAAAACCTCAGCAGCAACATTAGACTCACATGCTGTCATGTGTTACATTTGCACTTGGCTTATATTTCCTTTGAGTTAAAGTAACATCGTATGCTTATATAAGCTCATTAATTATTTTTTTCAAAAATACAAATCGATAGCATTTAATGCACAGTGTTTCAAAGACTCCCCCAAGAGTTTGTTCAGCAGGTATCTTCCCGTCCATCCCTCTTTATCCAAACATCTGGCAGGTCTGGCTTACTGTTGGGTAAAATAACCACCTCTTCACTCTGGCTCATACGCCCCTTATTACAAGTCTCATAAACTGTTTCTTTGAGGGAGAGACGGAGTGTGTCTCTTTTCCCATTTAGATGTCCAGGCCGTAACTGGACCTCCTCTTCTTCTTCATTTTGCTGCATGCTTGAAGGCCCTGGTTCGATGTCACTCAGGCATGTTTCATTCGAGTCCTCAAGGCCCTCACATGAGCTCTGAGACTGGGGGTCATGGTGGTGATGGAGGCTCTGCTCTGCTGTTGGTGCATCTTTGTAGAGAGACGGTTGCTCGAAGGTCTCCAGGGTGTGGCTGATGATAGTTTCCTCAATGCTAGATGATGAAGAGGAGGAGGTGTTGCCCCAGTGTTTCACACCCCCACACTGACTTCTGCATGTTTTACACAGCAGCCTGTCCTTAGCTCCATCTTCTGGTGCCTGACCTCCAGAGCAAAGGGTGCTCTCTTTGTACGGAGATGAAGTCTGGAGGGCTGGAGGTGTTTGACAGATTTTATGCTGATGGCTGCACATCTCTTCACTGTCCCCATCCATGCTACTCCTGTCCACATCTTTTCCACAAAACTCAATCTCATCAGAGAGCACCGAGGGTCTGTTGGACAGCTTGCTGGTGCAGGTGCTGTTCTCAAAGCTATCACTTAGTCGGTACGCCAACGGCTGCAGCTCGTACTGCTCCGGTCCTCCGCCTCCTCCCGCTCCGGTTTGTTTCTGTCTCTGCTGACGTTGGTGGTTGGGGTACAGATAGCCACCTGCTTCTTTGTCATAACTCCTCCTCACTCTAGATCTGCCAAATGCCCCGTTAGCTGCCAAGGCTGACGAGGAACCTTGTTCTGCTGTGGAGCAAGAAGACAGGGCGCCATCGTTGTGATCGGAACAACAAGGCAGCATGATCTTCCCACAGTTTCTTTCAGGTCCAAAAAAGCAGCAGAGGGACTGGAAAAAGAAGGTCGCAAATCCACACGCTACACATTTCACCAAAAACAAGAAGATGCCCAGTTTTCTGAAAAGCAAGGCTGTTGCGGGCAGCATGATAATCCCCATGGAGAAAAATGCACCAGAAACTATTGCTACAGGACATCCCATTCTTTTAGTGGCATGAGCTACTTTCCCGATTTTGTCTGAATGAGGAGCTAAGCTGTAAGATATGCAGTAGTTAGCGACAAAGTCAACAGACAGCCCTGCTGCTGAGGATATGAACAGAGCTTCAATTCCACTCAGCTGCCATTCAAGTAAAACAAGGAGGCCAACGGTGACAAAAACACTGCCTCCAACAGCTACAGTCCCGTATATGCTTAGAGGAATATTCCAGGTGGTGAAAAGCAGCAAAACAAATGTGAGCGCTACTGAAAAAGCAGCTACTACCAGAGTCTCTGAGCTCAAAGATTGTTGTAGGTCAAAAAGAGACAGATGGCTGATGAACCAGCCGTTCTCCAGCCCTTGTGGTGCTCCTGATATTTCCTTGTTAAACCACGTGAGAATTTCTCTGTAGAAAACACTAGTTCTGCTAAAGTTGAAGCTGTAGAGGTATGTGGTTTTGAATGCCAACATAAGGGCAGCGACCCTGCCATCTGGCTGAAAGAACAGGCCTCTGCTGTGAGCCAGATGGCCCTCGGCATACCTCTCCGCCAGCATCATACTGAGGCAGCTCTCAAAAACCCCGGGAGGGTAGGGGAAAGGGATTTCATTACAGCAAAAATGGAGGGAGTCATCACTCTCAGAGCAACGCCTGACAGATACCCAGCGTATGAGCTGCTCCACAAGACAGATATTATCCGTCAGAACATCTTCGTCTTCTGGTGATGGAGGTGAATAAAAGCTTTGGTTCTGAACCCGTCCACACAAGTCCCTCAACCACACCTGTGCTTCTGGCCGGCTCATATTAAAGTCTGGGTCAAGAACCAGAGAGCCATTGCTCTTTGGGTTAAAATGATCGCCATTATCAATCGGACTGACGCCCCAAATGAGCATAACTGTAACTGGTTTATCCTCTCCATTCTTTTGTCTCTCAAACATAAACATATGACGATACTCTGAGTCGTACCTCTCAAACGGGTGACTGGAGCGGAAAAGCTGGCTGACCCCGCTGTCCAAGGTGGTCAGTTTCATACCTGGGTCAACACAGGTCATGTATGTGCCCCCAACAGCGAGCACAGCAAAGCAGCACACCCAGATGTACCTAAACTTCACCACTCCACAAGGCAGGATCTTCATAAATAATAGATTGGAAGTGTCACTGAGCCCTCTTTTTAACTCTCTCAGCTTCTGCACTAGAGTGAAGAGGCATCTCTTGCGTGAACTCGTATCCCAGAATCCCCCGCTGTTTTTAGAGCAGCATGGTTTCCATCCCTGCACCGCTACAGATGCGGAGGATGCTTGTGTGTAGCGCTCACGCAAAATGAAAGAGCAGGGCAGCCACACTAATGCCAAGATTGAGCTGATAAGTGAGGCACTTCCGAGATAAACAGAGAAACATCGGATTGCTGTGATGCTGCTGAGATAACCAGAGAAAAATGCTGCGCTAGAGGTCAACCCCATTGCTAAAATCAAATAGCCAACTTCCTGCATAGCTCTGTTTACTCTCTTCTCCAGGGAGGCTGTGGGATTCTGGGATAACTGCAGATTCCAGAAATCGGTAAAGATGAAAACCTGATTGGAGCAGCTTCCTAGGAGAATGAGAGCAGCTGAAAGGTTGACCAGGGGGAAGAAAGTCAGGCGAAAAGCTACTTTGTAGAAGAAATAGGAGGTCAGGAGGGAGCCTGTGATCGCGATCACAGATAACGCTACAATGAAGAGGGAGTGCAGATACAGACTCATCGTGACAAGAAGAGACACAACAGCCAGAACAGGATAGATGGAATCTCTTGCAAGGTAATGTTTGAACAGCATCTGCTTAATGCCAAAATCCATGCCAGTGATAGTTGTGTTGTTGTAGGCCAGATCCCTGCACTCAACACTGTTCATGTACATCTCCATCATGTGCTCTCCTTTGTTGATGGGTAAGAACATGAGGCTGTACTTCAGTGTGGGGATTTGGTATTCAACAGTCTGTGGCCCAAGGAAGTCCTTATCCACCAGGTAGTGCAGGATTTGGAACACCACACGAGATTGCTTACAGCGGGACGGGACAGAGGAACAGCTGCCAAGTTTGGGTCTCTCAACACAGGCCTCCACCAGGTGTCCTTCATGATAGTATGGGGCGCATTTTCGGAGAAGGTTTAGAGACTCAGACACCTGTAGTGGTGAAAAGAAGAAAACACAGACACACTAAAACATGTCGAGTGAACCCCCGCTCTTAAAATAAGGGCTGCGTTTATACAAGGACTTCATAATATGTATAAAACTATACAAGAGTCAAGATACAATACTTTTCACTGTACATGAGTCATGATGTGATATGTATCAATATACAGGCCATGCTACGACATGGGGTCGTGATACAATACCTATCACCATACATGATTTATGACACAATTAATATCTTAATACATGAGTCATGGTATACGTATCATACATGAGTCATGGTCTGCATGATGCATGGGTTCTTGGGTTGTGATAGTATTTGATTTGATAGGATACAATAATATACAATATAATATGGTGTGTTGTAATCAGACATGATTCACACCAGGATACTCGGCAAATATCTTTGCAACTTTAATGACATTTTGAAAACTAAATTAGAGGAAACAAACAGTGAATCTTTAAGTATTGATTAAAAAATTTCCATTTTCATTTATTCAAGTAAAGGCTTGTTACAGTACCAGAGTTTTCAACTGCAGTGAGTTAAAAGTGGCATTGATATTGTTTTTTTGTAAGGAAAAGAAAAGTTTACTGTTTGATTTAAAAAAATCTTTGCCAAACATTGAACTTTTCTTTTGTCTGACAGCAAACAATGTCCTACTGTTAAACAAGAAGGAACACTAAAATAAAGTCCTCCTTATTAAAATATAGTTTTCTTTATTTGTTTGACAGAGAGGTATACCTGGTGGGAGGTGAGGCTGAGGCAGCGGGAGGCATTAGTGAGGACAGCCAAGTAATTCCCCAGAGACCAGCTTGGGCAACAACCGCTCCTGGATGTTCCTTCAGCCTCCACCCGCACATGCTGCTGGCACAGATCCTGGAACTGAGTCTGAGAGCGAATCTGGATCAGACAAGAGAAACAGTTTCTTGAACACACGCCAGACATTGAGCAAAATCAACAGAAACTGAATGGATTCCAGATGAAGTGATGCACATAAAGAAGAGTGTTTTTGTTGCATTATAAAGTAAGAGAAGACAATATGCTGTCTGACAGAAGCTGATGACTAAAGAGCAGAAGAGAGAAGAAGCAAAGCTGAGATGAAGGGGTTAGAAGATCAGAACAAACCCTGGACTTCTCCATCTCACACATGGCGTGAATGGCCTCTAGACTCCACAGACTGGCTGAGTTCTCGGAGCGAAAAACCATCTGAGCCAAATGCTCGCCTGCATGAAGACAGATGGATTGAACATCCAGAAACAAGATGACAAGAGGTGAATCATCAGTGTATTGACATGGGTGTACAACACTGTTAAGAATAGTGTAACTGATGCAGAGTGGAAACATTTACGCAGGTAGAAGTGGGGAAACAGACTCACGGGTCTCCTCTGAATATAAAATAGGCTTCACGTAATGAAATGCTCAAGGCTTTGATTTGCTAATAAACCCATTTAGAGAGCCATCTGTGCTTTAATAAAGCAGGCTGGGGTATAGTAGTCTCTGATCTACCAGCACACTGTTTCAAAGTCAATTTGAGAGAAGAAAATAAGGTTTAATTTGCTTACGGAAACCGCTCAGCTAGATCTTCTCCTTGAACCAACACCAAAGCTATTTTTCACCAACACTGCATCATTCTATTGTGTGAAATTACATTCAATGAATTTGCTGCTCTTGTTCTTATATAGAATTGCTTTACTTCATTTGCTGGGAGTGCTGTGTTTAGGATAGAGAGCTTTGCCTTCAGCTTACATGATTTACGCAGAACTGCCTCGACTGCTGAATAAGCAAGCAACATATTAAACAAAAACATCTCTGTTTGTCCAATATAAATGCATATTGCTCTACGAACAGATTGGTATTTAGAATTTCACAATCAACACTAAAGCAGGACTTTTATAGAGTCTCTTATTCTCTAAGTGAAAACGGATAAAAATTCACACCTGGAGCATCGCAGAGAAAGGTGTTAGGGGAAGGATCTCTAGCCAGCATCCTTTTCATACGAAGCCTGGAGGCACCCTGGCTTTTACTGCTGTCTCCATCAGCGGCCCTGCCAAAACTAGTAAAGACAGAAACACATATGCACTTTCAAATACTACCTCATTACGATCATAGTTTGTTACAAATTCAATGTAAAATACTCAGTTTAAAGCAACAATCGTTGTTTTTAGGGTTACAGAGAGGTGGCAGCAAACAACTGGAAACACAACACAGACTCCAGATTTGAGCAACATTACCAATATTTTGTAGGCTAATTCTTTTTTGACAGCCCAACTCCAACAAAGTGAGTTTTCTATTTTAATAACATAACATTACTGTGCATGTTCCAGTCAGTGATGCACGCACGCTGCAGGGCTCTGTCTGCACACTACTAAACCTCTCTGCTGACCTTTTACTGAGCGTCTGCGGTAGAGGAGACAGCGGTTTCCCCGGGCCCGTGTTCTTCTGCAGCTCAGATAAACTGGACTGACGAACTCCAATGTACGTTCCCCGTGGCTCAAAACCCTGAGAGAAAAACGCACACACATAACCATCAAAGTTAATGCTAGTACGGCTGATAGAGTTCATACACGCCGTGATGTATTTGACTGAATTAATCAGCCTTACAAAAACCCCTTAATGCTGTCTGAACAAGGATTAAAACACAAAAACAGAATAAGCTTATTTGATGGACGAGTGCTTGATGTTGTAAATGAAAGAGCCTCCCAGAATCATGTCATATATATGTTAATGAATTGTTGTGATTCACATGTTGCATTTTAAAGATAACATCTTAATCAGTGTTTATCCTGTAACCATGGGGCTTAGAAGTGAGAGGATGCATTTAATTAGGATGACAGTGTGTATGATCTAATTCAGTGCAGTTCATTGAATCTGTGATAAGATTGGAGTAAAAGGACTCAGATCACGAGTCATTAGAGAAACAGTAATTAATCCTCAGCCTGAGGTGGTGATGGAGGTTTATATTGGAGATTTGATTAAAACATGAGTTGCAGTAGAGGTACACTCTGAGCGTGTGTGAGTAGGTGGCTGAGCCTCCTACTGAAATCTAAATGGTCACGACAGGTGCCAATCAAAAATCCCAAACCATGGTAGGCTATTTGCTTTAACAAGAGCGAGAGTGTCCTTAAAAGATAACCATTTAGGCTGTGCAGCAACAAGCTGTTTGTGATTTTCTTTATATTTTAATGTGCTTTTCAAGAATTAGACCTAAAGTGAATTTCAACCAAGCAGTCCAGTTTGGTTCGGTTCAGTTCTGGTAGGGGTTTGGTGTGACAAACCCTGATCTAGCTTGATCTAGCTCAGGAAATGTGTTAGCTGCTGAGCTCTAAAATGGCTTGTCTTTCATTTTGCATTTATTCTAATAATAGATCAGACTATTGCTTTCTGTAACATGTCTCACTTTGGTCTCAGGGGCTTAAATCCTACAGAATAGATTGCTCACAGATTTTTCTACAAGTTGTGCATGAGTCGTGGCCAAAATAGACCGAAAACTTAAAGCTAAGGACTATATTGGAGTTGAATTTTCCACAAGCATGACAAATATAACATGGATGAGCTTTCACAATGTTTTTTTAACCATTAGTTAAGTGGTTCTCATTCATGTCTGTCTGCAGGTGTTTTATGTCACCATGGCATAAGTCAGAGCCCCAGTTGGGCCATCTCAGTCAAAATAAAGCCTGGTTCATCCCTTGTTGTATCAGTGGGTATATCTGACACTCACCTGAAGCGGGTCTGAGAAGTCTGGCAGTGGCCCAATGAAGAGTCCAACGAGTGAGCATCCCAGTAGCAGCACGACACAACCCACCAACATCGCCAAGGGGTGGTCCACTGTCAGCTGAGCATAACTGTTGAATAGAGCACCAAAACCACCAGTAACAACAGGGAAATTATTTTTTATTTAATGACAAGTTTCAGTATTTTTAAGTGCAGCTGAGTTGAGTACTTACTTCCTAAGGATGCAGTACAATCCTCCGTCTCTGTCCATGATTAAAAAAATTAACAATAATGTGTCAGAAACTTGAAAAAGGTACCACACAAAAAGATTCTGTTAGTTTCAGCATCTTTATGGCAAACCTCCACCAAAAATGTTCTTCTTTTCTGTATTTAACTGAACAAACGATGTAAAACTAGCTTATTAAAGAGTTTAAGAGAGGCAGGTAGGTACTCTCTTTTTATATATAAGCTAAGCTAGGTCGAGCTAAGCTACACAGCTGCTTTATCTTAAATACAGTGATGGGTGGCACTGATTTTCTCATTTAACGGTCTTCAAAGTTGCTAATCAAGCATACAGTGTAATTCCTCCTTTAAACTCACCTAATGGTCACCACATGTCTCTGTTTTGGTTTCGGAGTCTTGCTCTCGTTTGATCCATGTAGCCAGTGGCACCTCACTGCTCCATGACAAGCCGTCTGACGGCCTAAACTACAACTGTGTGCCACATTTACTCCTCCATCTGCATGAAGACCTGCCTTGTTTGGGTGGCAGCCTTGGCAGCTCTTTAGTTTGACAGGTCCGTAGCGGCTGCAGTGGGGACATTTTCTAGGCTGTGCAGAGTTGTAGGGCTCAGCTTGAGGACACTGAGGTACCTAAAAAAATATAAATACTGGTGAAAACAAGAAAAAAATAACCAAATAAGATATATTTTTCCTCTGCTTGTTGAGGATTCTGGGGACATTCCTGCCTTTTTATTGACTGGTAATTTTTTCACAATCTCCACAACCCAATTTTTAGTCTTTTCCAGGGCATTCTGTTCTGATGCTTCCTGAAATATCTTTTCTTTACACACAGTACTCAGAGCTCAGGCTTACTTGGTGATAAAGCTGGCAGGAGGAAGAGGGTCTGCCCAGGCTGCTGCAGCTGTCACACAGTTCGCCTTCAGACTGAATGACTGTCAACTGGGCCTCAGCATCACAGTCGCTGTCAGGGGGGCACAGAGACAACCGAGGGATCTCACTGAGGAGAGGGCAAGAATGACAGGAGGTTGAGGGGTGGGTGAAGAAACAGGAAATGGAAAGACGGGGGAAATGCAGGAAATGGGTAATGAAGGACAGAAAAACAGGAGAGATAAGCAAAAAATGTACGGTGCAGCAGGTGATATTTCTAAATTTAGTCTAACATTGTTTTTTCTGAAAACACATTGATAAACATCACAGTCACTTGACCGACTTGGTTATGTATTCAACAGGAAACTGAGTGGGACAGCAGAACAAATGAGATAAGGAATGGAAATTTTGTTAAACATGCTGTGGTTACTAGAGGCAAGGAGCCTGGATCAGAGAAAGAAAGGAGGGGAGGAGAGAGAGAAGGAAGAGAGAGTATGTGATTATTTTCACATCCTGTCACAGAGAGGTGGGTGGCCGTCCAGAACGGATGACACAGTAGAAGAAGAAGATAATGATATCAAGTACAGTTGTCTTCAGGGGGAGTTAAAGGCACACTGACTTTGCTGACTTCCTGATATTTCCATCTAGAATCATAACCAGGTCAAAACTGCATTTTATTTTGGTGTAGAAAATGAGTGATAGTAAAATCAGCCTCAGTTTAACTTGGTGTGAGTGCTGACACAGAAAGGTAAATGGCTCATTATGCTGCACCCACCTTCCAAACCACAGATAATCAGACCAAATCACTTTTACTCCAGAAGAGCCTCTCAGAGCTGCAGCTGTGTATCCATGATATTTTACGCAGTGTGTCATATGTTTTATACTTTTGTACCATGTTAACGTAACCTGAAACACTAACTATTAAAATTTTTAAATACATAACCATATTTTTTCAACATTTAAAGGCAAGATTGTTGGGGAAGACTGGGGTTGGTTATTATGGTCAATGATGTCATGCTTTCTCATCATGTTCATGTCAAACATTATGGAGGAATTACATTTGAATTACATATCTTTTACTTTGAGTTTTTATTTTCACTTTTTTTTTTTTTTTCCTTTGGGCATTTTTGGTCCACCATAGAACATGGCCATGTGCTCATTTAAATCCAGTCATTCTGTAGAGCACAGGCAACACACTGAGGTAAGAAAACTGTCTTTTATAGGTCAGAGTAATTTTTCATTGTGACAAATTCTATTAAAACATTTATTGATAATAACTTTCGTTCTTTTTTTCTTCACAAATCAGACCAGAGAGAGAGACAGCAAAGGACACACTTAATTCTCACACATACAGACACTCGCATAACAAAAAAGTGAATTTGAGGGTGAGTAACAACTGAGTAATCCTCAGGTTGTATCCATGTGCAGAGGCCATGAGGTCTGTTTAGTCTACCACATGCTTGTTTTTTTCACAGTAGACTGGATGCGGCCGCACTTCCTGTCTTGTAACCACGGCAAACAGAGTAGCTCAACAGAGCATAATGACCTCACTGTTTTATTTGCATCCCGTAATACGGCACACGAATGATGCGAAGTCTGATGAGTCGGTGGTTTGCCGAAGATGAGGGATTACGGCTGAGCTCAGACACAAACTGAACCACACTAATTTATCTTTGTAACACTGTAATATGTAATACAAGCTAAATAATGAAAAAGCCACAGTGTACCAAGCAGGCCAGAGACATCAACTGAAAAACTCCATCTGAATTAGTCTATTTAGAAGCTTGATTAAGAGAGTCAATAAACACTCAAAGTATCAGCAGCACTATTATCTCTATGAGCCAACCAGTGTTACATTAATGCTGAATTATTATCACATGACAGTGTAACATATACCTGGCAGCCCACTCATTATAGGGTCAAAAATGATGAGCATTTGTAACTACTCCTCCTCTTTGATGGTTTTTCACAGGGCTGGCCAGTATACACATACACATATGTATATATGGAGAGCATTTTGTGGCTCTCATTAATATTTCAGTTGGTGAATACAAAAATACACCCAGGAAGGTGACACTAGCTCCTCTTCACACCATGGATAAAAAAGGAGGCTTTCATTGCACACTGATTATAGGCCTCCTTAATTTGAGAAACATTAAAGCAGAAAAGTACACAAGATAAAACAAAAGTTCACTTCATTTGTCATGCAGACAGATGTTAATTCACTTGATGCACTGAAATAATTCAGTTATACAAGTACCATGCATTATTTATAAGGGCAGACAAAATATCTGAATCACCTCACATTGTTTAGCATTAAAATAATAAAAAAAGACTGCCTTGACTGGAGAGGAGAAACATTACTCTGTTCATGAGATTAACATCTGTCTCAGGGTTGTTTTTAACCATTAAAGCTTACTTAAAGAGATAGTGTGCTCTGATAAAAGTATAAAATGTAGAAAATAGTGAAAGCCCTGAAAAAAAAAACAGTCAAGTGAGTGTGCAGAATCAAAATCAGTGAAATGTACTAAAAGTTTTGAAAATAAAATGAATCTTATGGTCTATACACGATTACTTAAATCAATAAATAATGAGCTTTTTCTTCTGTAGCTGGTTAAGTTAAAGCCAGTGTGAACTATCGTTTTACCTAACAGCCTGTCTCTTTCTCTATTAGAATGACTACATTCAATCTGGAGAGCAATAATCTAAAAGTGCTAAAAGACAGCTTTGGACATTCAAAAGACTCCAGAAAAACATCCATCAGATGTGAGAGCCCTGTCAGCTTTAGTTACTCCCACTTCTTTCTGTTAGAGGTTTCTGTCTTCCCTCTTTTCTTCAGCACATCTCTTTCAACCAGCCCCCGGATCCCTGTCAGTGCCATGTCCTAAACCATATCCTAAAGTGCCAATCAGAAACACAAGGTTAGAATTTATGAAAGGGCTGAGCTATTAAGCCTCGTAAAACGACAGAATAGGTGTCTGTGGACCGTTAATATGAGTAAATTCAAGATTTAGAGACAGAAATAAAGACAGGATTAAAACTGTGTCAGGGTGCCAGACTGTAGCTGTTTCCACTCTGTTTTTAAGCCTTCATATGCAGCAGAGTGAGTGACAGGGTGAGATCACAGGTCCAGAGAGGCAGCCTGACCCAGGCAGGAAGCTGATGACACCCAACAGATTTCACACAAGTCCATTTAAGTGAAACCGTCAGACAGAGATTGTGTGTGTCCCTCTGTGTGTAGTGTGTTACTCTAATTTTGCATAAGAAAAAAAGGCTTGCTTGAATGATGACAAATCAGATGAGGCATTGCCAGCTTTTGTTCAGCTTGTGTTGCTAGATTCTGTCACACAGTATTATCTGAAGGATGATATAGTTATAGTTGACCTGAAAATGTTGCAAATTTGGTGAATAAAATCTTAAAGGTTTGGTTATATTGGCATACAAGCAATTATTTCTTTCACCACTGAAAGAACCAGTGCAATTTAATGTGAAAATAATATCCTGGTAGACTTTTGAATGGAAAATGAACAACAGCAGAAGTCACAGTCTGTTCATAATCCCATTGTCAACAACATAAACACAACTGGATTGTGAGCTGTAACAATACTCTCACCAGCCACATGAGGGTAAAGGTACATTCACGTCCAGTAGCCTACTGTAAATGTAATCCATTTTTAACTCTGGATTCAGGTGACAAACTAAGCATTGGTGACCATAATAGACAATTAAAAAGAGCCCACCTTGTGCGAGCTTGAATTTCCCTTTCTTCTGTAGGAGAATCATCCATCACTATCGCATCCGTGCTTTCTCCAATCATCGAGCAAGCCTCCATCTCCTGATTCCGCCTTCAACTGCAGTCCCAAACAAGGCAATTAGAAAATGTGCTGTAGTTTAAATCTGGGTTAACCTCGCAGCTCCACACCTGCCCAGCTTTGGTCCACGAGGATCAAAGCTCTGGGCTTGTTTCCGAGGTTGCTACTACACAGTAGCACCGGGGCTGTTTGGGTTAATCTGCCTCGAGCTGCGCGCTGATTGGCGGAGGCTCGATGATGCTGAGGACGCTGCCTGGTCGCTGTCCAACCGGCCGCGGTGCTGGAGCTGAGAGTGACGGAGAGGGTGAGCATCAGTGAGGGCATCATTGGCTCTGATGTTGGCAAGTGGACGTTATCAAGGTGTAGAGATAATGACGCTGGGTTCAATTTAGACACGCTCCCACAATCAGCTTCTTATTGTGTTTAGTAACATTAAATACAACTGTGAGTGCGCCACGTGTAACTGATGGAGTGAGTTCAAGGAAATGCTGCTACCTCCAGATACCTTTAATTCACTTAATCTTAATGTGTAAAGGTCACCAATGAGACGTTATTGCTAGCTATCAAACTTCCTTTCCCTGACTTGTCTGAGCTCATGCGCAGTGAGGGCAGACAAGGCAGGGAAGAACCAATAACTTTGTTCAGATCCCAAATACAGTAATCTTAGCACAGAATAACTTCTCCTATAGGATCAGCTGAGCTAAACCTGCACTGGAACTTCTGAATTTGTCTTGTCTCTCTGAGAAGACATCTTGAGCTCTGCATTTTGATGATCCCTTAATCATATTATAAAGATCACTGTCTGATGAGCCACCATACAAAAAATACCGTTAAACACCAGTGGTTTTGTTTTGCCAAACATGGACTCTAAACTAGGTGACTTATTTTGTGTTATAATAAGGGATGCACTGATCCGATATTTGGATCAGATATCGGCTCCGATATCGACAAATTAACTGGATCGGATATTGGATGAATGTTGCCGATCCAGCTTTTCGATCCAGTTTTTCTTTTTTCTTTTAATTGATTTTTCCTTTAATGCATGGAAGTCTTACCTCTTTTTGCTGTGTGCTAATGTTATATGTGCAATTTGTTATTTGTTGATAAATAATACTAACCCTCCCCCTGTGTTAGGGTCTGCACCGACCCGTTTTTGTTTTTTAAATACTTAAAAGAACCACTTATGTTAGCTTTTTTGCATCAAGACTTTTTGACTTTGTCAGGAACCTCTATTTTAACAAAATAACAATTAAAAAAATTAAATTGAATAAAATTCTCTTATTAAAATGATGGCACTTGTTGTGTTAGGGTCGCTGTTGACCCAGTTAGATCAATATCTAATAATCAGAGCAAAAACTGAAATAATATGTGCACTGTCAGGCACCACACTGAAAGTCAGATCCTTTTCCAATCATGTGAGATTTAGGAAATTCTCATTTTGTCATGTTTTTCCCTGCACAAAAACAATGTTGGGCATGTCCCGATCATAGACTGTATGTAGAGACTATACTGTATATACAGTTTATGGTCCAGACATGTCAGATCAATTCAGTATAGATGTCTGTGTGAGGGGTATACTAAAAAAGAAAAGCCCAGAGGACCACAACAAAAACTATTATAAGCAATATTTTCATGGCTAATGAAGCCTAACAAGGTAACCTAGAGATGAGAACCAAATTGGATGATAGAGAAATGTTTTTAGTGTAATTTACAGCTGATTTAAGACACGGGTCAAAACTGACCCTTAACATGCTGGGTGTGTAGTTAAAGCTAACACAGGAGGAAGGTTTAGTAAATTTATACTTGTGTTAATTTGTACTTTTTTTTAAACAAGGCTAATGTCAGGCCTGATGCCTTCACTCACAGAGCAAGGTATACAGTTCATTCATTCAACAGTAGTATTGGATCAGTATCAGATATCGGCCGACACCCCCAGCCCAAGTATTGGTATCAGATTAGATCGGAAAAAATGGATCGGTGCATCTCTAGTTATAATTATAAGGATATGCGAACTTTTCAATTGCTATAATTGGCATGCACACTGTGTATGAGACATGAGTGCTTTCATGTTGTTTCAGCAACTTCTTGTGTAATACACACCCAACAAAGAAAAAAGGTCAATATATAATGGAGATGATTCAGTTTGTACCAATAGGGATGGGACCTGAAGCTTGTAGTGCTAAAGTGTGTGGACTGAATATACTTTACAAGCCTATGAGCATATTACAGCACACATGTTACCACTTAACACATGAGAACAATATGTTAAATGGTACCAACTGTATAATGTAGTTTGCAGCAGGTGGAGCTATTTTTAAGTTTTAAGCCTTAAAACTAACTAAGAGGTGGATTGTGCAAAAGCAAGAACAAAGGGGATTTCTTTAGATAAGTTAAATACAACACAACTCTGATATTAGATTTTACCAGCTTTAAACTTTTCGTACACAATAATTGGTGTGGTTTGAAAAAATTCTTGCTACTCTAGACAAAAAGAGAGCACAGCAAGAGCAAGAAAACCTGATGTAACTTTACTTATAAATAAGTGGAGTGAGAGCCAGCCAAAGCCAGCCGAGTGAAATGAAAGTAGAAACTGTGACAGAGCAGACCTCTGTGACTTGCTGCTAATGAGGCGGCCGCTGGTCTGGCTCTGGTTCTAAATATGAATCATGGCACTGGGATCTTGTGTTGGGGGGGGCCAGGTTTGGGGTTAGAAAAGGAAATGATTTATTGTTGGAGGAGCAGAGACCAGGGTAAGGAGGGTGTGAGCAGAAATCAAATTGTACTTCATAAGAGAAACAAAGACAGTGGAGCAGGATATCTTTATTTTCATCTGGATAATGCAGCCTAATTTTTATCTGCTAAAGCTTCTGTGAGTCATCACGCTTCAAACTGGTTCATACATAATAAATTGGGTCAATGGAGTGTCTGGGCTGACTGATTCAGAGCTATTGGATGAGATAGTCAATAAGAACTACTCTCTTTATTTTAGAGGGTTTAATGCTTTGTCATTTCTTTTCAAAGGAAGCGGCTGAAATCTAAGATAAACATTTAATCTGGCTTTTTGTAGTCGGAGTGATTCTGTGCCTCTGAATCAAACAAGTCCTGCTGTGGTCGGGGTTGGCATGGAGTTTAGTGAACAGCCTGTGCTGCAGCTGACATGGATAATGACTTGTTGACTTCAGACACTGATTAACCAACACTGTTTGGCTTCCCGGCCTACCACACACACACACACACACACACAGGGGCAAGAAGAAGAAAAAAAAACACTCACATACACATGTATCCAGAGCCTGGTTAAAACACACTGTGCACCAGAGCCATGGATAATGAGAGGCTGGCTTCTGGCTGGTACTGAGGTGACAGCTGTGGTAATTTCCTGTGGCAGATCTGTGCTTAGTGGACAGTGATGGGAAGGGAAACGCTTCATTAACACTACAGTACTGCTTCGAGATCCCTGAAACAACACAACACAGTCAGATAGATTTAAAAAAACAGCTATAGGAGTGCACCATAAAAGTCTGTGTGGAAACTAAGAGTGCAATAATGTGCTTCTGTAAAATTTCTTTTAACTCTAATAAATACATTCTTGCTTGGGTTAGAGTGGAGGAGGTATTTTACTGCCACCTTGTGGATAGATTGTGAACATGTTACCCCCTTTTATCACTGATATCATGATCCCAGTTTTAGGTTTATGTAAAAAAAAAAAGTAAGAATAGCTCTTTCAATCAATATTTTAGTTCATGACAAACACATAAGATAGGTTAAGTCAAGACCTTTTGTAATAAAAAGTGATAAATAGTCCTGTAGTGTAAAATAAAAGCCCTTCAACAGGTTTGTTTGTTATTCATCATATTGTATGTTTGTTTCTGTAACCCAACATATGAACTCATTGCACTGCTCTAACTTTTTAAGTAATAATAGTCACAAATATGAAGTATCACGTATATTGCTATTTGACCTTTCAGTTCATTTGCTCAAACAAGGCCCCCACAGAAAGATAACAGTTGTAAATAACATCTGCGTCACGCGCATTAACACGCGCACCGAGTGCCAACATGAAGTCGCGAGCTCTCCTGCGAGGTTGTTCTGTGGGTGTAAAGTTACGAGTGGACAGGACACACCTCTAGAGGGAGTTCCCGGGGAGGTGGAAACAAGGAGCTTGATCACTTCTCCTTTCACTTGGACTGAGCGGCGGTGATTCCAGTCTGCCCTGCGGCCGTGTGAGTGTGTGTCTGCCCGGCTGCAGAAATAGTAGGGGTGCCACGCGAGAAAAAATGCCCGCAATGGGCAACTCTTTACGCGCGGCTGCCCTCCTGGCTTTTGTGGTCCTTTCTATCCTGGTGTCTCTCCTGATCAGTAGCGTGCAGCAGTTTGGAGGCAGGATAGCTCACTTTCCCAACGCAACTGTTGCTGGGGATGAGTTTGCGTCGCTCCGTGGGGCGTTGATTTACCAACTCAACGAGAGGCGCAAAGAAATCCTACCTCTTCTTGTACCTCATGAGGATGAAAAGGAACTCGATAAACCTCTCCTGGACTCAAATTTGGATTACAGTCTGTGGAATGAGATCTCACAGGGATCCAGGAAAGCGCATATGGATGAACTGGGTTGTGATTCTCTCGTGGACATGCAGGCGGTGGAGGTCCTCGGGTCTGGATACACCAAGCTGGTTGTCAAAGTGAATCTCGCCGGCGGTCAGCATGTGGCGTTAAAACTCGTGAATGAAAAAGGGATTGACATGGGAAAGTGCGTGGAGGATTTTGGAGATCCCACAGGCTGCCGGGAACTCGTGTCTTACAAGTTAAAGAAAGAAATCGTCCTTTTGCAGCGGCTGCAGCATCCAAATGTCATCAGGGTAAGATAATCTCTGTGTGCACATATTTCAAAACTTTGTACACTCAGAAAAGTTAAAGTTAAGGTGAAAAAGCAAAGCAAGGGCAACAATTTAAACTTTAAGAGCAAATGAAACTACAGTTCAATGGTAGACACCGGAATAACTGCTGGGATATTATTAAAATCTTCCATAATCCATGTACTGCAGCTCACATTTTCCTTTGTCTCACACACACTAAGCTGGAAGAAAAAGCCCCATTGGCTCTGTAGGACCTTCCCATGTAATTAAATTAAATTCACTGACCCTCTCCTGACCTTTGGGTCCAGTTTGGAGAGAGCAGACAATGTGCCTCTGTCCTCTTCACTATCCCTGCATCCATCTGAAACCCCCAGCGCTTATTCACTCAACCCATTACAGCCCAATTTAGAGCTAGTTAAAGTTAAACGCATTAGTTTGATTCTCCTGTGTAGCAGTCCTGTGATTGTAGTGCATTCGACAGCTGGATCGATTAATTTTTATAAGTGTACAGAGCAAATTCCCCCACAGGCTGATGTGATTTTACTGTCTGAGCTGCAGAGAGAGGGTTGGAAGAACATAATGTCCTCTGGATTTACTTTCTTAGCCTGTGTTTTTCCCTAACTTCAGCAGACTTAAAATGCTGTTTCTAACCACTTTTTTTTTCCCCTTCACAGCTGAAAGGTCACTGTGCAGGAGACATGGGAGGAAAAGGAGGAGAGGGAGGGAGAGTCGCAGTCATTCTGGAGCAGGGGACTCCTCTCCAGATGATCCAGCTGCTGCAGAGTCCTTGGGAGGACCGATTCAGGGTGTGCATGTCACTTTTAGACTTTGATTTCTCTTTTTTTTAATACACTTAACATAGGGTCTGAACATTTCATTTACACACATATATGACATATGCTTGTGGGTGTGAGTCCTTGTTTCTGGTAGGAAGATAAGAGGAGGCAGAAATTTGAAACTCCCGGAGGTCCAACATCTGTCCCTCTGTGTATTTGATCAGGCCGGTTCAGGAATGGAGATGGGTCCTGGAGTTAATCCACTGCAGGCTAGGAATGTCATGTCATCTCCTACACACAGACTGAATTCACACCCCACTGATCCAAATGTGTAGATGTGCGTGCATGTGTGCCGTCATGCATGGATGTGTCTGAAAGAGAGTGAAAGAAAAGCTGAGAGAGGAATAAATACTGAGAGCATGCATGCTTTGTTCCAGGATAAGAAAAAGTAACATCCCAGTCTAGCCAGTATCTTCTCATTTTGCTGCATCACCCAAATAGGTGTTCATAATCCCTCTGCCCCTGGAGCTGCTGGGCCCCCTTTTCAGCTACATTGCATCTGTGCAGGCTACAGTAATCCAGGGGGTGTTCGGTTTCAGCCGTCCCTGTTATTACAGAGCTTCGATCCCCACCAAGTGACGTCCAAGAGACCCGAGCATTACCTAATACTGCAGCTATGTTTGTGTGTTAGTAGTGTGACAGAATTATTTCGTGCTCCGTCGGTGCGAGGCTGATGCCTTTCTTTGACTTAAGTAGCCGACTTATTTTCTCTCTCTGTTTTCGGATTTACAGAGTACTACCAAAAAGTCTCAGGAAACTGTTTCAGGATGCGGTTAGTTGAGTGTCTCAAAAGCAGATGAGATGGTGTTTTTGCCAGACTGAGGGTTTTTATATTTTACCAGTTCAACTATAAAACAAATCTTAATTACAATGTTGCACATGTTCTTTTTCTAGCTGAAGCTGCTTTTTTTGTCGAATCTGTTTGAAGAAGTGGCAGAGGCTTGAGTATACCAAAGATATATATTTTTTAAATTATATAAAAACTGAACTAAACTGCGGAGGCACAAGAAGGGCGACAACTATCAAATTACCCTTTAATTTTAATCTTTAAAGGTACAGTGTGTAGCATTTAGTGGTGTTCAGCAAAACACACTCAATGGAAATTGAGTAAAATATTCCTAAGTATGTTTGAATTTGTGTTTCTACTGAGTTAAAATAAGCCAAAACAAGGAGCAGGTCTCCTTCCATGAAGGTTGCTACCGAGTGTCCACACTGGTTTGGATCAGACAAAGTAGTGAGAGCCGAACCAATCTGTACCTGAAAAACATCAGATGGAAAACAAAGAAAGGCATTTTTGATGGTAAAATCTTGAAAAATGAAGGTATAATTTTAAAGCTACTGTGAGCAACATTCTGATTGTGTCAATTTTGGCGCCCCCTGTTGATGAAGTGGTGTCTCTGATTTCTCTTGTTTTATACACACGGGCAAAATTAATCTTGCTTTCTCTATCAGCCAGATGTAGAACAGTTGTTGTGGATGGACTCGTTTGCTTTCGTTGTCATTAGAGGCTTCTGTATTAATTTCTGTATTTTTCATTGCCAGGCAAAATCTCTCCACAGGAGCTTTAAACATCATCATCAGTCAATTCAATCAGTTATTTATCATAGCTGATCTCTTCCAGGTGTGTCTAGATCTGGTCAGGCTCCTCCACTTCCTGTCCCGCTCTCCTCTGGGCTCTGTCGGTCTGCTCGACTTTCAGCCGCGGCAGTTTGTCACCGTGTCCGGCTCACTGAAGCTCACGGACCTGGATGACGCCAGCGCTGAGGAGACCTTCTGTCACGCAGATTCAGACTGCACACTCCAGTTTCCACACAGAAACTTCACTCTGCCGTGCTCTGCCAAGGGAGTGTGTGAGGGTCTGAGTGAGAAGAGGAACATTTATAACGCCTATAGGTGAGAGAAATGACAGTTTTACTACATGATGGACGTGTGAGGAATGGATGGAGCAGCCGCTGAATGATTGATCCCTTAAATACAGGCCAAACTGACGCAGTAAATGTTAAAGATTAGTTAAGACATACAGCTGGAAATTTGTTGGAGGAGGTGTGATGATTAAATTGGTAGTTTCAGAGGGGAAAAGTCTTTTCTGTAGAAATTCTGACAGCTTTATGGTCTGTTTGTTTTAACACCAGAGTGAGACAAGTCATGCTCTGCGGGAACTATGTGACAGGGCCTGTCTTGTCTTTTCTGAATGAGTTTTTTTTTTTCTGGCCCCAGGTATTTTTTCACTTACCTGCTGCCTCACCAGGCCCCGCCCGGCCTCACACACCTGGTAGACCAGATCATGAACTCCACAGGTGAGAGATGCCTTGACATGACAGGACTCTGATTGAAAACGATCCCGTAATTTTACTCCTGTAATGACCTGCCTCTGTTAATGAGCCTGACAAGATGCTTGACAACATGTCACATAGTAATGGATACGATTTGTAACCTGTCCGGATCAAACAGCTGAGCTCAGATTAAACCAAAGAGATTAAGGAAGAAACAAAACAAATCATCCCTACTGGATGACAGTGATTTAACGTTTCAGTCAGTTAGATCTGTTTCAAGATTTAATGTATTGTGTGCGTCCAGGGGAGCTGAAAGCTGACATCAATCAAACGCTGGAAGCCTTTGAACACATCCTCCACCTCTACAAGTCTGGCCTGCACCTGGACAACCTGCCTCCATCAATAATCAGAGGTACGAGCTCAAGCCATGAATGCTGCTTTTTATCAAATACAGTGGGCCCTCTTGTAGACCCCTTTTTTTTTCTCATGTAGAATGCTTGGCCCTTTTCTGATCCCCTTTTAGAGTAAACTCACAAAGTCCTGGGCTCTGTTTTCATTTTGTATCTTTAAGAAAATTAAGGGGGGTGTCTCTCCCGCTTCAGCTGTTTTGACAGGTTTATTAGGCAGCTGGAATGAGAGGACAAGACCAACAAAGTGGGATTAATCTGGCATGTCTCTGGCTCAGAGAGCACAGTCGGCGTTCATTTAGAAAAACAGTGCTGTGATTACATGAAGTTATTCTTGACATGGGAAATGTTCTGTTTGGTTATTTTGCCTTTCAGAGTAGCCATGCAGAAAATTTTATTCAAACTTGTCCGACTTCTGCATTTGTTTGTTAAAAAACTGAATCCTACTTTATTTTCGTTTCCCACAAACTTTACGTTTTGTATTTCTAGGTAACTTTTTATTCCACACTTTTAAGCCCTGAAAGTCCTTCACTTTTCTTCTCTTCAGCTCACCTCCCTGCAGTCCACCGCTCTCCGCTTACCCCTCCCGCCATTCCCCTCAGCTCTATGAAATATTAATAACAGTATGACTGGCTGCGTTCCTGTGGTGAGATTTTCCGTCCCCCAGATGCTGGACTGTTTATATAGCAGCGCTTTGTGAATTTAATCACAGATCCAGGGTAAAGAGGCCTGGGCGCTGGGGCTGACACCAGCAGGGAATGTTTTAGCTTAACAAGGAGGTGCCATGAGTCAACCCTGCTGCTGCTGCTGCTGCTGCTGCTGAGTGTGTGTGTGTGTATGCATGTGTGTGTGTGATAAGACCCAAAAATGTGTGTGTAATTTCACAACATTGTGAGTTTATTGGGTGGGTTCAGATTTTGTGCAGGGAAAAGCCTTATTATGTTCCAGTTTTTAATCTTGGCTCAGCTCAGTTTACTTCACGTTTTATTTCGACACATTTGCATCAACATTGTTGGCCTCTTGAAAGTTGGAAAAAAAAATATCTCTACAATTTGCACTGTCAGAGGAAAAAAAGCTCCAGCTAGCATCATTATTTATCAGAGGGTGGAAAAGAGGCGAACACCAAACGTGGCTCAATTAAAAACACCTCTAAAAATAATGTTGCCACCATGTCTTTTCATTGAGGAGATCTCCGTATGTTGACATCTAGCTACTTAAGTCGTTACGAGTAAAGATATAATCCAGCAAATGACCCTAGAAAACTGAAATGTAATTTTTATACTACACACAGCCCAGTTTATTTTTCTCTTTACTCATTTTTTAGCTAATAAATGAAGGTTAGCTTAAAGGTTGACTTTTTCTTTGAATCAGAAACAAGTAAAATCCAAAGGGGGAAAAAAAACACAATAAATGAAAGTTTTGGTGTTTGGAAACACATGAACTCATTAATTCCTTTCACTAAAAACCAAAGAAAAAACACGTTTTGCAGCCAAAAACACAAATAAGCTTCATAAAAGAAACCAACACAGCTTCAATACAATTTCTGTGTTATGACGCAAGTGTGTTGGTGTGTTATAAAGAAACCCATCGGGTTTTGAGTCTTAATTTAAAATTGCTGACAGATGGAGATTTATTGGTAATGTGGATTTAATTTCAGCGCTGATGAGATCATTTCTTAATTTGATTGAGGGGACCAGAATCAGGAAAAATAGAGCTTCTGATCGGCGTTGCTGCAAGTGTTGATTTGAATGTGTCCTGAAAGGTGAAGAGTGAGTTTGTGAAGGTCTTTAGTGCTGTTATAAATATGTTTGATACTCTTCATATTATTATAAATGAGGATGTTTCCCCAGCATTCATCTTAAACACACAGAGCTTATAGTCATATATCCCTGTCTCCTCAACAGCTGAGGCCCAGCTCCCCGACATGCCTCATTTTTTCTCCCCCGAGAAGGATCCTCAGAACACTCCTTCTCCTTGTTCCCTTCTCTCAGACCCAGAAGGCAGATCCTCGTGTCTTTTTCCTCCTAACAATACCCCCACACACACACCGGCTCCTGCCATTCAGAAAGGTTAACAGTTTGAAACAGTGCGCCTCCTCTGTACAGACCCACAGACGGGCTTTTGTCCTGTTCTGATGAGTGAGTGTGTGTGTGTTTATGTGTGTGTGCCGGCCACATGTGTGCATGCTCCTTTCTCATGGCTCCTGCTAATGTGTAGCAGATGATTTAAGGCCAGATCCACAAGACGTCTGACTGAAAGGGCCGTAATGATGAATGTAACGCAAATGTTGGGCAGGAGGGAGGAGAAGTGATTTTTAAAGCAGAGCTACAGTTTGTGAGGGAAAGCTGAGAGTGGTGTAAGGATAAGATGGTCTTTTTTACAGAGGTACAAAGTTCTGGGTAAGGGAAGACTTAAAAGGCGGTAAATAGGAAAGATAAAAGTTGGTTATTTCATGAATAAACAAGTACAAAGAAAATAGTTTGTAGTGATCTGCTAGATGTTGAATGTTTGAGTAATTTTCCAGCATGTTGTGGCAATAACCTGCTTTGCTTTTGAGATTAAGAGATAAGATTTGTGAGCAGGGGCGCCATCTGAGGGAGAAAACTTATGAAGATGACTAACAGGGGCACTAAAATAAATCAAAACAACTGCTGTGGTGAAGCAGTGGGTCACATTTTTTTCCATGGGGGCCAATATCCCTGTTAGCACCGCTTTATATACGAAGCCTTTCTAGGTTCTGTAAAAATTGGTAGATTTATTGATAACTCGTGATTAAATAGTGAACTCAATTTAAATGGCAGGATATCCTCTTTTTTATGTCTTGATGTTTGGAAAGTTGCGAAACAATATTTTTGCACCCTTTTTGCAAAGTTTAAGTAATGGGGATCGGTTGAAGTCGGTCAAAATCTTTCTTATTTAGTTTCCTTTCAATGCTTCATGGTATCTTGTTCCCTCTGAGCGATCTTTATACTTTGTGTCTGTGTCTGTATTCTCATGTATTAAAGTTGCATCTCCTCTTTCCATGTTAGATTACACCACGATGCGAGGTATGGGGACCTCTGGAAATGTGGAGTACCGCTGCTGGCCATCTTACAGCCAGCAGGGCTGCGTGCTGTCGGTCCACAGCGCAGAGGAGGCAGCGTATATCTGTAACTCTCATTCTCAGTGCAACAGCTTCACTTTGAGCGGACAGAAGACATGGACCGGTCAGTAAAGATTCTGATACTTTACTTTGAACCTTTCTTTACCTCGATCGAGATTGTAATTCTTAATAGCATTTTTATTTCTCCCACTTTGCCCAGATTCTGAAAATCAAAGCACATATACAGGAAAGTCTAAATAATAAGCACATGTAATTACCCAATAAATCACATCTGTCACATGACAAGGAAGTAGAGTAAACACACTCTGCCGCTACCGCTTTAATCTTGACTCAGGGCTTTTTACATGATGGAATGTATACAATTATTAAGGATTTCCTGTCAAAACTTGTTCTTTATTCATGTTCCAGATGTGTTTAACATGGCTTTTTTCCCTTCTTTTTTCTTTCTTTCCAGGTCGCCTCCTGGCCTCTTTCAGGAACAGCTTCAGTCATCTGGTGCCTGATGAGATGTCCAAGGTGTATGTGAAGAAAACCAAAGCTCCTGAAATTTAAGTGTGACACCAAGGAACATTCAGTGCAATTCAATGCTACTGTGAGGCAGCACAAGAGGTTATGCTTTAGATGAGAACTATGTCCTCATCACGAATATGTCGGACGCCGCCCGGCTCCGTGGATTTTCAGGAGGAGCGTAAGAAGCCGCGCTGGCGAGGAGGCGTTTGAAGTGAGGCGAGTGAATGTGATGTATTTATAGGGCTTCTGCTTAGTGACTGTTTGATGTGCCTGCCAGCCCACTGCCTCTGCCAGCTACTATTTAAAGGGATTTCCCTTCAGGTACAATTAAAGAGGCAGGGGAGGTGGGTGGGGGGTGGCTTGTGCCCTCAACATGTTTTTTTTTTCTACCTTGCCTTTATTTGCCATGTGTGTTGGCTTTCCCTGTGAGGCCGGGTCCCTGTTGTAGGATCTTTAAGCCAAAGAGGTAATAAGAACAGCCGCTGCAGCCCAGCATCTGAAGCCCGAGGACGAGAAAAGAAAACAAGCTCTTATACAAATACACTTTGATGTTCTTGTGCTGAGGTTACGGCTGTTTTTTCATGGTTCCCTAGCTTAGCTGGGCTGTGGTATGAGATGGCAACAACCATGTAAGCATCTACACATCTACAAGCGAAGATTCAAATCATTCCAGAGAAGTCTATGGATGCGTAGCTTCTTTAGTTAACTTAGTTGATAGTGCTTAGTTTGTCATTATTTATGTGATTGAATGTAATTGTCTTTACATGAATGTGCATTTTAGCTTTCATGCACCTTGTAGGTGAAATTTTTATTTTCAATGAAAAATTGTTCACTTCAGTGTTTTTATACTCCACTTATTGTAATTGTACAGTTTTTCAATTTGTAATTATACAAACGCATTGTTTCTACATTTTTGCCGTACTTGTGTTTTTATTGAATTAAGCTGATCTATAAGAGTCTGTTTGTTTCTCATTAGCACCTTCATTTGTGTGTCTGTGAGTGTGTCAGTGGGGGAGGTGAAACTTGCATGTGTATACTGACCTGGTTTTGTGTGTGTTTTAGGTCCTTTATCTTGCTCGCGTGCCCCCACACCTACTATCTGAATCCCATCTGAATGGGTGAGACTGCAAACCCACAGAGCTCCGCAAAGTTTGCACAATACCAGAGGAATGCATTCAAATGCCTCGTCATGCTGAGCTCATTATGAGCCTTAATTAATACATGCAAATGAGCTTACTTACTGGGCCTTTTTCATGGTGACGGGGGGGCATTACTGTAAGACAAAGGCAGTCATGAGGACAATCGGAGCTCAATCTGTGGTTTGCACACGAATGGGCTTGCCATCTGTGCCTGCCAGGAGGAGCAGGGTGAGATTGAGATAAGGGCAGGACTGCAGGGTGGCAGGCTGAAGGATTTGTAAAGTCAGGACTTGTAGCAGCCACAGAGTCTTTGCTGGGGGAGAGGAGCAGACTAAATACCAGTTCTGATGAGGGCCACAGACTTTGAGAACAGATCACCCCCCCCACTCCTCAGCTAGATCCTGCTGCTGTGACAAAGCAATTGGTTTTTAGTTTTAACTCCAATAAAATTATTTTTAGAAAATAAGAATCCCAAGGCGAATTCGCTATGATTTTTATAATCACAAAACATCTAAGAGGGAAAATTTTAAAAAAAAATTAAAAAATTAAAAAAAAAATTAAAAAATTCTTTAAATTAAAAACAAAAGTGAAAAGAGGAATCTGGATTTGTTCCATTTTTGTTTCGATCCCTTTATATCTCTTAATCTTTTGTCCTATTCAGTCACTACCTCTGACATGAAAGGACATGTCCTGTCCACAAATTACACTTTTATGGCTCAGACTCAAAAAGGCCTGAGGGGCTTCTCTGCCTCATGTTGGCCCCTTGTAGTCTGGACAATGCTGCCTGATTGGAGTCTGATTATGGAGATAAGGAGTCTGAGTTAGATGAGATAAAACCGAACCAACAAACTCGACCAACACAGCAGGAAGGACTGGGGGAACTGGTTGTTTGGTGGAGTAGCACAGAAACCGGGTAGTAGGGTAAGTTTTCATGGGAAGTTCGTGGTTTTGTAATGGTTTAGACTAGCAGGATAAACTATTGTGAGCTTGGAGGTGCTAGCAGATGGATTTTGTTTTGCTGGCTGTTTCCAAACTGTTTCAAGTCAACATGTCAAGCAAAGCTAGCTGACTGCTGGTAGTCTCGTGTTTCCTATACAAAAGCACGAGTGGCACATTTGGTCTTATCCTACTCACTGTAAGAAAGCAAATCATTTAATTTCATTAAATCCCTGACCGTCTCTTTGGACTGCTTTGTTTTTCCAGTATGAGACAGACATAAACAGTCATATTACAGGAATTTGGAAAAGCCACAGAAGAAGTCAGCTGACTCTTGCACAGCACAACTTCTGAAGCACAAATTCTCCATACTGATGATACACAGCTCTTTCCCCTTGGATATCCTCCAATAATGAGCTTTAATTTATTGAAACGTACAGCTGTGGTTCATCTCCCTCCATGTCGGCTCGGAGGGAAAAAAAAGCCCTGGCGTCTGGCTTGTTTGTCTCTAAACTCCCTTTGACTGAGCTAATGGAAGTTCTGGCTTCATCTGGAGATTGCACATCGTGTTGTTTGAGGCTTAAATGTTTTGAAACATCACAAAAACGAAAGGATGATGGATTCATTTAGTTATTCGGTTGAATCCGGTGTACATTTGAAGCACAACAATGAGTCTTTCTATACACTCCTGCGGATGAATCAGCGCTCTGCGGTTGTTCCAGCGGAGGTCTTCACAGCACAGTTTTTGTATTCTCAGTTGAGTCTGAAAGTATTCCTTTTCTTTCCCCAGACTTTGTTTATTTAGCTGGGAATATGTGTGGAGGTCTGAAGGCAGAGCTGCTCTAGGCTTCTCTGTTTGTTTTGTTATCAAAGTCATTTTTTGTTTAGGGATGTTTTCTTATGTGCAGAGAGGTGAAATATTTAAAAGATCATGTAGTATGGCTGTCCACATGTTCCTGTGGGGCACACGGTTTCCCTGTTTTTAACCGTGTAATTGACAAGTTAGTCTTTTCTAAAGGTTCAGGGAGTGAGCGGGGGAGGAGAAAGATTGTTGTTTTTACTCAGCTCCATACCCCTCCATACTGTTTTTTTAAGTTTCCAGTTTCACCCGACTGGTTTCCGTCGGGTTTTATTCATGACCTCCATCTGGAAATAATACATGTTCATGAAAACAAGCCATCAGCAATTTTAGGGAAGAGTTGTGTGCATGTGCATATGTGGAGGAGGACTTTAAGGCCTCTTCTGTAGGGTTCAGTCCTCACCAATGAAACAGTGTTAGTGCAGTGAGAGAGACTTGTTTCCAAGAACCAAACCTTCACTGCCTCTCTTAAAACCCTGCTGCAATGCATTTGTGGTCTGGCTTAAGTCTTTGATTCGAATGCAAAGTTACTCATCAAGTGTATGAAACCGCAGCTGCTGGGAGAAATTACGTGTCAGTCAGGTCTTTGGCAAACTGTTTGACCTTGGCTCAGCCTAAAAATATGCATTAACTCAGTGAAAGCCTGCATAGTTCTGCAGGAAAGAAGATCTGGCTTGTGTTTGAGCCGCTCACAGGAACGTATGCGGCCTGTGACGGGAGAGATAGAGCAGATATTCACCCGACTGCAGGCTCACAGAACACCTCTGTGCCTGTCTGCAGTCTTGGCTGCGGTACACAGGAGACTGGCCGGTCACACCTGAGAGCCTCTGAAGAGTAGCCAGACATTTAGCCGGCCTGTCCCAGCACACAGGCCTCTTAGTTTGCACGGTGCTGTCTGTATATCTAACTGTCTAACTAACTATTTGTCTGTCTGCCTGGAGCCGATACAATCTCTTTTAGAGCCATAATGGCTTTAACAGGCCCCGAAGCAGGGAGCAAGTAGGTGTGTGTGAGGAGAGGTTTTCATTTCTGCCTGTCTGTGTTGTGGGGTGGGGTGGGGGCTGGATCATGTTTTAAAAGCCCTGAAGTTAACCCCAGTCAAAAGGTTTATGCCCACCACTAAAGCCACAGAGGCATCTTGAAAGGTGTAATAGCTCAGTTTTGTATCCAGTGACTTCTTTGTAGACCCACTGCAAAGTTTCCTGGCACACGGACGAAGTTATTTCTACGGTGCTGCCAGAAAATGGAGCAAAAAAAAAAAAAAGATCTGATTCAGAGCCAACTTTTTAACAAAACCCTGAGTTATTATTTGAAAGGAATGAGCACTAATAATAGGATGTATGTAAAAAACTATGGGAAATGTTTGCTCTTTTGCTGAGAATTCAATGAGAAGAGAAAAGCAGCCATGTCTTTAAAGATAAATGAAGCGACATCGATTAGCTGAGCCTGGCACCAAGATGGGGAAACACAGGTGATTAAGTTACTGACTAAGTAAATATTGCCTATGTCCTTCTCTGAGACTCAGTGCACCTCTGAACGAGGTCAATTTTCACTTTAATCCTGTGCTTCTGCAGTCGCCTAAATCCTTTGCTAAAGCTAGCTAGTTAGCCTTGGTCAGTGTAATGTAGCTGCTTTGGCTCTGCTTATAGGTGACTGTTTTTGTCTAGGTTGCTGTTCCAACCACAGCAGAATGATAAATGTTCATTTCCACATGATTAAACATTAAAACAGTTTTAAAAATCTGTTAGCAGCTAGCTAGTGTAGCTTAGCCGAGCATAAGGATTGGGAAATGGGGAAGCAGCTTTCAATCTTCATTTAAAACCTGCTGTTTGGCTTGCTCTGGTGTTACTGTAAAACCTTTTTCTTAGTTATGAGATCCCCACATGTTCTCCCTCCCTCTGAGCCACAGCAGCAGTCTGGGTCCTTTTTTCTTTTGAAGCTTCCTCTCTCTCCACCTCTCCTCCTCACACATCCATCCATCATATAGACTCTCTGGGACGTCCTTTCACCCCACCCGTCTCATGCTGCTGCCACCCTCCCTCTCTATGTCTGTAACACTCCTTCAGGTCAGTGCCCCCTCTTTAGCTGTACTATTAATTTAGGCCTCCGTCGCTGCAGTTAAACTCTTCCTCTGGATACATGACTTCACCCCTCCATCAGTGTCCTCCCCCATCACTCTTCTTCCAAATGCTCCCTTTTTCTTCCAAGTCATGGCAAACAACTGCTGGGGAAGCATCTGGAGTTTCCCCACGTCTTTCAACCGGCTGAGACCTGAGGGCAGGGACTGGGGTTTGTGTGTGTCTGTGTGTGTGTGTGTGTGTGAGAGAGTGTGTGTTTGTGTGTGTGCCACAAGCTAAAACTGCTGTTCAAATCAAAGTGCCTGCCTTTTGTTGTGTGCTCTGGAATCCCCTCCGTCACACCTCGGCCATTTCTCAGCGGGGGGAACTACTTACCGCCCCCCACCAGTGGAAGACTTCCTTCTTTACAGTTAATCCTCTACCAGACCCTTCCTCCCCCTCTCCTGTGAGCCACAAAATTACACACAAATTTGCCATTTTTGTGCAATTGAGACTCTTAATTTAACAATGTTTTCCTTGGATTTAATTGAACATCAGTTTTAGCCACTTCAGAGTCAATTTTAGTGATACAGAGGACAATATTCTCTAAAGATCCTTTAAGAAAAACATCGCAAAAACATAAACCATATAGCCAAGTTTAAATTGGGAATCAGACCTCAAAGTCTGTTAGCTTTTCTCTCTTCTGTGTAACAATGAAGTGCAGCTTCTCTTGTGCAGGTTGTTAAACCTGTAGAGAGCTGTGAAGAGAGCTCTCTGCCACAAGTCCCCAATTAGGGTTCTGCCCACACGGCTATAAAACAGTTAGTGGATTCATTCAGAGGCTGTTACGTTTAACACTATTAAGAGTTCATTAGTACCTGCATATACGAGTGCTGCTGCCATGGTAGGATCATTAACACAGAGCTGTTAAAGCAGACGAGGGGCCTTTCATATTAATTGAGCTGCATTTTGGCAATCACCTGTAGTCCCCAATCAGAAATGTATCATAATTCTTTATTAACACACACGCTTAGTTTTATACTCATGCTCTGACAGGGAGGTACTGACATTAAAACAATGTGGCTTTAATAACAGGTTTTATCTGGAGGGTGTAGAGTGCCATCTTATTTTTATACATTAGCAAAGAAGTGAAAGATATTAAGTTAACGGAACTTTCACCTTTAAACAAAAACAAGTGTAAATCTTTAAAATCGGTAAGTTGTTAATCAGTTTAACTCTTTTTAGCTCGTCTGTTTAAAGCATGTTTTACCTGATTAAATTCATTATAAAAAAAGACCAATGAAAAAGACTGAAGAGATGGGCAAACCTGCAACCCCCAAAAAGACAGAAAGGAAAAGAAAACATGTTGAAAAGAGAGAGTGGTGTGAAGACAATGAGTGATTAAGAGAGAGAGAAACTGAAGAGAAGCAGCAGATGATGTCCACTTTGTTATAGATCGTTTGACAGGAAATTAAAATGACCAAAAAAATACAAATACTGAACAGAAATAATCCTCATAATCTCTACTGTTTGTCCTGATATCTAAAATTATGAATAACTATGGATGAATAATTAAAGCAAACAGTGAAGGGTAATGAAAACAAACTTGAAGAGCATATACATGTTTAAGAAAAATAAGTAAAATTGATTATTGTGGTGCGTCATTGGCCTAAAGGTTTACATGTGTGCCCCATGTACAGAGGCATTAGCTTTTAATGTTGGCCATGGTCATGAGTTGCATGTCTTCCCCCACTCTCTGGACCCCACATCTCCTCTCTTACTTCAGCAGATTAAAAACTGGACTGTTACTGGTCAGCTGATTGCAAATACAGGGTCTGATTGGTCAATAAAACAGAGATAGCACCCTCTGTCTTGCAGAGTTAGCGAACAACAAAAGTGACCATATTTAAAAATCATACATAAATCATCACAAATTAGCTTTGTTTTTGAGGAATTGGATCTGAGCAGACTCTAAAAATACACATATCTTTTCTGTGAGATAGAAAAAACTTTGAACATTTTAGAAAAGCAGAGAGTGCATCACCAGAAAACCAGCAATTCCTCAAAGTTAAAGCATTTGCATTAAGTTGATATACCATACTGTCACGTTTAAGAGCTGATATTGCACACACAACATTATGTGGTCTACCAGAGGGTCAACCCCATTTATTGCTCAACCCAAATCGTACAACGATCACACTTTACTCAGATCCATTTGGTCAACGGGAGTAGGTTCTTGTTGAACTCCTTTTGACTCTTCATCATAAAGTACTGTGGTTAAGGGGTGCCGGTTTGGCCTGCCTGGTTGAGCAGATTCCCCCCGAACAGTGAGATTGTCCCCTTTTGATTGGTGTCCCATTCCAACATGATCGGCAGGATGTCATCCCTCATGACTTCCTCTTATTTCCTCTTTCTCTCTCTTTCTCTGTGTGTCCAATCTAACTAGGGAAAAATTCAAAAAATTAAATATTTTGAAGAAGTTGTCAGGTTTAGTAAATACAGTAGGAGAAGAGACTCTGTTTGGCCCTTTTTGTACACTTCGTGGATGGTACCAGTCAGTTAAAGCCACATGTACTTAAAAAGAAACCACAAATGGTCTCTCTCCATCTGGTCTCAGAGCACCTCATTACCGTTCCTGCTACCACTTTGATGTGCTTGTGATAATAAGCAGCACTGTGCAGACACTTTATCTGATTTATCAAAGCAGAGTAACATGGTTGACCACTTACCACTGTGAACAGATTTACTTCTGGCATAATTGGATGCTTTTTAAAATGATCTAATAAACAGACATAGATCAAAGTGTGTACATGTAAGAATAAACGATCCTCTGGGTTTCTATAAAAATGAAACTATCATGTCCCGCAGGGGGGGAGCCAGTTTAACTCTGCTGGAAAATCAGTCCTATGTACGGATGAAAAAGTCCTCATTATACTGATCCTGTGGATTGATTGATTCCTGATCACAGCATGTCATTCTCCCTCTCTCTGTCTCTATAAAGGCTACTAAAATACAAAACAGAGAGAAGAAATCTCAGGCTTACTCAGGCAAAGTAAAAAGACCGCCCTCAAACTTTAAGTTACATTTAATTCTCTTTTACAACCATTTAATGGCTCTTAATTCAGCCGACTCTTGCTTTTCTGGACTCAGTACTTCATTAAGATAGCGATTCATTGGTTTGTTTGTTCTTAACACCCTCTATTGTTGCATGACATGGCTGATAATTAGAGCCTGCCCCCTCACTTTGTGGATTCAAACCAGGATAAATTCACTGTGATGAATCTGTCAGTATACTTAATTATATCAAAGTTTCAGCATTAGCTGTTGGCAGATATCAAACGTCTCTTTTTGTGTGTGTCAACAGGCACAATATTACTCTTACTCATACAGTTTCATAACTATAATGATAAGGCGATTTGCTGCAGGTTAGATTTCCAACTCTGGAGATAATTATAGTGTTGCAAAGGTCTCAAATATGGTCTTAGACTTTCTTCTTCAGGCAGACTTAACCTAGTTTCTTGAGTGTTGGAAAATGTTGCCTTGTCTAGAGCCAATGCAAGAATCCAAGCGTAGAAAAGTCATATTAAACTACTTTACAATCTAATTTAACATCCTGTGGGCTCGGTTGTGGACTCTCTGGAGTATATTACCTCAGCTGAAGTAATTTTCATGTGATCATTAGTGAGTGAAAACAGACACGGAGGTGGATGGTCCACTTTCTGTTTGCCAGAGCAAGAGAGAGGTCGAGAGGTCTTTGTAGGGTGAAGGTTTGGGTTTCGTTTGCTGAAGTGCCCTCAAGCTCTTTGGCAAACAAGAGCAAACATCAAAGCTGGGCCTAGTGTGAAGGCCGGGGTGCTGTGTTAAATTAAGGGGAGGTGGGGGGGCACTGACAGGTCTTAAAGACGGATAACAGAGCAAGAAACCCTCTAACATCTCATCACCTGTGTTCACTGAAAATAATCTCAAGATAACCCGGTCCTGGGTGTTCAAAAAAACCCTCACCTCTCTGACACTCGAACTACTGCTGGACAAGCTTAACATGACCCCTCTCAGTCACATGCCGGACCTTTCCCTCGTGATAATCCTCCTGAGTCAAGTGACAAAGGGTCAGCTGAGTAAGCTGAAAAGAAATTGAGGAATGGGGTTACAAAAAGGTTGGCTGTGAGCTTAATCAAAGCTGAAGAACATTGGTGAGCTCAAGTGGGCCAGTAATCTGTAAAGAATTATGAAGTGCCTGGCGAGCATTTTTCATTGTCTGCTGTGTTATAAAGCAACCAAGAAGGAGAGGCGAACCTGGCTGCCATATTTGGCCGCCTTGTCTTCTCTCTTAAATTAATTCCTCTCTGTTTGGAGTTTTTTTTTTTTCCTGCTTTTGGCAAATGTTATCAAGATTCTGGCCACAGTTTCTTACAAAACATGGCCTCTTGCTTATTTTGAATTCGTGAAAAAATAAAGATAAGATTGAGATTAGGTTTAAAAAAAAAAACAGTCTGTAGCACAAAGTCACTTAACTCTGGATTTCCTGGTATTCAGGCCACGTTAATAAGTGGAGAAAACAAAGGTTTTTTTCCCCTCGTGTGAAGCATCTTCTTCTTGAAAAGACACACGCACCCCCTAGAGGCAAATAAAGAGACTACAACATCTGAAAATTCAGAACTTTTCTGAAGTAAATCCAGGTTTTGGCCAACCTGTATCCCAAGGGAGCAGGGGTTTCCTGGAACCTTGTTTGTTTTCTGTTACAGGCTCAAGAGATAAAGAAAAAAGTATGTCAGGAAACAACAGTGATTCTGTAAATTTCATGGTGAGGTTTAAAGGAGAAAGTTTTCACATCATTGTTTTGTTGTAGACTTTATGTTTCTTTATTTCCTTGGATGAGTTTGAAGTCAGTGAAATCATATCTAAGAGGGGCATGCCAAATCTTAGAGTAACAGTACCCCACAGGAGGACTGTTTGTTACAAATTTAGTGTCCAATCACGCAGTGTGTGATCCTTGATTGGCATATCGTCTGGCCACTGGTCAGATTGTGAGGAGATGGAGAGAGAGAGGGAGAGAACAAGGAGACTGAAAGTAAAGTTTGAGTACTGAACAGAGAGTGGTTAACAGCCTTGAGCCAAAAACAGAGAGTTTCACCAAAGATTTTATGTCAATTTCACAGAAGACCAATCAGAAGAAGCAACAAACTCCAGAGACTCGTCTGACTTGAAGAGGACACTGCCTGGATAACCCCTTCCTCTCTGGACATGTCTGACTGTGAGGGGCTACCAACAGGTAAGCAGAAAAGCAGAGAGCATGACTGCCATGCACATGTTCATGCATGGAGAGACATATGTGAAATGCATATGTCTGTGCTGACATACTTGAAAATTGTTTGGGTTTGTGTGTCTGCACATGTACGTTTGATGGATGAGGTCTGAGCCCCACCGCTGGGACAGCTCACCCAGCAAGTATTCAGCTGCAGAGTGGAGCTGGCTCGGTTTGGGCCCTTATATGGAAACTTGGAGAGAAATCCCTCTGGTTTGATGAGAATGATGCAGAATGACAGCAGAATGCAGTAGCTTTAAGAGGAGGATGTGCAGAGGAGCAAGGAAATATGTGGTCAGATGGGAGAGGAAAGCTGCCGTTGCTTGCTCGTATGATAAAATAAATGTGTATACTCCAATGCTTTATGTTTTAAAGAAGTGTTGTGTGCATGTGCAGGTGGTCTTTGTCTGTGTTTAAGTGCCCGGTGTGTGTGGGGGGGTATGTGTCTGAGAGTGTGTGGCAGCAAAGCATTAAGCGAAGGGTCATTTCCCTCAAGTGCAGCCAAGTTGACAGAGCAGCCAAAGCTCTTACTACAGCCTCGCTGACAGACTAACAGAAACAATCAGTTAAAAATAGAAACCTTCCCCTTGTCCTGTTCTCTCACTCGCTCATGTTTCATGTTTCCTTACTCCTCCAGCTCAGCCCATGTGTGATTCCCTCCTCTGTTTGATCAAACATGACTCCGCAGTTTGTTCAGTGTTGTCAGAACCTGCAGCCTTGACAACAACAGCCAGAGATAGGGCAATCGTAGGACCTGGACTTCCTTTATCTGCCATATCATACGAGATAATGCATTTCAAAGGATATACAGCCAAACCACTCCTCTAAAAGCTCCTGAAGCTTTCAGTTTTGAAAGTCTTGAGTGGAAAAATTAAATAGAGGCTGTTTTATTGACCGCTTTGTGTGACACTTACCCCAGAGGAGCAGTTCAGGGCTTTTTATACATACAAAGAGGTAAAAATGTCTTCCTCCATGAGGCTACTTGTTTTTGTGTGGTCTGTTTCATTATCAGCCAAAACTCCTCCTGAGCTCTTACCTCCTTCAGCCTCAGTGTCCACTTTGTTTTGTTGCTCCATTTGGATCTCCTAGTTGACACAATGCAAAGTACAGGAACTTTTTTTCGCTTGACACACTGGAAATAATCCACATCTCCAATTTCACACTGTTAGCAAAGCAAACTGGTGAAACAAATGTTAATAGCTTTGGGTGTTAAAGTCTAACCTTATAGCCTAGCTAAGGATCTTATTGAGGATTAAACGGCCTTGTTAAACTTTGAGAACAAAGACGTGTGTGTGTGCGCGTAAAGCTGTCAGTGTTGTAACTGTAACTGTGGACCCACTGAGGATGTGGAATGAAGATGCTATCTGAAGGAAACGGTGAAGGAAACAGCACTTGGAGAAATAAACAGTCAAGGAAAGGAGCTCGAGACTCAGGGTAGATTTGAAGCTCAGCGACTGCAGTGTTCTCTCGTTATCAAAAAATTCGCTCGTAATTAGAACAAGTATCTGCCAATGAGATAAGAAAATGTATTCCCAAAGTTTCTTAGAATAAAAGTGACCTTTCTCAAAAAAAGAAAACGTCCAAAATCAAGAAACTTTGAGTACTTTTTTGACAATATTTTTTCACACTCATTATAGGTCATTTAGGTCTTTTTTCTGGTTTTTCATATCTTGAAATAAACTGTTAATCTGGACTTCTCTGGTGAATGGGGCTTCTGTTGATTCTAATGAGACTTTCTTTTGACCAAAACAGACAAATTACTTTATTACTTTGCGGTAAAGTGCCTGAACCGAATGTTATCTTTTCACAAGGCCACAAATGGTGCCTGTGTTAATTTGCAATCCACGCAGGAGATGAGATACAGCGAAGGAGTCGAATCAAGCAAGCACTCCAACAAGGACTACAGCCCATGGGGTTCACACCTTTACCAAAGGGCAAAACCAGCACCCTGAATTATGACCATTTTTGGTGGTTAGAGAAAAGTACAGTTTTGAAGCAGAGTTTAGATTTTCACAGTTGTTTCTTATTGGCTGTGCAAATCTGACCATACCCGACTCAACTAAAGCAGCTTATTAGAATTAGGCTAAACTTTCCCTGCAGTTGAACCTAAAATTTATTCAGCATAAAAAACAAGTTTTAATGTGTGTTTTTGAATAATGCAATAATGTAGTTTTGACAGTGTGATGGCAGATGCTGATAGTTGAAGTGGCACGTTAAATTCTTAATACTAAGGTTTTGATCTTCAAGACATTTCCTATAAGATTTCCTAGCAAGGCACAATCTGATCGTCAGCATTTGTCCTGTGTCCTGCAGGTGGCAGTATAAGCATACTTTATGAATGGCAGCACTGTACAGTTAGATGACATGAGGTCATAAAAAGTGGCAATTAAAAAGAAGAGGGGCATGAAAAGGAGGATTAGTGATAACAGTGGAGAAAATGTGGCAGGACAAAAAACTAAGGGAGAAGGGGGAGGAGATACTGAGGGAAGATGGAGGCAAGGAATAAAGAGGGAGACTAGGGGAGTAAAAAGGAGGAATGGAAACGGGATGATGGTGTCTCCAAGGAGATGAGTGTGTTGAAAAATGAATAGCATCACTGGATCCTGTGTGTCTGGAAACTCAGACGTATTGGGGCGTGAATTAGAGCTGACAAGTCTTCATATGATGGACAGCCATCAGCATCCAGGGCCTGATGCCTGCGCTGCACACACTGTGCAAGGAGACAAGTGTGTGTGTGTGCGTTTGTGTGTGTGTTTGTGCTGGACTGATTGCTTCAGAAATGCAGATGAAAGTTGGCGCTGACGTCATGTTTCTCTGACGTCAGCCCTCCATCTGTGCCCTGAATGTGAGGACACGTAGCTTTGCTGACAGAGGACACCTCCCTCTTGTTCAGGCGCAGGCTGAAAAAAATGGGTCACACACTCACCTGCAGGTTTGAGTCTATGTGAGGCACGCGGAGAGGAGCATCCCAACTTTAATATACGCATTAGAGTAAAGTCTGCAGCAGACACCAGATTTCCTCAGCATGGTTTATTTTCAGCTGCATCGATCGGAGGACTGAGGTGCTTTGACTTTGAAAGGAAGAGGAGAGGAGAGAGTGCAGGGAGGAATGTGACTCGATGCAGGAAAAGTAACGCAAAGATTCACATGAGAGGGGGAGAATTTATATTACAAGACTGTGGGAGGTGGAGCATGAAAGGAAGTGGAAGATAACACTGTGTGCTGGAGGGGTATACATTATTACCCATGTTTGAATATAAACCCTACATATATATGTGTGCAGGTTTCCACAGAGAGAAGGAGCAGAGTTCTTGGTGGTTCAGGAAATGGGGGAAGGGTGTACATGGATGTTTCAGCAACCAAGTCAGATGTGATTAATGTTGTCGTCGCTTGAGAGAGCACAGCCCTGCACTCTCTCCAACGCAAACGTGTGTCCATAACACACACCAAGGCCCTGTATCGGACTAACATTAGGTGTATCTAGATAGATGGATAGTTTAACAGCAGCAAAGAGTTAATAAATGACAGCGTCTCCCATTGACCTGCAAGGTGCCGCTTTTAATGACCACAGGAATCACCACCCACATTAGTATATTTGCATGGACTTTGGCTGGCTGAAATTCACCAATCTTGTTCTACTTCCGTGTCAAAGTTATCCCTCATTAGCATATAGATTAGGTGTGGAGAAGTCTGCATAGTTTATAGATATTCTTCCCACTCCCACGGCATCATTATTGTGAAGGGGGGGAGATCAGCAGAAGGAGGGAGGCAGCGGGAAGAAGGTATCGAAGGTTGACACGGAAGCAATGAAGGCTCAGATATTACAGCACATCAAGAATCAATAAGGGACTGTAAGTTATGAATGTTATACTCTTGTGCAGGTTTCCATTACTGGGATGTTCTTGTCTATGTTCAGTTTTTTTTTTTTTCCTTGCTGTCAACCTATCTGCTCATGACAGTCCTCTCAGGGTG